AAAGTTGCGTGAAACTTGGGAGCAGTCATTGCATGACAGTGTCATGTATTGTGAACTTATTGCTGTAGTTTCAATATAATGGGATATTCACAAATGTTGTTTCATGATAATAAGTGCTAAATATAAGTTGCTACATTGTATCATTCTGTTATTTCAGAACCTGGAAGTAAACATCCTTGTTAGAGGAATATCTCGACCAGTGTTTTATGGTTCTTTCTATATGATTCCTACCACATCGATACATGTCTGGTGTCCCACGCCGTGATAGTGCTGGAATATTGCTAAAAACGGCGTAAAACTAAACTCACCCAAGTCCTGATTGATGGCACTGGAAAGATGCTGCTGCTAATACTGTGTATCATCTCCAGCATTATCACCACAATCACCCTTCACTATAATAGCTGGGGCATTTGGGTAGCCTAGTGGTTAGAGCGTTCGTTCGTCACTCCGAGGACCTGGGTTCGATTTCCATGATAGGTACAATTTTAAAAATACGTTAGCTGGACTTTTTTGTGGACTTGTGAAATGACGGCTGGGTAGCCGAGTGGTTAAAGCGTTCGCTCGTCACGCCGATGACCCGGGTTCGATTCCCACATGGGTACAATGTGTGAAGCCCATTTCTGGTATCCCCTAAAGTGATATTGCTGGAATATTGCTAAAAGCGGCGTAAAACCATACTCATTTATTCACTTTTAATGAATGCTAAGATAAACTGAGTCTGATTCAATTTGGACGCCGTGAAAATAGCATAGAATACACTAACAGCTGTGTTCGACATGACCCTTTGTTGTAGTCTATTTTTCAAAGGACGTTTATCTATCAATAGGTGGTGTTTATCGTGGCAGGTGGAGATGACACATTTTACTCTTTATAACAACAACTGTAGGACAGCATTTGTCAGCGAACCAACAACGCAGTGAAATCAAAAGATGCGAGATAACGAGTCATTTCATCCATGTTCATGTTCACTGAATATTTCTAATTTTGCAACAGCACCGTCCAAATATTTCCGTGTCTGAAGTCTCTTTGAATTCAAGTCTCGGCGTTTTAAATATCATTTTTAAGGCCGTGTTATGTATAATTATTAAAGTGTTTGTTTATTTCTTAACGCCGCACTCAGCAATATTCCAGCTGTTTTACGGCGGTCTGTAAATAATCGAGCCTGGACCACACAATCCAGTGATCAACAGCATGAACATCGATCTACGCAATTGGGACACGATGACATGTGTCAACCAAGTCAGCGAGTCTGACCACCCGATCCCGTTAGTCGCCTCTTATGACTAGCATGGGTTACTGAAGATCAATTCAAACGCGGATCTTCACGGGTCTGTATATAGTCAACGTCATGAGCGCCTGATTCCGGCAAGCATGAGTTACTGAAGATCAATTTAAACCTGATCAGATCCCCAAGGGCCCTGTCTTAAGAGGCGACGAAAACGATCGTGGGGATAATCGAAATTTTTGAAGCTTATCATATCAAACACTGGATTGTGTGGTCCAGAATCGACTATTTAGACAATGTCAACCACGTCAGCGACACCTACCACACGACAAGCATGGGTAACTGAAGACCAATCTAACCCGGATCTTCACGGCCTGTAGAGGACCACCAAGGTGTTGACCTTGTCTACTGTCAAGACAAGCTGCGTGAAACGGGTTAACTGCCGCGGTGAAGCACATGTGTGCATGGCGGGTTGTACAAGTCCTGGCTTAGGCTTATCGTATAGTTGTAACCTTCTGAGGTACGATGGCACACATTGATATGGATACCCTACTCAGACACTTTATATACTGAGGGAAAGAAATAAGGGATCACATGATATACTATGACCGATGCAACCTTGGTCCCGACCCACAAAACGTTTGTAGGGCTACGACATTCGTAAGCCTGTGCTTAACAATAGAGTTACGACAGGTCGTAAGGTTACGAACGCTTTGTGGATCGGACCCTGGACTTAGACCAGTGTGCGAAATGGTTTCCAAATTATGCTAGCCAGTCGAGCTAGCTATGCCTGAAAACTACTAGCCCACAAAATAATTCACGAACCCGAAATTTGAATGGGAAACTAAACAAAGATTGCAAAATAGATGAGAATAAGATATTGTTGGCATCACACGGGTTTCATCATTAAGCTGTTAATATGATGAACATTTGTATCAGGCCATAATCGTGCATGATTTAAAAGTGTATTATAACTTAATAAGTCGGAGAGAGTGATATATTTACAACATGACTCCATGAATTCACGAGCCAGTTGGGCGGGTGACTGTGGAGATGTACTTGCCCGACTGGATTTTTACTAGCCACGGGCTAGCGGGCCAGTGGCTATTTTCGCCAACTGCCACGAACATCTGAAAACTAAAATCGCTTTGTTTAACGGGCTCCACGATTACACATAGTGATTATATACACAAAACATGCTTATATTGAATAGACTGAATGTCTACTAATAAAATCGACAAATATGTGCACGTTCTCATATTTGAAAATTATTCCTTATAAGGCTGACATCATCGAGATGGTAGCACATGTACATTTCAGATGTTTATGACACCACCGTAACGATACCGGACCCGAGCGATGAGTCGAGTTGGATTCTGGGTAATATCCGTCACCATGGTTACTATCGCGTCAACTATGATGAAGACAACTGGAAGAACATCATCAAGCAACTTTAAAGAAAACCACGAGGCAAGTAGCTGTGAAATAAATGTTTAAATCATTGTTCAGTTTGGTGAACAGTTCTGAGGATCAATCCACTCGCTTGGCATACGATGACATGCACCAGGATACCTTCATTTCATGTAATTGAACTTCCACATAGCCACTATGATCCGAAAGTTGAGCCGATCGGTCGGTCGGCTTAAGAAACATATTTATCGGTTTATATGTTTTTTTAAATAAAAAGAAAAAGATAAAAAATATATCCATATTTGTTCATATTTGATCTTATCTACAGAAAAGAAGACAAGACCAATATTCCAGCTACGTTATAGATCAGATCAGACAATCCAGTGATCAAAATCATGAGCATAGATCTACACAATTGGGATACGATGACATGTGTCAACCAAGTCACCGAGCCTGACCACCTGATCCCGTTAGTCGCCTCTTGCGACAAGCATGGGTTGGCTGAAGACCACCTCCATACAGGTGCAATAGTGCTGTGCAGCGTTTAACAACAATGAAAACACTTGTTTTATGTGCCCAAGGCAGGTAACTCTGTCTTTGAGGACTTCAACCCGCCCCATTCCATCTTTTGCCTACCGTTGATATTCATACATCTTTGTTTTACAGGTGATCATTCCAATAAATCGAGCTCAGATCATCAACGACGCCATGGACTTAGCCAGGTAAAAATGCCAAACCAGTGACTGATATTATGAACACCATCCCTCACCGTCACAGTACCACGACTTACTTTGACTACCTCCTTACGTCCAGAACCCGGAAGATCCGGGTTAGAATGTGCCTTCAGTAACCCATGCTTGTCGTAAGAGGCGACTAACGGGACCAGTGGTCAGGCTCGCTGACTTGGTTGACACATGCCATCGGTTCCCAATTGCGTATATTGATGCTCATGCTGTTGATCACTGGACTGTCTGGTCAAGACTCAATTATTTACAGACCGCCGCTATATAGTGTTAGGTGTGTGTGTCGTGTCCAGAGAACCCTGATTTCATGAAGGTGGGAATAAGGGGCGGTTGGGTAGTCTAGTGGTAAAAGCGTCCGCTCTTCACGCCTAAGACCGGGTTCGATTCCCCACATGTACATGTGAAGCCCATTTCTGGTGTCCCCGCAAGGGATATTGCTGGAATATTGCTTAAAACCGGTGTAATATGAACTCACTCACTCACTCATACACCGCAGCTGAGGTCTGCGCAAGGCACCGACATGACATTCAGCACTCACTCTCTATGGCTGAAAATATGTTTGGTCGATCTGTGTTTTAAAGGGGCTGGCTACCTGGCGCAGCTGACTGGATTACAGACACTGGAATATCTGTCGGCGGAATTGAACTACTACCCGTGGACCACGGCCCGAGACAAGCTGGTCTACATATAGACACCATGATCCGGGACACCGAGATATACCCCGCCTTTCAGGTAGAGTGAGTGACTGAGTCGGCCCGAGACAAGCTGGTCTACATAGACACCATGATCCGGGATACCGAGATATACCCCGCCTTTCAGGTAGAGTGAGTGACTGAGTCGGTATGAGACAAGCTGGTCTACATAGACACCATGATCCGGGACACCGAGATATACCCCCGCCTTCAGGTAGAGTGTGAGTGAGTGAGTCGGGTCTACATAGACGAGACAAGCTGGTCTACATAGACACCATGAACCGGGATACCGGAGACCGAGATATACCCCGCCTTTCAGGTAGAGTGAGAGTGAGTGAGTGAGTCGGTCTGAGACAAGCTGATCTACATCCGGGAGAGATACCATGATCCTGAGACACTGGTCTGAGCCATGATCCGGGATACCGAGATATACCGCCTTTCAGGTAGAGTGAGTGGTCTGAAGGACAAGTGAGTCAGTATGAGTGAGTGGAGTCGGTCTGAGACAAGCTGGTCTACATAGACACCATGATCCGGGACACCGATATATACCCCGCCTTTGGGTAGAGTGAGTGAGTGAGTCGGTCTGAGACAAGCTGGTCCACATAGACACCATGATCCGGGACACCGAGATATACCCCGCTTTTCAGGTAGAGTGAGTGGAGTGAGTCGGTCTGAGACAAGCTGGTCCACATAGACACCATGATCCGGGACACCGAGATATACCCGCCTTTCAGGTAGAGTGAGTGGAGTGAGTCGGTATGAGACAAGCTGGTCCACATAGACACCATGATCCGGGACACCGAGATATACCCCTGCCTTTCGGGTAGAGTGAGTGAGTGAGTCGGTCTGAGACAAGCTGGTCTACATAGACACCATGATCCGGGATACCGAGATATACCCCCGCCTTTCAGGTAGAGTGAGTGACTGAGTCGGTCTGAGACAAGCTGGTCTACATAGACACCATGATCCGGGACACCGAGATATACCCCGCCTTTCAGGTAGAGTGAGTGAGTGAGTCGGTCTGAGACAAGCTGGTCCACATAGACACCATGATCCGGGACACCGAGATATACCCCGCCTTTCAGGTAGAGTGAGTGAGTGGAGTCGGTCTGGAGACAAGCTGGTCCACATAGACGCCATGATCCGGGACACCGAGATATACCCCGCCTTTCAGGTAGAGTGAGTGAGTGAGTGAGTGAGAGAGTGAGTGAGTCTGAGACAAGCTGATCCAGATGAACGAGACAATCACAGTATCCATAAAATATCCTTCAGAAAACATCCATCCATTCTGCTATCTCGTAGAGTGAAACCTCGATACATCGAACGCCATTGTGTTCGATACACAAGGTAATACTAATTGGCTTTATTGTTCCAACAACGGATACCTCAAGTCCAATCAACCTTCCATAAATCATGGTACTCTGTCGAACTCTGATTTCGCGAGCTCCTTATAAGGGACCGTACATAATGTATGGCTAGGGGAGTGAGGATGATTTTAAAAGGATAACGTTCTCAACTAAATGTACTAATCCGTACTAAATGGAGCGTTCGCTTGTCACGCCGAAGACCCACGTTTGATTCCCCACATGGGTAAAAGTGTGAAGCCCGTTTCTGGTGTTCCCCGCTGTGATGTTGCTGGAATATTGCTAAAAGCGGCGTAAAACCATACTCACTCATTCATTTAAAACGGGTGGTCCTTACTTACAATAGTTTGTCTGTTTCAGGAATTCCTGAGATCGAGCAGCGACGCAGCCTTCAGGTTTTATGGTTTACGGACGCCGGCAGAAGGACAGATAGAGTCGTAAATATATTGGTTCTCTCAAACATTGTGAATATTGAAGATAGATAATTTGTTCGGTGATCTCCCATTCTTCAGACAGTCATTCTGCAGACAGCTTAAAATATTTAAATACTTCAGAAGTTATCAATGTTTATATTCCATGCAACATTGCAAAGAAAGAAAAATAATAATATTTGAAAAAATGTAAAAGTTACTACTCGGGCGATATAAATGTATGTATGTTTATGTACTATAGGCCTGGGACCTCTTCAGTACGGAGAAAGCTCTCTACTGTCCTGAGCACTGAGTAGGCTAATTAAGCTGTTTCATTATTGCTGTGTGGTGAGGGTTATTGATCCCTCTCCTCAAGTGTCTGAAGAATGACTGTCTAAAGAATGGGAGGACACCATTTGTTAGGTTCAAAATCTTCTCAGAATGTTGTCTAATGTAGTGTCTCAAATCGAACTGTCTGACACTGTAGGTTTGTCGCATAGAAATGCGTCCGGTAAGGACTGTAGTGTCTTCAATATGTTTGCCGCTTAGAAAGTTAAATACATACTGTAGTGTATTCAGTCAGGACATTCTGACACTGTAGGTTTGCCACTCAGAGTGTTGTCCAATGCGCACTGTAGTGTATTCATTCGGACTGTCCGACACTGTAGGTTTCTACTCAGATGGTGTCCAATACATACTGTAGTGTATTTAATCAGGACATTCTGACACTGTAGGTTTTCTACTCAGATGGTGTCCAATACGGACTGTAGTGTCTTCAATCAGGACATTCTGACACTGTAGGTTTCTACTCAGATGGTGTCCAATACGGACTGTAGTGTCTTCAATCGGACTGTCCGACACTGTCTACTCAGATGGTGTCAATACGGACTGTAGTGTCTTCAATCGGACTGTCCGACACTGTAGGTTTCTACTCAGATGGTGTCCAATACGGACTGTAGTGTCTTCAATCAGGACATTCTGACACTGTAGGTTTCTACTCAGATGGTGTCCAATACGGACTGTATTGTCTTCAATCAGGACATTCTGACACTGTAGGTTTCTACTCAGATGGTGTCCAATACGGACTGTAGTGTCTTCAATCGGCCTGCCTGACACTGTAGGTTTCTACTCAGATGGTGTCCAATACGGACTGTAGTGTATTCAATCAGGACATTCTGACACTGTAGGTTTCTACTCAGATGGTGTCCAATACGGACTGTAGTGTCTTCAGCCAGGACATTCTGACACTGTAGGTTTCTACTCAGATGGTGTCCTATACGGACTGTAGTGTCTTCAATCGGACTGTCTGACACTGTAGGTTTGGTGCTCAAAAGGTGTCTAATACCGACTGTTGTTTCTTCAATATGGCTAACCGACACTGTCGCAGGTGTCTGGCACCGTGGGGTTGTCGCATAGATATGTCCAATGCAGGCTCTGGTGTAATTAATCAGGACTGTCTGGCTATGAATGTTTGCTGCTTAGAAAATTGTCCAGTACGGACTGTAGTGTATTCATAAAGACTGTCTGACATTGTAGGCTTTGCTGCTCAAAAGTTGTTAGTACAGATTGTCTTCGTTAGGACTGTCTGGCATTGTAGGTTTCTTCCTCAGTAAGTTGTCCAATACGGACAAAAGTGTCTTCAATATGACAACCTGACATTGTAGGTTTCCTCCTCAGTAAGTTGTCCAATACGGACAATAGTGTCTTCAATATGACAACCTGACATTGTAGGCTTCCTCCCCAGTAAGTTGCCCAATACGGACTATAGTGTCTTCAATATGACAACCTGACATTGTAGGTTTCCTCCTCAGTAAGTTGTCCAATACGGACTATAGTGTCTTCAATATGACAACCTGACATTGTAGGTTTTCTTTCAGTAAGTTGTCCAATACGGACAATAGTGTCTTCAATATGACAACCTGACTTTGTAGGTTTCCCCCAGTTAGTTGTCCCATACGGACTATAGTGTCTTCAATATGACAACCTGACATTGTAGGTTTCCTCCCAGTACGTTGTCCAATACGGACAATAGTGTCTTCAATATGACAACCTGACATTGTAGGCTTCCTCCCCAGTAAGTTGCCCAATACGGACTATAGTGTGTCTTCAATATGACAACTTGACATTGTAGGTTTCTCCTCAGTAAGTTGTCCAATACGGACTATAGTGTCTCTCAATATGACAACCTGACATTGTAGGTTTTCTCTTCAGTAAGTTGTCCAATACGGACAATAGTGTCTTCAATATGACAACCTGACTTTGTAGGTTTCCTCCCCAGTTAGTTGTCCCATACGGACTATAGTGTCTTCAATATGACAACCTGACATTGTAGGTTTCCTCCCCAGTAAGTTGTCCAATACGGACAATAGTGTCTTCAATATGACAACCTGACATTGTAGGTTTCCTCCCCAGTAAGTTGTCCAATAAGGACTATAGTGTCTTCAATATGACAACCTGACTTTGTAGGTTTCCTCCTCAGTAAGTTGTCCAATACGGACTATATTGTCTTCAATATGACAACCTGACATTGTAGGTTTTCTCCTCAGTAAGTTGTCCAATACGGACAATAGTGTCTTCAATAGGACAACCTGACTTTGTAGGTTTCCTCCTCAGTAAGTTCTCCAATACGGACTATAGTGTCTTCAATATGACAACCTGACATTGTCGGTTTCCTCTTCAGTAAGTTGTCCAATACGGACAATAGTGTCTTCAATATCTGACAACCTGACATTGTAGGTTTCCTCCTCAGTACGTTGTCCAATACGGACTATAGTGTCTCAATATGACAACCTGACATTGTAGGTCTCCTCCCAGTAAGTTGTACAATGCGGACTATAGTGTCTTTAATATGACAACCTGACATTGTAGGTTTCCTCCTCAGTAAGTTGTCCAATACGGACTATAGTGTCTTCAATATGACAACCTGACATTGTAGGTTTCCTCCTCAGTAAGTTGTACAATGCGGACTATAGTGTCTTTTAATATGACAACCTGACATTGTGGTTTCCTTCAGTAAGTTGTCTAATACGGACTATAGTGTCTTCAATATGACAACCTGACTTTGTAGGTTTCCTCCCAGTAAGTTGTCCAATACGGACTATAGTGTCTTCAATATGACAACCTGACATTGTAGGTTTCCTCCCAGTAAGTTGTCCCATACGGACTATAGTGTCTTCAATATGACAACCTGACATTGTAGGTTTCCTCCTCAGTAAGTTGTCCAATACGGACTATAGTGTCTTCAATATGACAACCTGACATTGTAGGTTTCCTCCTCAGTAAGTTGTCCAATACGGACTATAGTGTCTTCAATATGACAACCTGACATTGTAGGTTTCCTCCCCAGTAAGTTGTCCAATACGGACTATAGTGTCTTCAATATGACAACCTGACATTGTAGGTTTCCTCCTCAGTAAGTTGTCCAATACGGACTATAGTGTCTTCAATATGACAACCTGACATTGTAGGTTTCCTCCTCAGTAAGTTGTCCAATACGGACTATAGTGTCTTCAATATGACAACCTGACATTGTAGGTTTCCTCCCCAGTAAGTTGTCCAATACGGACTATAGTGTCTTCAATATGACAACCTGACATTGTAGGTTTCCTCCCCAGTAAGTTGTCCAATACGGACTATAGTGTCTTCAATATGACAACCTGACATTGTAGGTTTGCCCAGCGTGAGGTGTCCAGTGCAGCATGCGGTGTCTACAACCAGGACTGTCTGCAGGAGGCCAGGGATCTGTTCCTGGCATGGAAGGACAACCCACAGGATAACAAGTGAGTCAACGACAGCGAGAAACACCGACAGGTTTAGATACGGATTTCGACTATAACCAGCCCTCGATATATCACCCATTATATGAAGGCTTTATGCCAGATAACATCCTCGATTTGGGGTGTATTTTTAATCGAACGTCTTTAGAATAGATCGGAGAGTGTCTGCATGGAGAGCGGGCGTTCGGTGGTTCGAACCTTAGGGCGCGTCAAATTGAAAACGTTTAATAATTGTTCTTATTGTAGTTGCTTTCAATACAGTACCATGTATTAGAGTTGGTATCAACGATAAAACCGGCATAGTGAGTGAGTTAGGCTTAACGCCACCTTCTGAAATCTTCCAGCAATACCACGGTGTGGCACAATATAATTTAGCTTCACACATAGTACCCATGTGGAGAATCGAACCCGGGTCTTTCACATGACGAGCGAACGCTTAACCGCAAGGCTAGCCCACCCCTCCACAAAACTGGGGTATATTTGATCTCATCAACATGATCAGCTCTCACGCCGTTGATCATCTCTTTGTGAGTGAAACGCTAATTTCAATTTCACGTCGCCCACCAGGAATATCTCAGTTTATGATATGACTGGCGATGGGGTAGCCAAGTGGTTAAAGCGTTCGCTTGTCACGGAGAAGACACGGGTTCGATTCCCAACATGGATACATTGTGTGAAGCCCATTTCTGGTGTTCCCTGCCATGATGTTGCTGGAATAATGCTAAAAGCCGGGTACAGCTAGACTCACTCACTCACTTTTGATATGACGAATTAAAGATAAAGGGTATGGTTAATAAAACGCATTTACAGTATAACACATGTATATTGCACGCTGCAATTAATATAATCCATTGGCATTTGGTTCCCTTACATTCTACCTCTTGTTGACTCGAGTGAGTGAGTGAGTATGGTTGTACGTCGCTATTAGCAACATTCCAACCATATCACTGCAGGGAACACCAGAAATGGGCTTCACACATTGTACCCATGTGGGGATTCGAACCGGGTCTAAGTTACCCCACCGCCCTGTGTTGAATGGAAGTAGATATTATACTGACTGACTGAGTTTGGTTTTATGCCGCTTTTAGCAATATTCCAGTAATATCACGGCGGGGGACACCAGAAATGGGCTTCACTCATTGTACCCATGTGGGGATTCAAACCCGGGTCTTCGGCGTGACGAGCCAACGCTTTAACCGCTAGGCTACCCCACCGACCCTTAGATATTATAAGAAAACATACTGGTGCAACCTGCGCTCAGAGCTTCATTTATGCAAATCCCGTGGGCTATGTATTGGCCTTATGCTCCCTTGAAGTAGTTTGTAAACCAGCGTGACATGAATACAGGCAGGTAGGTATTTGTACATTGTGTGAAATCTGGTAAACATATAGAATTTCATTCTGATACTATACAAAGAATGAAACACCCTCCTCTGTCCCCCCAAGACATATTGGGACCTCAGTTCTCAGTCTATCGGGGCGGTGTTATAGCGTAGTTGTTAAAACGTTTGCTCGTCACGCCGAAGTTCGATTCTCCACATGGGTACAGTGTGCGAAGTCCATTTGTGTTGTCCCACGCCATGATATTACTAGAATATTGCTAAATACGGCGTAAAGCCCAACTCACTCACTCATTCTCGATGTCTGTCGCAGGCTACCTGTAAACAATGATCTTGTGTTATGTGTCCTTGTGTCATTGACCATGTGTTGGTGATCTTCACCTGACTTACTGCAGTGTTTAAAACTCCCAAAATTCCAAGCCAGACAGCCGGACTGGTAATTACCAGTCCGGATACAAACTTGCGTGTCCGGTTTTCAACAATTAAAAGCTGTGACAGCCATTTCCAACTCGCGCAAGCTCCATTCACTGTTTGTAGGCATCGCAATGAACTACATAGCACTAACAGGCAATGCAGGTAAGGTAAACTGAAAGTACATGATTGTGATTGGTTATCATAACATGAACTGTCCAATCGTACGTAGTTTAACATAATTATCATAATACCTTAAACACCTCAAACTGGCGACACGAGAACCTGTCTGATATTATGAAACATTTACTCTCAGGGGTAAAAATATCTACCAGACCACCCGGACTGACTACTTTTGAAATTTGACCGTCCGAGATGGCATTGCGTTAAACCAGAGACCGTTTATTGTGATATTCTGGAAGTCGGACATGCTGAGTGACTGATTAGAAATTGCTCAAATTCGATTACAGCCAAAATCTAGGAAGTGTTCATTGTTCATATTTGGTATTGGCCTGAAATTTTTTTTTTTGTTCGATATTCTTGAGACAAAAAAGGTAAAACAGAGACGTAACAAGCCCAAGCATAACATCGAACGACAGTCAAACGCCTTTGTGTCGAATCATGATGTGTCGCACTTAAAGTTATCTCGAAGTCTAAACTTGCAGATTTCTTCTTTAGTAATCCCTTTGTGGATGTGTCGAATCTGAGATAACTCGAAGTAAGTGCGTAGGTCGCTTCCAATCCCAACGATGATGACGATGATGACGACGACGACAACGATGATTTTGATGATTGTGATGACGACGACGACGATGACGACGACAACGATGATGTTGGTGACGACGACGACGACGATGATGATATTTAACGCGCGCCCTTTCCGACACAATGCGTATTTTGCACACAGGCCGGCCAGGCCATTAAGTGTTAGATCGAGAGAGGGGGGGAGCCAGGGTTGCATGATTAAATATGTACGAATTCTGAATTTGGAAATTTGTCAGAAGTTGTAGAGGGGATGTACTATGGGGTTGTGTGGTTGCTATTTGTTTTGTTTGTTTTTTATGTTTGGTTTCAGTGTTAGTATTTCTATGTTAGCACTACTTGGTGGTGTGGGTTTATGACAACTTAAAAGGCCAGTTTTGATAAGTAATTTACCTGAGGCTTTGAAGGTTTGATTGTTATCCGACTGTCGGTTGACTGTACTACGTGCAGCCATTATTCGCCTCACCGTTGACATGTCATTCTGACTTGAGAAGAAACAGGTCACCAGGTGGGATATACTAGTGCTCAATAGATAGTTGCTCAACCAAATACATTCAGCTCCATTGTCATTGTCACGAAACCGTGACAAGTTGTGAAAGGGATATACAAATGCAAATGTACTGTAGGAGGATTAGGGTACGTAGTGACGGCGCCACTCTACAGAAAGTTTCAGTTTCAAAACATGTTTGCGTCGGTTGCAACATATGACAACGCTCTTCGTACTCGGGAGTGTCGCATGAAGTCATTTCAAACAAGATGTGAGTGAGTGAGTTTAGTTTTACGCCGCACTCAGCAATATTCCAGCTTTATGGCGGCGGTCTGTAAATAATCGAGTCTGGACCAGACAATCCAGTGATCAACAGCATGAGCATCCATCTACGCAATTAGGAACCGATGACATGTGTCAACCAAGTCAGCGAATCTTATACCTATCTGAAATGAATAAAAATATTAAAAAAAAAAAAAAATGTCAGCGAACCTGACCACCCGATCCTGTTAGTCGCCTCTTACAACAAGCATGGGTTACTGAAGGTTCCTTCTAAGCCGGACCTTCACAGGTAACAAAAAGTGAGAGTGATATTGGGCAAGATCCAATGATTCTGACATCTAAAATGTACTGTTACGTTACTGCATATGTACTGTTAAGTGAAGAGGCAGGTTAGAACACATCCTTGTCGTAGCGTTTAACAACAAACAAACAAACTAAACGCAAACAAGATGTGAGAGGGATAATGGGCAAGATCCAGTGATTCCGACATCTAAAATCGTCTTCAGTAACCCATGCTTGTAAGAGGCGACTGACGGGATCTGGTGTTCAGGCTTGCTGTCTCAGTTGACACATGCCATCGTATCCCAATTGCGTAGATCGATGCTCATGATGTCAGTCACTGGATTGTCTGGTCCACACTCGATTATTCACAGTGCGGGGCCGTGTGGCTGGAATATTGCTGAGTGCAGCGTTAAACAACAAGCAAAACCAACATATCGTAATATGCGACTCGTGCCATCCTCGCTTGCCTCTTCAGTACTGGAATAAAAGAGATCAGATAAACGGGGCGGTAGGGTAGCCTGGTGGTTAAAGCGTTCGCTCGTCATGCCAAAGATCCGCGTTCGATTCCCCACATGGGTACAATGTGTGAAACCCATTTCTGGTGTAACCCGCCGTGATATTGCTGGAATATTGCTAAAAGCGGCGTAAAACTTTATTCACTCACTCATTCACGTCACATGTCATTTCTTAAAGTCAATGCTTTAGTATCTGTATGTTGTCAGAATCAACCCAGAGCTGTTATTGACGGTCCTGTGCACGGGTATATCGGAGGGCGTGGCCGACGACTGGTACCACCTGTACGACAGCTACCAAGCGGAGACGTCGTTGTCCACCAAGAGCGACATGCTGAGAGCGTTAGCTTGTTCTCAGGAAGCCTTCATCATTGAGATGTAAGAGATCTGTACATGTTTCAGCGCGGACCCCCGTGGGCTTGTACCACTGCAGTCGCCAATCGCACATGACCTCAATATGTGGCGTTGCTGTGATGGGTTGAGGGGTGGACATTGGTCTGTTGTTGTCTCTAAGTGACGTTATTTAAAGCCTATTTAAAACATTTTTGCAAAGTTGAACCTAACAACTGCCACCCACTGAAGCAATGTGTAGAGTCTGATGACGACGATACTGCTGCTGCTGATTAAAGAGCGCTTTCGGTGGAGCAGATATCACATTCGGGCAAGGCTGATTATAGCTGTAGTTCCCAATGCGGGCGTTAAGCAACAAACAGACAAAGAAATAAACAAACATAAAATCAACAACAACACAAACAAAAAAAAAATCAACAACACAAAAACAAACACAAAATCAACAATACAAAAACAAACAAACAAACAAACAAACACAAATCAACAACACAAACAAACACAAAATCAACAACACAAACAAACAAAACACAAAATCAACAACACAAACAAACAAACACAAAATCAACAACACAAACAAACAAACACAAAATCAACAATGCAAAAACAAACAAACAAACAAACAAACACAAAATCAACAACACAAACAAACACAAAATCAACAACACAAACAAACAAACACAATATCAACAACACAAACAAACAAACGCAAAATCAACAAACACAAAACAAACACAAATCAACAACACAAACAAACAAACACAATATCAACAACACAAACAAACAAACACAATATCAACAACACAAACAAACAAACGCAAATCAACAACACAAACAAACACAAATCATCAACACAAACACAAAATCAACAACACAAACAAACAAACACAAAATCAACAACACAAACAAACAAACACAAAATCAACAACACAAAAAACAACAACACAAAATAAACAACACAAATAAAGAAACAAACCCAAAATCAACAAGACACACAAACAAACAAACAAACAAACACAATATTAACAACACAAACAAACGCAAAATCAACAACACAAACAAACAAACACTAGTGAGAGACACGTGTTTCAGGCTGCTGGAGCGAGCTATAACGCCGAGTGAGATCCCTAAACAAGATGGCCCCGGTGTCATTGCGACAGCTCCAGGGATCAACGCCTTCGCCCAGCCGTTCGTGTGGGACTTCATCAGGGAGAAATACGACACCCTTCGAACTGAGTAAGTATGTACAGTAAAACCCCACTATTCCAGACCCTCGATATACCGGATATATACCTCGTTGTGGTAACAGTTTGTGACTTTCGCTTCGAGTTTCCTCCCACATTAACTCGGGTAGCATTTTTGCATTGTTTAGGGTAGCCGAAAAGCGGCGTAAAACCATACTCACTCACTCACAGATGAAAAACTCCATCTTGTATAAATTACACACCTGTCTGAGTCATGCCCACCTGTGCAGTAAGATAGTTGTGTAAGAGAAATTCTGGTGAATGGGTCTCTTCTCAATGCCAGCTCTTTAGCATATTGTATCAATGGAGAAAGAGAGGACTCGTGGAGGACAGCACGTGTGCGGGTTGGGCGTTGGAGTATTCAAATTACGATTACGCCGCATACGAAAGAACGTTGAACGTTGAATTATTCAAAACGGTGTGAATAGCTGGAAGACCTGAGCATGGGAAAGTAACACGCCCGACTGCAAGCGAGTGCATTGGGGCGGGTAGGGGTGGGTGGTGGGTGGGTGGTGGTGTATAAATAATATTATTTAGGTTACACACAACCAAATATTTTACCATTGACATCTATGGTAACATTATATATAATAACAACATAACTAAGCCATCAATAGCTATTACGTGTACATGTGTGCATAGTCTGGCCTTAAAGAAGCAAAAGAATTATAAAAGCACTATAGTGCGTTTGGCTCAAAAGCGGACCGATGAATTGCAATCTAACTCGAAAACTAGTAAATATATAATAATCAATGAAACGCTGATCATAATCAAAACATCAGACCAACTCTGTGATTTGTTTGCAGAATTTATGTCCTAAAATTAAAAAACTTGTTTAACAAACTATCATTAAAATATTGACACAGTTCACTATTTGTTACGAGGGAGGAGTGCAGAGAAAGGGACAGCCAGGTGTTAGAGAAGCACGTGCACAAGTGCCGACAAAGTTATTGATTCATTAACCTGTGCTGTGCCGTCTCCATCCTTTCTCGCACAGAGTTGGTCTGAAGTTTTGATTATGATCATTGTTTCAAGGAGTATTTTATGTTGATTAGTTTTCGAGTTAGATTGCAATTCATCGGTCCGCTTTTGAGCCAAACGGACTATACCTAAGTCAGCTCCTTTTCCGAGAGCAGGAAGCTAAACAGACAACCCCAGTTCCGCACAAAATGTCAACTGCTTGAAAATTCCTGTGGTCACATTCAGCATAAGTCATCATGTCAAAAAGGACAGCACAAAATATTGAAAAATGTGGTTAGTTTTAATTACTGGATGGATGGACACTGGGAAAACCACAAAAATCTAACCAAAAATCATCCAATCACAGCTGTCAGATGATTCAGGCTGCACAGAAGGCTCCCTACGAAAGGTGCTTGTTAAACTACGGATTCTGGTTTGGTGCAGCGTAACGTGTAGCACCACTAAGTGAATAAATGAGTCTAGTTTACGCTGTTAGCAACATTTCAGCAATATCACGGCAGAGGACACCAGAATTGGTCTCCACACATTGTACCCATGTGGGGAATCGAACCCAGGCCTTCGGAGTGACGAGCGAACGCTTTAACCACTAGGCGACCCCCATTTCAGAATTCTTTTCTGATATCAGATTACACAGCCATTACAGGTTGATTTGACTGGAATTAAAAAATGACCATGGCTCATGGATATTTTTGTTACTTAATGATTTATCCTACCTAACCACCATTAGTACAAGTAGCGTGTTTGTCTTACGTGAACAAACCCACGTTGAACTCCCACGCGACGGATTATCTGTCGAACAAAAGGCAATATGTTTACAACACTAATACTATACAACTGACAGGCCCGGCGGTTCTACATGTAACATAAGCATACAAGTAGCTTAATGCTAGGCTTCACGAACATCGGCCCAAACCTACCTTTACGTAACCTGTTCTTTCCAGCTGAACAGTGGCTCTTTCTCTTTGACCTTATGTCGGGGCTCAGAGAGGTATACCTCGTTATAAGGGTATTCCGGCTGGGTGTAAGTCACAGAAATGGGGAAATACGTGAAAGGCGCGGACGTCAGTGTAAGCAGCCGCTTCTCGCCGTGTCACTCACGCCATGTAACCAGGCTACTTGCTGACAAACTTTATTGACAAGAAATGACGACTGGGTAGCGTAATGGTTAAAGCGTTCGTTCTCACGCCGAAGATCCGGGTTCGATTCCCCACATGGGTACAATGTGATAAGCCCATGTCTGGTGTTCCCCGCCGTGATATACCCTGGAATATTGCTGAAAGTGGCATAAAACTAAACTGACTCACTCACTAACTCAAGTAAATTTCAACATAAACTCAAAAACAAAACCTAAAACGAAATATTGCTCCATGGAAAATGTTTATGTGGAGGAGTTATTAAAACCTTTAGTTGAATTATTGAAGTAAAATGGCGAACTGTTCAAGGTCATCGCCCAATATCTAACAAATCTCTTGAGAATGACAGACATCTCTGACAATGACTTTTAAATGTGAATATACTATGTACGACAAACGTTTTGTTTTGTCTCTATGAGGCATTTTAATGTACAACGTCAACGCAAGATAATAACCTGTTTTGATTATTCGACGAAATAAGCGAACATAATTCACTGGATGAGCGAACACTATAAGTACTGTCGGAAATAGAAAAACTGTTTTTAGGCTGTTACTCTGTATCCCGAAATTTGACACAATTGCAAAATAGCATATGTTCAGTGGGATGCGTAATACGATATCCAGAAAAGCATGTTTACTCGTAAAATCGGGCAAAACTTAGAAAAAATACGAATAGCTGCTGAAAGATCAGACTGTAGATGGCAATTAGGTCGCTCAGCCAGGTATGACGGCGGACCGTCGACTCACCTGGCATGAAATGCACGTGCTGCCTACAGGCACAAGGGGTCATCTCAAAGATATTTTGTGCTTTTTCATGTGTGTTGACTATGTCTCATCTATTGATTAACATCTTACCTGTCTTTCTCTCATAAAGTTTATGTTGAGATATGTAATATCGGTTAATGGAAGCGCATTGCAACCCTAACCTAAATTATATTTATCATGACACACCTATGTGCTATTTCAGACCCCCAAAACACGAAAACCATAGAAACGCATCGTAGTATATAGGTGGCATGACTACCCGCAGATCGACAGGACTGGATATCATTTGTAAATTGTTATGACGTGCAGTGTACCTCCCCAGTATTATTGCCCTAAAGGATTATCTTATCTTAGCTGATATCTCTGTCCCCAAGCCCGACCCAGGTTTTGCTTTTTGAGGCGACCCTCCTATCTGTTTCTTTTATAGTGACAGTGAGACTGCATGGTAGCTATATCCTTAATAGTTTCGGCATAAAAGTTATTATTTTTACGTCAGCTATCGTTTATCATGAAGCTACGTCTAATTTCAAATTGGGCATTTAAAAGTGTCCTTTGTAATACAATATCGTTGCACACTAATTTGCATAAAGCCATGGTCTGTTCCAAATAAGTCTTTTTTGGACTTAGAAAAACCGCATTGCTCATTTCTGCACTAATTCCCCTCAGTAAAGTCATTTTTCTCCGTTTCCTATCTCTACCACTGAGACTGTAGTTAGGCCGAACTTAGGTTAACAGATCTTGTTTGGCTACCACCGGCTGTTTACAAATCTGATAGTATCCATTTGTTCCTCTACAGAAGTACACATGTACTCTATGTAATTTTACGCAATCAAGTTACGAACGAGAAGAGCAGCTATGCTGATATTGTTGAAGCATAAACAGAAATAAGTCAAGTTTGAATTGCGTCTGCCGTGTAGAAGCGCAGAAGTTCTGCACATTTAAAATTAGCTCGTTTTGCATTACTGTGAGGGGGCAGAATTTTATGGATGTCAACTTCTTTATTGTGAAGGGTCACGACGTTTCGAAGTATATTATTACTCCTTCATCAGTTACTTATTTCATCATTCACCTGATGAAGGAGTAAAATATACTTCGAAACGTCGTGACCCTTCACAATAAAGAAGTTGACATCCATACAATTCCTGCTTTTATATGTATCACTTCTTAATGCCCTTCAAAGACTCCACAGTGAGAGAGGTTTTAATGTTTAATTTAGTTTGCCAACAAGAAGAAAACGTTTCTGTTGAATATCTGTCTATCAGCGGGTTGATACGTGTGTTTTCACTACAGATTGTAAGGAAGTTACGCGTGGTCGTACGCATATGAACACTAATTTCTCAGTGTTAACTTAACAACATGACTATGTCTTTTTCATTTTTTTGACCAACCATTATTCATGATTTTAATGTCTCGTAGTCCGTTTGGGTGGCGTTTGAAGATGTGTTTACTCGGTTATGCTTCGCCGATTTTTATTACCTCGAAGTACAAAAATAAACCATTTTGACTGTCTGACATACACCTGATGCACGAAGAACCATCATTTATCTATAGATTTTAATCCAATTGTTTGAAATTCCAAAAATACACTCAGATAGATGGAGAGAGAGAGATGGAGAGAGAGAGATGGAGAGAGAGAGAGGGTGAGAGAGAGAGAGAGAGAGAGAGAGGGAGGGAGAGAGATGGAGAGAGAGAGAGAGAGAGAGAGAGAGAGAGAGAGAGAGAGGGAGAGAGAGAGAGAGAGAGAGAGGGAGAGAGAGAGATGTTATGTTATTTCACGTTATGTTATATTCTTTATGTATGTGGTTTTGATGAAAAATAATCGGTCAACTATTAGTCATTTGCATTTCTTGATATAGAAACAACCACGAGCCTGCCCACACACAATGACAATGTCTTGCAAATTGATATATATGTGTGTGTTGTATTGACTCCAGTGAGTGAATCACCCGGTTCGAACTCCATCTTAATCATTGGTGAAGGACATTAACGTGTGCCCCTTTGTCAGGATATCCCTGAATACATGTAGAGAGAGAGAGAGAGAGAGAGAGAGAGAGAGAGAGAGAGAGAGAGAGAGAGAGAGAGAGAGAGAGAGAGAGAGAGAGAGAGAGAGGGGGAGAAATGAGAGATGGAGAGAGATGGAGAGAGAGAGGGAGAGAGAGAGAGAGGAGAGAGAGAGAGAGGTACAGAGAGAGAGATGGAGAGAGAGAGAGAGAGAGAGAGAGATGGAGAGAGAGAGAGAGAGAGATGGAGAGAGAGAGGAGAGAGAGAGAGAGAGAGAGAGAGAGAGAGAGAGAGAGAGAGAGAGAGAGAGAGAGAGAGAGAGAGAGAGAGAGAGAGAGATGTTATATGATGTTATTTCACGTTATGTTATATTTCTTTATGTATGTAGGAAGTTTCTTGATGAAAAAATAATCGGTCAACTATTAATCATTTGTATTTCTTGATATAGAAACAACCACTCCTATTCGTCCACGCACACAATGACAATGTCTGCCAATTGTCAATTGATATATGTGAGTTGTATTTACCCAGTGAGTGAATCACTCGCTACCACGTCGAAAACCCGGTTCGAACCTCCATCTTAATCATTAGTGAAGGCCATTAACGTGTGCCCCTTGTCAGGATATCCCTTGAATATTACGTAAAGCGGCGTAAAGTTATCTCCATTTCACTCCCACATGACCCAATGACCCCTTTATTCTGCTGGATACGTCTGGCGGAAACGAGGCCCCACGTTAACCCTGACCTCATGCTAAATGCATGGAACAGTTCAATCAAACTGCATTATTTTAGCTAACCCTATAATGTTCCTCCTCCTCGACAGCCACAGCGCCAGCGTCGGCACCTTCACGTCGATGATTAAAGCGGCTACTGGGTGCACGTTCAACACGCAGGCCAAGCTGACATGACATTACATATACATATACATATATATACACGGGCGATTATACAACGTGATGAGAAGGCATACATACACTGGAGAGATACAGAGAGAGAGAGAGAGAGAGAGAGAGAGAGAGAGAGAGAGAGAGTGAAGGTGTGAGGGAGAGATAGAGTGGAGAGGAGAGACATAGAGAGAAAGAGAGAGAGAGAAAAAGGGAGAGAGAGAGAGAGGGAGAGAGAGGAGAGGGAGAGAGAGAGAGAGAGAGAGAGAGAGAGTGGGGAGGAGAGAGAGAGAGAGGGGAGAGAGAGAGAGAGAGAGAGAGAGAGAGAAAGAGAGAGGAGAGAGGGAGGAGAGAGAAGGAGAGAAAAAGGGGAGAGAGAGAGAGAGAGAGAGAGAGAGGTCAGTTCTCTGGAAGAGAATTTCCTATCGTTGCCTGATGTTTAGATCAGCCAGGGCGGTGAGGGTAGCCTAGTGGTTAAAGCGTTGGCTCGTCACGCCGAAGACCCCAGGTTCGATTCCCACATGGGTACAATGTGTGAAGCCATTTCTGGTGACCCCTGCCGTGATATTGCTGGAATATTGCTAAAAAGCTGCGTCAAACCCAACTCACTCACTCACTTAGATCGGCCAGAAGAGAAGATCTTGTGACTTATTGACGTTTTGAGGCTAAACTCTCTTGATGGAACGAGGCATTGATGTATTGGTTAAAAGCAGATTAAACCGCAAAGCCACCCTTGTAGTCCCGGTTATGAAAGTAGGTGGATGCAGCCAAGTTAAATATTGACAATGATCTTGGCGAGTGGTTGCAAAGGCCACAATCAACCTTTATCATTCACCAGAGACGACCGGCCGGATGTTATTCGTGACCTGATTGTGTGTCATCGAACGCCCTATAAACCGTCAATCCCGCTAACAGCTTGGTAGTCTAACAAAACCGTCTATGGGCTCACCTTATGTTATAAAGAGAACAGAGACCATCTAATATTATATGGTCTCTGGTTAGAAGAAGAAAATATTCCGAGGAATTTAGAACGTTGACGTTGACCTTTATGACCCAACACTGCCGCTGTTACAGGTCATTGGCTCCCTCCCTCTGCAAGCCGTCTGCGTTCTGCTGTTTATTTTTTTGACAGTTACATAGACAGATTCTTTAATACAAATGCATAAAATCGGTGATTTACAATGTGATTAGGTTGTCTGACAAAACATCCACTTGCACAGTTTGAGATCGATTGGGTCATTGGATGAAGAGATATTTACAAAAAACCGGGTCCACATGCATTTCATGCCAAACTATATGTGTGAATATCAGTCAAATGATATACCACAGCACGTGGGTGAAGCTTACATATGACACATGTCATTGGTGAAACCCAGTTGGCACTTAACGTACAATTAGATAAGGATCATAAGTGGAAATATCAGAGATTCGAACCTCAATCACCGGATCCTGCATCGATGAAGGGGCTCAAATGACAATATAGGATATTTATATAGCGCACATATCCACGCAATTAGTACATGTTCAAGGTGCTGGAGTGTTCCCTTGATCAACGGATGTCTTTTTCGGGCATTCTTTTAACCAACTCAACTCCCTGGGGAGTATTCAACTCATGCAGCCTGTTCGGCTTATGAAGTTATCACACAGCCTCATCCTCACAAGGTACCCATTTGCAGCTGGGTGAACTGGGACACATAGTCACAGTATTTTGTCCAATGATACTGCACGTTACTATACCCGTAACTAGATGTCCGCACATGTTCCTGCCCCCACCCTCTGGTCACCTTCCATCGGATTCGTGGGTTGTTTTACGTTGACCGGGTGGTGTAGTGCACAGTAGGGGTAGTGACAACACTGAAAGAGCCTACATGTAATGTTAGCTCCAAGGTTTTTACACCCGGTCACAAGTGGGGATCGATCCAGGCAGCCTGCGCTTACTACCGCGGCGCCTTGTATGAGCCTTCCGAACATACCACCCATGTGGGTCCGGGTTAGCATGAACCTTCAGTAACCAATGCTTGTCGTAAGAGGCGACTAACGGGATCGGGTGGTCAGGCTCGCTGGCTTGGTTGACACATGTCATCGGTTCCCAATTGCGCAGATCGATGCTCATGCTGTTGATCACTGGATTGTCTGGTCCAGACTCGATTGTTTACAGACCGCCGCCATATAGCTGGAATATTGCTGAGTGCGGCGTAAAACTAAACTCACTCACTCACTTCCGAACATACCACATTCGCCCACCCTTTAGATCCAGGGATCATTATCATGTGTTTGTAAGATGTTCTGTACACGTTGATGATGTGTGATTCAAACTAATTCCGCCATGTCGTTTGTATAGCTGGAGGAATTCGTCAGGGTGACGCCTAACCTCGGGCCGGGTGCCGCGGGATTCGAGCAGGCGATTACTCAGACCAAGTCCAACATTGAATGGATGCGGGTGAACTATCCAGTCGTAAAACAGTGGCTGGAGAGCCTGAGGTCACGTCAAGGTCAGGGTCTCCATCTCAGGTCAAGGTGAGGTCACCAACCGTCACATCTTTAAATCAGTATATCCTTTTCGCTGTTAAACGCCAATTGCTGTCTGAAACTAATCTGGGCCGGACAATCCAGTAATTGACATCATGAGCTACGATGACAGACGATCACTTGCTTTAGAAACTCTTTGTTACCCTTGAAGATCCGAGTTAGAATTGGTCTTCAGCATTCCATGCTGCTTGAGAAGCTACTAACATGATCGTGTGTTCAGGTAAACAAATGTCGTGGTATCCCAAATGCTAGATCGATGCTCATGACGTTGACTGTAGAGACCTGTGAAGATCCGGGTTAGAATTGATCTTCAGTAACCCATGTTAGTCGTAAGAGGCGACTAACGGGATCTGGTGGTCAGGCTCGCTGACTTGGTTGACACATGTCATCGTATCCCCATTGCGTAGATTAATGCTCATGCTATTTATCACTGGATTGTCTGGTCCAGACTGATTATTTATTCTCGCCATATAGCTGTAACATTGCTGAAGAAGCAAACAAAATCATGCATTCTGACTCTTAGCCGACATTTTGGGTTTTTTTGCGATCGCTCGGGCATGTTGGCATAAATAAAAATGTATTCAAGAATCTACTTGAAAAGAGTAGGAAGTCGAGGGTCATTGATGTGATAACGTGTCTGACCAGCGTGTTCACGATACTGTTCCACTGTTATGTGTTTTGGCCTCCTTGTTTCAGATAAATGATTCAAGATCACCAGCACAATCTCAGCTGTTCGTGTGACGGTACAGTGCTTAACAATGACGAACAGGCTTCCAGGACACAGAAAGTGAAGATTGTCTTTGTGATGAATCAGTGGTGATATTGTTATGAAATGAGAATTCTAATTTCGGATGGATTGATGTTTCCTGTTAGATAATGCCAAACAAAGCGATGAAGACAACAAAGTTATTTGATATAAATTCTAAAATAGCTGAAGCATGTTTTCTGTTGTATTTGGGGTTTGTTTGTTTGTTTGTTAGGGTTGTTTTGTTTTGGGGTTTTTGGGGAGGGGCGGAGTGTAAATCCTTCGCATGTCACATGCGTTATTAATGGGGCTCTATGTTTATCCCTGTAGGGTGCCCGTGAAGATACGGGTTAGAATTGATCTTCAGTAACCCGTGCTTGTTGTAAGAGGCGACTTACAGGATCGGAAGGTGAGGCTCACTGACTTGGTTGACACATGTCATCGTAACAAATTGCAATTACGTAGATTGATGCTCATGCTGTTGATCACTGGATTGTCTGGTCTATACTCGATTATTTACAGACCGCCGCCATATAGCTGGAATGTTAAACAAACAAACAAGCAAACAGACAGACGAACAAAGAAACAAACATCCGTTACAAATGTGACATCAGTGGATGGTCGCTTCGTTGTGAAGAGGAGCGGTGGGGTAGCCTAGTGGTAAAGTGTTCGCTAGTCACGCCGAAGACCCGGGTTCGATTCCCAACAATCATGGGTGGTTTGTGTGAAGCCAATTTCAGGTGTCCCCCCGTGATATTGCTGGAATATTGCTACAAGCGGCGTAAAACCATACTCACTCACTCTCTCACACTCGTTGTGATGAGACTTGCAAGTTCGACAGCTTGATATCGAAGTCGAACGAGTCACATTGGCTTTCCACTGTACTGATAACTTGTCCTCAAACCTCTTCTGTCACGGCAGAGAAACCATAGTCGTCTGAGACTCAGCCAATTGCTGTGGAATGTAATCCCTTCTTACGTCAAGCGGGGCGGTGGGGTAGTCTAGTGGTTAAGGCGTTCGCTAGTCACGCCGAAGACCCGGGTTCGATTCCCCACATGGGTACAATGTGTTAAGCCCATTTCTGGTGTCCCCCCGCCGTGATATTGCTGGAATATTGCTAACAGCGGCGTAAAACCAAACTCACTCACTCACTCTAACGACAAGCATGGGTTACTGAAGATCAGCTTTAACTCTTTTGTCTTCACGGGATTTTGTGGATCGGGACCAACGATGTTATGATTGTAGGTTCAAACCCCAGAATTTGATTGTGATGTTTGGATTGTAAGCCTCCTGTCCATGTAAACACCTCATACCTGTATTACATCGGGCTTTCCTGCTACATTAAGTACACGCGCACTGATAAAACTGTTTTACAAGTGATATCTCTTCTGAAAACCAGTATTGAATGATCTCCCAAATATCCGTCCATGTCTGTTTACCTGCTCCACGACGGTCTTCATACTGGCAGTCTCAATACCCGTTAAACCACCCCAAATATAGGTCACGACGTATAAACTTTATAAAGAAAATATTGGCCCGATATTATGTTTCTGTTTGAAAAGCGCAAACCCGTTCAACAATTCGCATGCCCACGTGATCACGTGCCCTGTATAGGGAGGTACGAGGATTGCTGGTGGTTATGCGCTCGGGTAGTTGGACGGGCTGAATCGTGGAAAGGTTGGTGTAGATAGAAGTGATGAATTTAATATCATAGCCTTTGTTGTCTAGAAACCTAGAAGAGAATATCTTCCTGCATATCTTACGATGTATTTCAGCTGAGCAGTATATTTTATCTATGTATTCTTAGAATGTCAATTTTGATGTTAATGTTGGTCGTTTTGGGAGCTTGAGTGTACGCAAGTGTGTTCATGTGTGTACGTTGATAAGTTTGCGTGTGCACGTGTATGTACCCTTGCTTGAGTGGATGCATGTGTGAGTGTGTTTCCATGTGCGTATGCCTTTTCTTTCAGTACGTAAACATATAGTCTTCGAAGAAAGGCATTTGAAATTAACTGTTTAATATGTTCAAATAATCTGTGTAGTTGAAGTGATGCTTGTTTGGAGCCTGTGGCTAGGACCATTTCATGTGGCTAGTAAAACGTCGTGCTTGAGAATATTTCAATCGGGCTAGTAAATCTCAACAGTCACTGAAGCCCAACTGGCTAGTGCATATTCATGGGGCCGACATTTTGTAAATATATCAATCTCTCTTTGGTATGACGCGGTCGAAATCATGGAAGATCACGGCCTGATTAAAATGTTCATCACATTAACAGCTTAATGATGAAACCCGTGTCATGCCGACAATATCTTATTCTCATCTATTTTTGTAATCTTTTACTTAGTTTCTACATCACAAATTTTGGGCTAGTGAAATATTTTTCTGAGCTAGTAATCATTCAGGTACATTCAGGTAATTATTTTGTGAGCTAGACTGGCCTGACTGGCTAGCAAAATTTGGAAACTATGTCGCACACTGCCTTAACACATTTTGAGAATCTTGGTCTTGTGTCGTCTGTGTGTGTTGTAGGAGTTTGAATGTTTGTGTGTTCTGTGTCTTTTCTAGGAGTGTGTATGTTTGTGTGTGTTCGAGTAGTGTGAATGTGTGTTGCCTGTGTGTGTCGTAGGAGTGAGACTGTTTGTGTGTTATCTGTGTGGCTTCGAAGAGTGTGAATGTTTGTGTGTTGTCTGTGTGTGTTGGTGGACTGTGAATGTTTGTGTGTTCTCTGTGTGTGTTGAAGGACTGTGAATGTTTGTGTGTTGTCTGTGTGTGTTGAAGGACTGTGAATGTTTGTGTGTTGTCTGTGTGTGTTGTAGGTGTGTGAATGTTTGTGTGTTGTAGGAGCGTGAATGTTTGTGTGTTGTCTGTGTGTGTTGTAGGTGTGTGAATGTTTGTGTGTTGTCTGTGTGTGTTGTAGGAGCGTGAATGTTTGTGTGTTGTCTGTGTGTGTTGTAGGAGTGTGAATGTTTGTGTGTTGTCTGTGTGTGGTGTAGGCGTGTGAATGTTTGTGTGTTTTCTGTGAATTTAGTGTAGGTGTGTGAATGTTGTGTGTTGTCTGTGTATGTGGTGTAGGAGTGTGAATGTTTGTGTGTTGTCTGTGTGGGATGTAGGTGTGTAAATGTTTGTTTGTTGTCAGTGTGTGTTGTAGGAGTGTGCATGTTTGTGTGTTGTCTGTGTGTGGTGTAGGAGTGTGAATATTTGTGTGTTATCTGTGTGTTGTAGGTGTTTGAATGTTTGTGTGTTGTATGTGTGTGTTGTAGGAGCGTGAATGTTTGTGTGTTGTCTGTGTGTGTTGTAGGACTGTGAATGTTTGTGTGTTGTCTGTGTGTGGTGTAGGCGTGAGAATGTTTGTGTGTTTTCTGTGTGTGGTGTAGGTGTGTGAATGTTTGTATGTTGTCTGTGTGTGTGGTGTAGGAGTGTGAATGTTTCTATGTTGTCTGTGTGTAGTGTATGAGTGTGAATGTTTGTGTGTTGTCTGTGTGTGTTGTAGGACTGTGAATGTTTGTGTGTTCTCTGTGTGTGTTGAAGGACTGTGAATGTTTGTGTGTTGTCTGTGTGTGTTGAAGGACTGTGAATGTTTGAGTGTTGTCTGTGTGTGTTGAAGGACTGTGAATGTTTGTGTGTTGTCTGTGTGTGTTGTAGGTGTGAATGTTTGTGTGTTGTATGTGTGTATTGTAGGAGCGTGAATGTTTGTGTGTTGTCTGTGTGTGTTGTAGGAGTGTGAATGTTTGTGTGTTGTCTGTGTGTGGTGTAGGCGTGTGAATGTTTGTGTGTTTTCTGTGAATTTAGTGTAGGTGTGTGAATGTTGTGTGTTGTCTGTGTATGTGGTGTAGGAGTGTGAATGTTTGTGTGTTGTCTGTGTGTGGTGTAGGTGTGTAAATGTTTGTTTGTTGTCAGTGTGTGGTGTAGGAGTGTGAATATTTGTGTGTTATCTGTGTGTTGTAGGAGTGTGCATGTTTGTGTGTTGTCTGTGTGTGGTGTAGGAGTGTGAATATTTGTGTGTTATCTGTGTGTTGTAGGTGTTTGAATGTTTGTGTGTTGTATGTGTGTGTTGTAGGAGCGTGAATGTTTGTGTGTTGTCTGTGTGTGTTGTAGGACTGTGAATGTTTGTGTGTTGTCTGTGTGTGGTGTAGGCGTGTGAATGTTTGTGTGTTGTCTGTGTGTGGTGTAGGTGTGTGAATGTTTGTATGTTGTCTGTGTGTGTGGTGTAGGAGTGTGAATGTTTCTATGTTGTCTGTGTGTAGTGTATGAGTGTGAATGTTTGTGTGTTGTCTGTGTGTGTTGTATGCGTTTGAATGTTAGTGTGTTATCTGTGTGTGTAATAGGAGTGTGAATGTTTGTATGTTGTCTGTGTGTAGTGTAGGAGCGTGAATGTTTGTGTGTTTTCTGTGTGTGGTGTAGGAGTGCGAATGTTTGTGTGTTATCTGTGTGTTGTAGGTGTTTGAATGTTTGTGTGTTGTATGTGTGTGTTGTAGGAGCGTGAATGTTTGTGTGTTGTCTGTGTGTGTTGTAGGACTGTGAATGTTGTGTGTTGTCTGTGTGTGTGGTGTATGAGTGTGAATGTTTGTGTGTTGTCTGTGTGTGGTGTAGGTTAGTGAATGTTTCTGTGTTGTCTGTGTGTGTAATAGGAGTGGGAATGTTTGTGTGTTGTCTGTGTGTGTTGTAGGAGTGTGAATGTTTGTGTGTTGTCTGTGTGTGGTGTAGTTGTGTGAATGTTTGTGTGTTGTCAGTGTGTTGTCGGAGTGTGAATGTATATGTGTTGCAGGAGTGTACATGTTAGTGTGCTGTCTGTGTGTTGTCTGTGTGTGTAATAGGAGTGTGAATGTTTGCGTGTTGTCTGTGTGTGGTGTAGGTGCGTGAATGTTTGTATGTTTTCTGTGTGTGGTGTATGAGTGTGAATGTTAGTGTGTGTGTCTGTGTGTGTATTAGTGTGTTGTCTGTGTGTGTAATAGGAGTGTGAATGTTTGCGTGTTGTCTGTGTGTGGTGTAGGTGCGTGAATGTTTGTATGTTTTCTGTGTGTGGTGTATGAGTGTGAATGTTAGCGTGTTGTCTGTGTGTGTAATAGGATCGTGAATGTTTGTATGTTTTCTGTGTGTGGTGTAGGTGTGTGAATGTTTGTATGTTGTCTGTGTGAGGTGTATGACCGTGAATTTTAGTGTGTTGTCTGCGTGTGTGCCGTAGGTGTGTGAATGTTTTTTAACTGTGTGTGTGTGTGGTGTAGGTGTGTGAATGTTTGTATGTTGTGTGTGTGAGGTGTAGGGGTGTGAATGTTTGTATGTTGTATGTGTGAGGTGTAGGAGTGTGAATATTTGTATGTTGTCTGTGTGAGGTGTAGGAACGTGAATGTTTGTATGTTGTCTGTGTGTGGTGTAGGAGTGTGAATGTTTGTTTGTTGTGTGTGTGTGTGTGTAAAAGGAGTGTGAATGTTTGCGTGTTGTCTGTGTGTGGTGTAGGTGTGTGAATGTTTGTATGTTGTCTGTGTGTGAGGTGTATGAGTGTGAATGGGTTTTTTTGCTGTGTGTGTGTTGTAGGTGTGTGAATGTTTGTATGTTGTCTGTGTGAGGTGCAGGAGTGTGAATGTTTGTATGTTGTCTGTGTGTGGTGTAGGTGTGTGAATGTTGTGTGTTGTCTGTGTGTGGTGTAGGTGTGTGAATGTTGTCTGTGTGTGTGGTGTAGGTGTATGAATGTTTGTTTGTTGTCTGTGTGTGTGAGCATTCTTTTGGTTATTAACCCTCAACGTTTAGTTGCCATAAATCAAATGTTGTCCACTCTGTGCATTATCAATCAATGTACGGAACGTCAACTTGAGCATCAGCCATGATGATGAATGATGAAGTGGGTGTTCATTTAATATGCATACACATGACTGTGACATTTGTTACTGCTCACCAATTCGTTCTGAAATGTGCTCACCAGTTTGTTCAGACAAGTGGTCACCAGTTTGTTGAGACTTGTGGTCACGGTATCACCAGACTTATTTTGAAACAGACTGAAACTAATCCTCCTATTGTTCTACGTGTGACTGCATTTTGTTGTTTTAAGAAAAATGGGCACAGTGGTGTCGTCTCAGGACGCCGACCTGTATATTTCACTCAACCGTAAAGTTTGGTCGAAAGGTCGGCTTTATGAGCCTGAACCTACACATGAGTTCTTAATTATTTTCGTTTATCTGTAAGGTGTCCTCCCATTACGCAGACAGCCAGTTCGCAGACACCTTAAAACAACAACATTTACGGTTCAGTGAACAGAACAGTGTTGTATAATATAAATCAAATAAAGACAAATGTGAACCTAAATATTATTCATATGGAATAAAGAAGTTATATGTTTTGCACACAATATTAAGATATATGACGAGTGCACTTAATTACGATTTATTTAGAATAATTTTTAAAAAAAATGACGCATCATGTCAATGTGGCCATGGCTGTGAGAATGTTTTTCATTACTTCCTTGAATGTCTATTGTATACTACTCAAAGACATAAACTGTTACAATCTTAAGAAGGTATTGCTAAAATTAGAACACTGATTGGTATTAATCGTATCTTACATGGCAATGCAGGTGTCTCATTTACTACAAATCAGAATGTTTTCAAATATGTACATATCTATATCTCTCCAACAAAACATTTTGTCAATTAACTTCAGTTGTACATATGCTATTATTGGGAGGGGGGCTTTTCTATCAATAAACACAATATAACCTCTCAGTGACAAACCTGTTTTTATATTCGATAGTAATTGATAGTAAAATAAATTTTGAGAAGAGATATCATTTATCATTTAATCACAACAAAGTTCTATTTACCCACAATCAAACTTTTCAGTAACGAACCTGTTTCAGGCTCACCCTGCTCCATTATACCCATAGGTGTTACCCTCATTAACCTTCTAGTTCAGTGTCTGCCAATTGGGTGTCTGTCAAATGGGAGATAACCATCTGTAACCATCATTATTTTGGAATTGTTATGTTGCTGGGGTGGTATTTATATAAGAAGAACAGTGTTTTTTAGCAACCCAGGTTTCTGAAAATAAATATGTTTAAACCATAAATAGGGACAGTCTTTCTCCGGTGTCGCTAAACACCACCCTTTTGAGTAAAAACAATATTATACACGGGGACACTCTTTTACAAGTTACGGTAATTAATTAATTAATTAATCTATTGGAAATGTGGCTTTACCGCCTACAGCCATGTAATTGAAATGTGGCCTTCCCGGCAATAGTCATTTTTGAAATGTGGCTTTCCCGGCAATAGTCATTTTTGAAATGTGGCTTTCCGGGCCGGACACTGGGTACCTATGTTCAGCTGAACGATCGTCAAATTCTGACAGATAAACCGGGACTGTATTTACGATCAACTAAATTTGGATGAAATATGTACTAATCAACATGCAGTGTTTCTTTCTCCGACATTGCAAAACACATGAATCAACCCATGACGTCAACTAAAAGATATGGCTGGTACTAACGTTCGACATATCCGCAGTTGTTTAGTATCACAAAATAGATATACGTATCTGCATAATCTAGCTGAAGATCGACATATCCTTTTATCTATAGTTGTACAATCCAACCGGTTTGCGCCAAATCCGTAATTTATCATCTTACTGTAGTTCGGCACTTCCGTAGTTTATCATCTTACTGTATTTCGGCACATCCGTAGTTGTACCTTCTGACAGTAGTTCAGCAAAACCGTAGTTGTGTAATCTTGCTGTAGTTTGGCACATCCGTAGTTGCACCATCTTACTGCAGTTCGGCAGTTCAGTAGTTGTATCCTCTTACTGTAGTTCGGCACATCCGTAGCTGAATAATCTTACTGTACGAAGGGGCAAGGAATAGCCCAGAAACGTTGTGTATGTACAATAAAGAAGAAGTTGACATCCATAATATTTTGTCTTATAATCTTACTGTAGTTCAGCACATCCGTAGTTTATAGTATTATTGTAGTTCGACACATTCGTAGTTGTATGATCTTACTGTGGTTCGGAACATCCGTAGTTTATAATTTTATTGCAGTTCGACATATCCGTAGTTGTTTCATCTTAGCGTAGTTCGACACATCCGTAGTTTATAATCTTATAACAGTTCGACACATCTGTAGTTAAATCATCTCACTGTAGTTCTACACATCCGTAGTTTAATCATCTTACTGTAGTTCGGCACATCCGTAGTTTGTAATTTATTGCAGTTCGACACATACGTAGGTGTATCTTATTACTGTAGTTCGACACATCCACAGTTTATAATCTTATAACAGTTGAAGTTAAATCATTTCACTGTAGTTCTACACATCTGAAGTTTTCAATCTTATAACAGTTCGACACATCCTTAGTTAAATCATCTCACTGTAGTTCTACACACCCGTAGTTCAATCATCTTACTGTAGTTCGGCACATCCGTAGCTGTATGATGCAACTGAAGTTTGACATAGATCCGTTTGTGTTCGAACCAGTGTCCAACATTTAAAATCAAGCTTTGCTGTTTCTCCCCAGCTAAAACCCGGTGGCTATGGGAGAATATACCCTGTCCGACCTCAACGGTACCGCTTCAATGCCTGGGGAGAAGCGCAGCGGCGGAGTTCACATTAGCCATGGAGCGGCGTTCGTCCTGGTCCTTCTTGCTGTCTGTTTGGCCGTGTTGGTGGGGCTTGTTGTGCACCTGGCTTCCCCAGGTCAGGTTGTCTGCAAGTGTGAAACAGTAGCGACGCCTCCACTCGGTCCAGAGGAGCTCCGGGGACGCTGTGTGGAGCTAGCGGGAAACGGTGATCTTAAAGTCTGTAAGTCGTTCTTCAATTTTTTAGGTGAAAAATGGCTTTAATCTTGACTGGACGAATATGAGGTCATCTGATAGAATATAAAAATATTTGTTGAAAATGTATTTTGAAGATGTTACTGATGTTCAATCGCTTTTGTCTGTTGCGTCTTTTTTTTGAAACTGAAAACATTAGTTAAGAAAATATGACGTTCATTGCCATATTGGAGGTATTCATATCTCCATTACTTCAATCAGGTGGCGCATGCTCAGAGAAAACAACGGCAGCAACAGCCACGACAACAGTAACGATCCCCACATCACCAACCACAACAATTACAACACCAGCCCCCGTCATCAACTACCGCCTCCCTACAGCTGTCAAACCTTTCCACTACGTACTTGAACTCCAACCCGAGATATACGGCGACAACTCGTCTCTGTTCACCTTTAGCGGGACAGTTTCTATCGTCATCAACGTAACGCAAGCAACGTCTAACGTGACCTTGCACAAGAAAGATCTCATGATTAATAATGACTCTTTATCCCTGCGACCTCTTGACAACCTGAGCGACAGGGGTCCGTCTATTGTCAGCACAAGTTATGACGAGGTCCGGGAATTTTACGTCCTTCACCTTGATAATGACCTTCAACCCGGAAGATCATATGCAGTCGGGATGAGTTTTGACGCCAAAATGAGAACCGACGGGGAGGGCCTGTATCTCAGTTCCTACAAGGCGGATTCGAATGAAACCATGTAAGAAAGAAATGCTAAGCTGAAGTCTTCGTCAATATATTTGCCAACAAAGCCAAATAAGATGTAACATTTCGTATACAGTTATCACCTACGTCCTGCAAAGTATATGCATATTAATAATTTTCAAATTCGAGTCAATGTCTGCATGAATGGGAAACTTTTTGTGTATTATTTTCTTGAAAAGGTCTTTGTGATCTCATGTTGTGATCGGGTAAAATAGTACTTCGTAGAATCTGGCTTAATATTATTTGTTTATCTTTCAGATACTTAGTATCTACTCAGTTCGAGGCACCTCATGCGAGGAAAGCGTTCCCGTGCTTTGATGAACCGGCTCTGAAGGCGACATTTGACATTACCCTGGTCAGGAAGACGACCACTGGACGTAACTACCGGTCACTGGCTAATACAGAAGTCTTGTCCAATGAGACCAGGTGAGGTGGTATAGCGACTGGTTAGAGCAGGTGAGGTGAGGACCTTTATATACAAGAATAGGTGAGGGTATAGGGAGGAGCTGTAAGACCTTTATATACATCACGTCTGGTTAGACCAGGTGAGGTGGCATAGCAAGGCACTGTAAGACCTTTATATACATCACGTCTGGTTAGACCAGGTGAGGTGGCATAGCAAGGCACTGTAAGACCTTTATATACATCACGTCTGGTTAGACCAGGTGAGGTGGGCATAGCACTGTAAGGCACTGGTTAGACCATGTGGCAGGTGGTATAGCATCAGCTGTAAGACCTTTATATACATCACGTCTGGTTAGACCAGGTGAGGTGGTATAGCAAGGCACTGTAAGACCTTTATATACATCACGTCTGGTTAGACCAGGTGAGGTGGCATAGCAAGGCACTCTGAGACCTTTATATACATCACGTCTGGTTAGACCAGGTGAGGTGGCATAGCAAGGCACTGTAAGACCTTTATATACATCACGTCTGGTTAGACCAGGTGAGGTGGTATAGCAAGGCACTCTGAGACTCTATAGACCTTTATATACATCACGTCTGGTTAGACCAGGTGAGGTGGCATAGCAAGGCACTGTAAGACCTTTATATACATCACGTCTGGTTAGACCAGGTGAGGTGGTATAGCGAGGAACTGTGAGACCTTTATATACATCACGTCTGGTTAGACCAGGTGAGGTGGTATAGCGAGGAACTGTAAGACCTTTATATACATCACGTCTGGTTAGACCAGGTGAGGGTGGTATAGCGATAGAAGGCACTGTAAGACCTTTATATATACATCATGTCTGGTTAGACCAGGTGAGGTGGTATAGCGAGGAACTGTAAGACCTTTATATACATCACGTCTGGTTAGACCAGGTGAGGTGGTATAGCGAGGCACTGTAAGACCTTTATATACATCACGTCTGGTTAGACCAGGTGAGGTGGTATAGCGAGGAACTGTAAGACCTTTATATACATCACGTCTGGTTAGACCAGGTGAGGTGGTATAGCGAGGCACTGTAAGACCTTTATATACATCACGTCTGGTTAGACCAGGTGAGGTGGTATAGCGAGGAGCTGTAAGACCTTTATATACATCACGTCTGGTTAGACCAGGTGAGGTGGTATAGCGAGGAACTGTAAGACCTTTATATACATCACGTCTGGTTAGACCAGGTGAGGTGGCATAGCGAGGAGCTGTAAGACCTTTATATACATCACGTCTGGTTAGACCAGGTGAGGTGGTATAGCGAGGAACTGTAAGACCTTTATATACATCACGTCTGGTTAGACCAGGTGAGGTGGGTATAGCGAGGCACTGTAAGACCTTTATATACATCATGTCTGGTTAGACCAGGTGAGGTGGTATAGCGAGGGAGCTTTAAGACCTTTATATACATCACGTCTGGTTAGACCAGGTGAGGTGGTATAGCGAGGACTCTAAGACCTTTATATACATCACGTCTGGTTAGACCAGGTGAGGTGGTATAGCGAGGGACTTTTAGCTGGTAAGACCTTTATATACATCACGTCTGGTTAGACCAGGTGAGGTGGTATAGCGAGGAGCTGTAAGACCTTTATATACATCACGTCTGGTTAGACCAGGGTGAGGTGGACCTTTATAGCAAGGCACTGGTGAGACCTTTATATACATCACGTCTGGTTAGACCAGGTGAGGTGGTATAGCAGGTCTGGATTAGACTTTAGCAAGGCACTCTGAGACCTTTATATACATCACGTCTGGTTAGACCAGGTGAGGTGAGGTATAGCGAGGAGCTTTAAGACCTTTATATACATCACGTCTGGTTAGACCAGGTGAGGTGGTATAGCGAGGCACTCTGCAAGACCTTTTATATACATCACGTCTGGTTAGACCAGGTGAGGTGGTATAGCGAGGAGCTGTAAGACCTTTATATACATCATGTCTGGTTAGACCAGGGTGAGGTGGCATAGCAAGGCACTCTGAGACCTTTATATACATCACGTCTGGTTAGACCAGGTGAGGTGGTATAGCGAGGAGCTGTAAGACCTTTATATACATCACGTCTGGTTAGACCAGGTGAGGGTGGTATAGCGAGGAGCTTTAAGACCTTTATATACATCACGTCTGGTTAGACCAGGTGAGGTGGCATAGCAAGGCACTGTAAGACCTTTATATACATCACGTCTGGTTAGACCAGGTGAGGTGGTATAGCGAGGAGCTTTAAATCCTTTATATACATCACGTCTGGTTAGACCAGGTGAGGTGGTATAGCGAGGAGCTGTAAGACCTTTATATACATCACGTCTGGTTAGACCAGGTGAGGTGGCATAGCAAGGCACTCTGAGACCTTTATATACATCACGTCTGGTTAGACCAGGTGAGGTGGTATAGCGAGGCACTCTGAGACCTTTATATACATCACGTCTGGTTAGACCAGGTGAGGTGGCATAGCAAGGTCACTCTGAGACCTTTATATACATCACGTCTGGTTAGACCAGGTGAGGTGGTATAGCGAGGTGGTATAGCGATGAACACTAAGACCAGTTTAAGGATCTTATAGTTCGTCGTGACAAATAACTGTCGGATTAGTTTTTGCATGTTTTCCATTACAGGGGCAACTATACAGCTGATAGCTTTGCAACGACGCCGGTAATGTCCACATACCTCCTCGCCTTCATCATTTGTGACTACGACCAACTGGAAAACACAACCTCAAATATAACGGTACGATCAAGGTATTTTTATAAAGCCGGGTTTTGTATGATTTGGGTTAGAATTGGTCTTCAGTAATCCATGCTTGTGGTAAAAGGCGACTAAGGGGATCGAGTGGTCAGGCTCGTATCCCAGTTGTGTAGATCGATGCTCATGATGTTGATCACAGGGCTGTCTGGTCAAGACTCGATCATTTACTGACCGCCGCCATATAGCTGGAATATTGACGTGTAAGTGGTTAACCAACCAACCAACGTTTAGCATTAGTTTTAGTAGTTTAGAATTACACAATCGTGCTGTTCAAAGGGTCGCTGGGTTTTTAAACAGGTATACTAATCCTTGTGGGATGAGGAGTTCTGTTGAAACCTGTTCAGGGTAACGTATCCATCCTTTGAGTATCACTCGTAGCCCCCCTTTAAGCGTTTGTGAAGACGATGTTTAAAGTGAACCGCCCTTGCGACAACCTTATCAAAACGATCTAGGTGCCGTTGTACAAAACAACCTTAGCGCTAAGGCTACCTTAAGTCTATGTTAAGGTATGGGAGTTACGGTCACCTTAGCGCTAAGATCGCTTTGTAAAACGGCACCCTTGGGGTTGCTTCATCCTAGATGACACGTGTAAGTGAGTGAGTGAGTGAGTGTAGTTTCACGCCGCATTTAGCAATATTCCAGCTATTTGGCGGCGGTCTGTAAATAATCGAGTCTGGACCAGGCAATCCAGTGATTAACAGCATAAGCATCGATCTGCGCAATTGGGAACCGATGACATGTGTCAACCAAGTCAGCGAGTCTGACCGCCAGATCCCGTTAGTCGCCTCTTACGACAGGCATGGGTTACTGAAGGCACATTCTAACCCGGACTTTCACGGGTTGACACGTGTAAGCACAAAACAGTAAAGTACAGTAAATATACAATAATATATTTGTTTGATTTGAACTTGTGTGTACTTTAGACATAGGGCGTCTATGTAAATATGACCGACATGTTTGGACCATGACAAAGCAAAGATAAGTTGTTTAGCAAAGAACTGAGCGTGTCCTTCAGAGATGATCGTGTCGCTGCTGAGTAAATATGTATAAGCTCCATATGCATAGTGCATCCCACCTTGTTCTACCTGTGAGGATCCAATGACAATATGGGTAGTGGGGGGAGGGGTTAAGCGATTAAAGCGTTCGCGCGTTAAGCCGAAGACCCGGGTTCGATTCCCCACATGGGTACAATGTGTGAAGCCCATTTCCGCCGTGATATTGCTGGAATATTGCTAAAAGCGGCGTAAAACTAACCTCACTCAAGGACAAATGGGGACTATGGGTAGCTTATAGCTCGTGGTCAAAACGTTCACTCGTCACACCGAAGCGCGGTTTCGATTCCCACATGGGTGCAATGTGTGAAGCTCATTTCTGATGTCCCCTGCTGTGATACTTTTGGAAATATGCTAACAGCGGGATAGAACCATATTCACTCACTCATCCCATGGGTAGGGTTTATCTGTGGCATTCAAAAGTAGTACAGCTGTATCATGTGTAGTCACTTGATCTGATTTGCTGAATCTAATTCACACTCACGCACGAACGCATTAACTGACAATCACGACGATAATGAGGATGATGATGGTGGTGATGATGATAGTGATGTTGATACCAGAAACAATAAACACGATGAAAGCAACAACATGTGGATAATGGTGATAAATACTGGTATGTTGCAAACAGCAACAGCAACAGCAACAACAGTGATGGTGATGACAATGGCGACGTGAATGATGATGTGATTGTTGTTTTGATGATATTGATGATGCTTATGCTGATGCTGATGCTGCTGCTGCTGCTGATTTTATGTCGTTGCAGTACCGGACGCTGGCACGTCCTAATGCTATGATGAATGACGCCGGTCGGGCCCGCTGGCAGAATGCCATATGGCATGGATTTGTTCGACTGGTTCCACAGAGAGAGGCGCTATTCAGCTGTCGCTGAAACCGACATGGTACGCATGCATACCAAATAAGGTAAAACTGATTAGCCGGTCGAGTCTTTGAATGGCATTTAAGTGAAATACCCATAGGAAGAATGTTTACTCTTGGATTATCAAGCTAGCATCTGCCGAAAGACGCAACGATCTCATCCATACTCCTTCAATTCCATTCCATTCCTTCCATTTCATTTCCTGTTTCCTCCATCCACCCTTCTGTTTCCTCCATCCTTCCTTCCAGAATCCCTTCATCCCCTTCCTTCCACTATATTTCCTTCCATTTATTTCTTCCATTTCCATTCCTCCATTCTTCATTCCTTATTTCCATTCCAGTTAAACTCTTTCCTGTTCTTCCTTTCCTTTCCTTTCCATCTCTTCCGGCATTCCATTTCTTTCTCCTTTCTTCTGTGCTTTATTTCCATTTCCTTTGTCCCTTCCTCCTCCACTCCATTATCCACTCCATTTCTTTTCTGTGTCCTTTTGTTTTCCTTATTCCTTCCTTCCATCCTTCTATTCCATCCTTCCATTCGTGTGTTTATCACTTTCCTGGCATTTATACTCTCCTCTATTCCTTCGTCCCTGCTTTCTTCTTTCATGTCCTTAAGGCTCATTTCATTCCATTTGTCTCACTGTCCTTCGTTCCTCCATGCTCTTGGCTATGTGGTCTATTCCTTTAATACTATTTATTTCTTATATATTTCTTTATATTTCCATTATGTTCCTTGTCCATATGTTATCCTTATTCCACTATTATATCTTTATTTATACATCCGTATATTTCCATGTATTCTATGCCATCGTTTATTCCATGTGTGTCTGCGTTCTTCACTATGTCTTTTATGTCCACTATGTCTTCCACTGTGCATCCATGTATATGTTGTGTCTTTGTTCCTTTATGTGTCTTTGTCCATTGTGTGTCTTTGTTTCCTTTGTGTGTCTTTGTTCATTTTGTGTGTCTTTGTTTCCTTTCAGTGTATGTCTTTGTGCTCCTTCCTGCTGTGCATTTCATTCTTGTTCCATTTCCTTTATGTGCCTTTGTTCCATTGTGTGTGTCTTTGTTCATTTGTGTCTTTGTTCCTTCTTTGTGTCTTCCTGTGTCCTTTCTTTGTCTTTGTTCCTTTGTCTGTCTTTGTTCCTTTTGTTCTTTGTTTATCTTTGTTGTCTTTGTTCCTTTGTGTGTCTTTGTTCCTTTGTGTGTCTTTGTTCCATTTGTGTTGTCTTTGTTCCTTTGTGTCTTTTGTTTGTGTGTGTGTTCCTTTGTATGTGTCTTTGTTCCATTGTGTGTCTTTGTTCCTTTGGACGTGTGTCTTTGTTCCATTGTGTGTCTTTGTTCCTTTGTGTGTCTTTGTTCCTTTGTTTGTCTTTGTTCCTTTGTGTGTCTTTGTTCCTTTGTGTGTCTTTGTTCCATTTTGTTTGTCTTTGTTCCTTTGTGTGTCTTTGTTCTTTGTGTGTCTTTGTTCCTTTGTGTGTCTTGTTCCTTTGTGTGTCTTTGTTCCATTGTGTGTCTTTGTTCCTTTGTGTGTCTTTGTTCCTTTGTGTGTCTTTGTTCCTTTGTGTGTCTTTGTTCCTTTGTTGTCTTTTTGGTTGTTTGTCTTTGTTCCTTTGTGTGTCTTTGTTCCTTTGTGTGTCTGTTCCATTGTGTGTCTTTGTTCCATTGTGTGTCTTTGTTCCTTTGTGTGTCTTTGTTCCTTGTGTGTCTTTGTTCCTTTGTGTGTTTGTTGGACATTTGTGTGTCTTTGTTCCTTTGTGTGTCTTTGTGACATTTGTTTGTCTTTGTTCCTTTGTGTCTTTGTTCTTGTGTTCTTTGTCATTTGTCTTGTCTTTGTTGTCTTTGTGTGTGTTTGTTTGTTCCTGTGTGTCTTTGTTGTCTTTGTTCCATGTGTGTGTTTGTTCTTTGTGTGTCTTTTGTTTGTCTTTGTTCCTTTGTGTCTTTGTTCCATTGTGTCTTTGGACATTTGTTTGTCTTTGTTCCTTTGTGTGTCTTTGTTCCTTTGTGTCTTTGTCTTTGTCCATTGTGTGTCTTTGTTCCTTTGTGTGTCTTTGTTCCATTGTGTGTCTTTGTTCCTTTGTGTGTCTTTGTTCCTTTGTGTGTCTTTGTCCTTTGTGTGTCTTTGTTCCATTGTGTGTCTTTGTTCCATTTGTGTGTCTTTGTTCCTTTGTGTGTCTTTGTTCCTTTGTCTTTGTTCCTTTGTGTGTCTTTGGACATTTGTTTGTCTTTGTTCCTTTGTGTGTCTTTGTTCCTTTGTGTGTCTTTGTTCCTTTGTGTGTCTTTGTTCCTTTGTGTGTCTTTGTTCCTTTGTGTTTGTCTTTGTTCCTTTGTGTGTCTTTGTTCCTTTGTGTGTCTTTGTTCCTTTGTTTGTCTTTGTTCCATTGTGTGTCTTTGTTCCTTTGTGTCTTTGTTCCTTTGTGTGTCTTTGTTCCTTTGTGTGTCTTTGTTCTTTGTTTATGTGTCTTTGTGTCCTTTGTGTTCCCTTTGTGTCTTTGTTCCATTGTGTGTCTTTGTTCCTTTGTGTGTCTTTGTTCCTTTGTTTGTCTTTTGTTCCATTTGTGTCTTTGTTCCATTTTGTGTCTTTGTTCCTTTGTGTGTCTTTGTTCATTTGTTTGTCTTTGTTCCTTTGTGTCTGTGTTTGTCTTTTGTTTGTCTTTGTTCCATTGTTTGTCTTTTTTCCTCTTTTGTGTCTTTGTTCCTTTGTGTTTTGTTCCTTTGTGTGTCTTTGTTCCTTTGTGTCTTTGTCTTTGTTGTCTTTGTTCTTTTTTGTTCCATTGTGTGTCTTGTTCCTTTGTGTGTCTTTGGACATTTGTCTTTGTTCCATTGTGTGTCTTTGTTCCTTTGTCTTTGTTCCTTTGTTTGTCTTGGTTCCTTGTGTGTCTTTATTCCATTGTGTGTATTTGTTCCTTTGTGTGTCTTTCTTCCTCTGTGTCTCTTTATTCCATTGTGTGTCTTTGTTCCATTTGTTGTCTTTGTTCCTTTGTGTGTCTTTGTTCCTTTGTGTTGTCTTTGTTCCTTTGTCTTTGTTCCTTTGTGTGTCTTTGTTCCATTGTGTGTCTTTGTTCCTTTGTGTGTCTTTGTTCTTTGTTCCATTGTGTGTTCCTTTATTGTCTTTGTTCAATTGTTCTCTTTGTTCCTTTGTGTTTTGTTCCTTTGTGTGTCTTTGTTCCTTTGTGTGTCTTTGTTCCATTGTGTGTCTTTGTTCCTTTGTGTGTCTTTGTTCCATTGTGTGTCTTTGTTCCTTTGTGTGTCTTTGTTCCTTTGTGTGTCTTTGTTCCTTTGTGTGTCTTTTTTCCATTGTGTCTTTGTTCCTTTGTGTGTCTTTGTTCCTTTGTGTGTCTTTGTTCCTTTGTGTGTCTTTGTTCCTTTGTGTGTCTTTGTTCCATTGTGTGTCTTTGTTCCTTTGTGTGTTCCATTGTGTGTCTTTGTTCCTTTGTGTGTCTTTTTTCCTTTGTGTGTTTTTGTTCCTTTGTGTGTCTTTTTTCCATTGTGTGTCTTTGTTCCTTTGTGTGTCTTTGTTCCTTTGTGTGTCTTTGTTCCTTTGTGTGTCTTTGTTCCTTTGTGTGTCTTTGTTCATGTTTTTTGTTTGTTAAGATGAGTATTTGTGCAATTTGGTGTCTTATGGATTTGTGTCATTGGGATTTTTAGCTTCTTTGTGCATTTGTGTATTTGAGTGAGGTTGTGTGTCTTTGTTGATATTTGCTTTTGTGCATTTGTTTGTCTCAAAACATTTGTGTGTGTGGATGGTGTGTGTTAGCGTATTCATGCATCTTCATTGATTTTCGTCTTTGGGGATCTGTGTGTCTTTGTGCATTGTGTGTATTGTTGGATTTGTGTATCTTCGTGTGTGTGCATGTACTCATAGCTGGGGTTTCTATGAGTGTTTTATTTAAGAATGTTAATATATTTTTTGCCAAAACACAAATGTATCCCATGCATATTCCCCAATATGTAACATTCCGAATTCATAATACATACATGTATTTAAGTGTCAATCTATAAAAGCTTTAGGGTCAGCCCTTAATGTAGATTTACGTGATGCGCTGGCAGCGTTGCATTTGGGCACGGTAGCTCTTGTATTCTTGACAACATGTAGGTGACTTGTAGGTCACAATCGAAAACTATTTTCAAACCATTTCGACGTTGTTCTGGAAAATGATGCGTTTTGTGGATTTGGGTGTCTTGTTGAATTTGTGTGTCTTTGTGAGTTTGTATGTACTCATAGCAGTGGATTCTATGAAAGTTTTACTGAAAAATATTATATCTTATTTAAAAGAAATAAATGTATCCCATACAGGGTTTGAAATATACGTGCTATTCATCAATATGTAAAATTATAAAATATATAACACGCATATGTATTTAAGCGTCTATAATAGCAATTGCGTCTGTGCAGACAACATCGCCATCCCCGACTTCGTGTCCGGCGCCATGGAGAACTGGGGCCTCATCACCTACAGGGAACTCCTTCTTTACGAAGAGGGTGTGTCTACAGCGTCTCAAGACAGCTGGGTTGCCGAAGTGATCTCGCACGAGTTAGCTCACCAGGTAGGTCATGGTTAAACGGGTTCCACTGATGGGCTACGCAGCATTTCGGAGCGTTAAGCCAATTTGTGGCCAAAACATTTTTTTACAATGTTTTTCTACATTCGGTCAAAGATGCATATGCGTAGTGTCTTCATTGTGGATAAGTCAAGTCAAGTCAAGTTTATTGTATTCAAGGCCTCCGGCCCATATACAAGGAGTTACATACATATACATAACTACAGTACATAATACAATGGCAATTATAATGGTTATTGCTTAGATAACCTATCATTTCTCAAGACAACAGCATGTTTTACAAATAGAGAAAGGTTACGGATAACAGTTTCATTTCTGGAAGTGAGAATCGAGACAAAGGCTATCGTTGGATATTTTGATAGATAATTACTTGAAATATATTTTCTTCTAAGATCATCATAATATGGACATACACATATAAAATGAATTTCATCTTCAATAGATGAAGTGCATAATGGACAAATTCTCATATTTCTTTCTATAGACAATCTTCTACCTTTATTAATACTTAAATCTAATAAACCTAGTCGGAGCTGAACAAATGTGCGTCTGATATTTCTTGATGTCAATACAGACAAATATATTTCTGGTTTGATAAGGCTCTTAAAGGACCTATGTAGATCATACCTTGAACTATTTTCGAGAGTCGAATGCCAATAACAATGGCAGTTTTCCCTCGAAGGTGTGATGGAAAATATTAGAAACTATTTTGTTAGCTTAATTTACCCTTTTTGTGAACTTATGCTTTGGAAAAATTTAAATGGCAAGTTTCTCAAAAGAGAAACATAATTTTCAATTTCCAGTTAACATCTAGGATGGAATATCTTCGAAAACAAGGCTAAAGTGTGGCCTTCGAGAAAACCTCGGTCACATAAGATAAGACTCCAGTGCGACAGAATACTCCGTCTCAACTACCCTCAGAAACAAATTCCTTTTGGTGTAAAGAGAGAGAACTTTCTTGGCGCTTCAGACAAACGTCGACAGGTTATCTTATATACAAACCCTTCATGTTCTCTTTAACTGGCAAGAAGTCAATAAAATCGTGGTAAATGTCAGACTATCGGGTATTTAACCACAGTCGATTTACAACCATGACATCACACATGGGTTCTCTGTAGGGTTTGTGAGACAGGCCACATAACATATGTTGGAATTAAAGTGTTCCTTAATAATCTTCGACCGCCTCCGTGGTGAAGCGGTTAGAGCGTCCGCCGGGAGAGCGGAAGGTCGCGGGTTCGATCCCCGACCGCGTCATACCAAAAGACGTTAAAATATGGTACTTGTTGGTCCCTGCCTGGCGCTCGGCATTAATGGGTACAACAAGGACTGGTCGGCTCGGAGTCAGTATAATGTGTCTGAGTGGGGTATTCATGCTTCACTGCGGCTTGGTATTTCAGTGAGCTAGCACTATAAAACCAGCTTAAGTCTGGGCTTGTACAAGAAGCCGCACATACACATACACACGCATGCACGTCGTCATATGAGCAAAATATTCTCAAGCACGACGTTAAACCCAATTTCACCTCACCTCACCTTAATAATCTTGCATTTTTCATCATCAACTTTGAATAGCGCTGTGGGAGGAAATCTGAGAATAAATAAAGGAACACTGCCATGAAGTGGTGTTCCCTTATTTGTTTCCCTCAGTATATTTGAAATTCTTTACACTTATCGATGATAGGATCCATATTTTTTATCTTATATCCCCGACATATTTGTAGACGATTTTAAAGCAAACCTCTGTCATCATGTACATCAAGTCCTAGCGTGAGTGAGTAAGCTTCTACGCCAATTTTAGCAATAGTCCAGCAATATGACGGCGGAGAACAGGAGAAATGGTCTTCACAAATTGTACCCATGATTCAAACCCGTATCTTTGGTGTGACGAGGGAACGCTTTAACCACTAGGCCAACACACAGACATTTCTAAGACACAAACATTGGACGATATCACCCATATCAACAGGCATGGATGTAAGCTGAAACTCCTCTGAGCTTTTAGATTTTATCGTTTAATTCGTTTTACATAAAAAAAATGGCTTTCCCAGGAGATATCGTTTGGGTGAGATCAAGCGATATCTCTTTGGAGAGATCGACGTGACGATATTGCCTCATCATGCCTGTCAGATCATCGTGACGTCATTGGTAATATAACGTCATCGTGAAATGACAGAAATATCACAAAGGTTGATTAGCTTTAGAATCTGTATCAAAACGTCACAGTCACAAAATAAAAGTAGTTCTCATCCATAAGGTTTGTGAATATTGATGAGCTGTATTGATTGCCCCCGAGAAACTTTTTTGACGGTTTATGAACTCAAGGCGGTATAAAGATGTTGGATTGTAAAAAGAACGGATTGTAAAAAGAATGGATTGTAAAAAGAATGAATAAAGCATCAACACAATGGAGCAATTAGCATTGAACAAGTCAATAAACGTGAATCCAACTTGTGATGTATAATAAGTATTGCTGAAAACAAATTTACCCTTATTGTTGATCCTTCGGGCAATATAATTTCAAAACGCACTTTTAGATTAAGGGGATAACTGTACTGTGTTTGACGAATTCGGGGCGTATACCGGTGGTTATATAGCCGCAAATTTAACGTTATAATGACAACAAAACGGAAGCATTCATTGCTGGGCCAAAGCACTTACAGGAACGTATGACAGAATTCTCAGTCAATATTGGACCTGTGAATGTGCCTGCCTCTTCCCAAGTGAAGAATCTAGGAGTTGTTTTTGACTCCCACATGACCATGAACAAGCAGGTCACCCAAATGTGCCAGTCTTCTCACTATCATCTTCATCAGATTGGTAAACTAAGACGATATCTTTCAGATGAAACCGCCAAAACTCTCACTCAAGCAACAGTCATATCTCGCCTTGACTATGCCAATTCACTTTTGTTTGGGATAACAGCTTCCCTGGTTCATCGACTCCAGGTGATACAAAACACAGCCGCCAGGATAATAACTCCTTGTCCTCCATGAGACCACATCACCCCCAGGTTAAGAGAACTGCATTGGCTACCCGTTGCCAGACGCATAAAATTCAAGGTGCTTACCATTATCTACAAGTGCCTGAAGACCAACACTGCTCCATCTTACTTGTCATCTCTTCTAAACAACCATAGACCAACAAGAACTCTTAGATCACAAGATAAAGATCTGCTTATCACCAGACCATCCAGGACCAAATACGGGGACCGCTGCTTTGAATGTGCAGATCCCATGCTATGGAACAACCTCCCTATGTCGCTAAAATCCGCCCCAAGTCTACCAACTTTTCGAAAACATTTAAAGACACATCTATTTGAAATGAAATAGACTGATCTGCACAAGCGCCTGTGAGCAGCCTAGCTGGAACTCGGCGCTATAGAATTATTTTATTATTATTATTATTATTATATCGGCTCCGCTAGCGGCCCCCAATTCGTCAAACACAGTACAGTTATCCCCATTCTAATTCAACTCTTTTTACGCTGTTTTTTCGTAAAAGAAATTCATTATTTAAAGCAGGTCAAAGTTCCTCTGGGTCAAAGGTTAATCATATCACTCCTTGAACTTACACCATCGCCAGAAAAAGTAGTTCCCTTTTCAAACTACACACGTTTATTATGTGCACACAGACTAAATCTGACAATGATGAATAGATCATAGTACTATAGATAAAATGGACGGAATTATGAAACCGCCCTCTAGTTACAGAAATGAGCGGCCCGCTGATTCCTCAACTGCGGGCCATTATCAGTTCTGTTGTCAAATGACGTCACAGCAGGTGACGTCACGCTACAAAATGACGTCATAAATCTTGTTTCATGATCTAACAGTGTTGGGTCAACAACCCGTTGCGAGTTAGTTGTTTGAACTTAAAATTAAATTTATGATTCTGTTTTCTCTTTTTTAACACAAATTTCACCCATTTTAGCTGGATAGGGCAGTTAATTGACCAATGGCTTCTGCAAATGACACAGTCCTGCAATACAGCGTTACCACAATAGAGTAGGGATGCATTCAAAGATTTTGATGAATCGGTTTTCAAATTGCGACCGTATATACTGATTATACGGTCGGAAATTTATGGCATTGACCAATCAGAACTCGTGTTACATACTAAGTTGAATTAGAATTGATTTTGTAACGCTTCACCAGCAATATTCCAGCAATACAACGGCGTCCTGTCAATCAGCGAGGTGAGGCAAGCAGGTGGTCGACATTATGAGCAAAATCCTTCACAGCTTGGGTACAATGACTTGCGGTCAACAGACAACAAAGTCGCCAAATCTGATCACGAATTCATAAAGTCTCCTCAAACTGGGCGTTGGGGTAGCCCAATGATCAAAGCGTCCGCTCGTCACGCTGAAGACCCGGGTTCGATTCCCCACATGAGTACAGTGTGTGAAGCCCATTTCTGGTGTCCCCCGCCGTGATGTTGCTGGAATATTGCTAGAAAGCGGCGTAAAACCACTCAATCACTCTCCTCAAACTGAATGAGAACGGGAAGCAAATATAAGGCTTCGTACAAACACTATCATCTTCTCTTAACCCCAAACCTTCCACAGCATATTGAGGTTTATGTGCGGTTAAAGTCAACATGAGTAAATGTGACTGGCCATAAATCGCTTTAACCCGTCATCGCTATCACGTTGAACATCTCAATGACAACTGCATATATCGGGGAACAAGTTCAAGACGTCGACGATGGGGGCAGGAGATAAAAAAAAGTATCATGGGTAAAGTCTTACTTTCGACCTGTACCCCCTCGCGGCGTCATTAAAACCATTTCGGAGTCTTGAAGTGACTCATAAATCGACAACAATCAGAGATAAATAACATCTGTAGTCATTAATATTCTTCTCTTTCGAGGAGCAGCCATATATCTGGAATATTGCTGAGTGCGGCGTAAAACTAAACTCACTCACTCCCTCACTTTCTTTCGAGGATGCTGCTTGTCAAATAATGAGTGGCCTAACGACGACAAGTTCGCCCACACATGGAAGGCTTGAATATGCACTTGGTTCACACAGTTGGCTTCGATGGCGGTTGGCAGCGACAGTCTTCCCGGAGTGAACGATCGTGTCAAAAACGATAACCTTCAATATGTCCGATATCGAAATAAGAGATTGAAAACATGTTTCTGATCGTGGGCAGGTGCAACTATAAGCATGATATATCCATGAACGAATAGGAAGGATACTCCAACCAACAGCTCCCGCGTATCAAACAACCACCCCCTAGGAAAAAACAACACACACACACACAAACAACAACAACAACAACACACACACACACACACACACACACACACACAAAATCACACACACAAACACACACACCATCTCCCACACACCAACGCACACATACACACACTCACTCCCACACACGACACACACACACACACACAGACACGCACTCACTCACACACACACACACACACACACACACACACACACACACACACACACACAACACACAAATCAAAACAAGGAAGACAAATCAAAGAAAAAAAATATCAATAAATAATGAATAAAAAAAAAAATAATAAAAATATAATAATTTAAATTTAAATAAAAATAAACAATTGCATGAATGACAAATAGAGACTGGTAAGCTAAATGTCTAAAAAAATATCAATAACATATATGAATAAAAATAAAATAATAAAAAAGAATATTACTAATGTTGCAATAACTGACTATTGACTGGTAAGTATATTACATCGTGTTATGTAGTATCCAAGAATATTACTGTCTGAATATGCATAACTGACTATTGACTGGTAAAGTTATAAAACGTCAATAGAGACTCCAAGAATATTACTGTCTGAATGTTGCAATAACTGACTATTGACTGGTAAGTTATATTACATCGTGTTACGTCATGTAGTATCCAAGAATATTACTGTCTGAATGTTGCAATAACTGACTATTGACTGGTAAGTTATATTACATCGTGTTACGTCATGTAGTATCCAAGAATATTACTGTCTGAATGTTGCAATAACTGACTATTGACTGGTAAGTTATATTACATGACTGTAGTAATATTACTGTCTGAATATTGCACTAACTGATTATTGACTGGTAAGTTATATTACATCGTGTTACGCCATGTAGTATCCAAGAATGTTACTGTCTGAATGTTGCAATAACTGACTATTGACTGGTAAGGTATAGTGTATCGTGTGTCTTCATGTAGTGTACAAAAAAATTACTGTCTGAATGTTATAAAAACTGACCTGGGTGGTAAGATAAAGTGCATCGTGTCCCTTCATGTAGTAGTATCGAGAATATTAATGCCTTAATCTGCAATAACTTACTATTGGCTGGTAAGGTAGAGTGCATCGTGTCTCTTCATGTATAGTAGTGTACAAGAATATTGCTGTTTTAACGATGTATCATACAGGTATAATGTTTTTTGTGTGTTGCAGTGGTTCGGCAACATTGTGTCTCCCAAGTGGTGGTGGTGGCTCTGGCTAAACGAGTCCTTCGCCTCCTTCTTGGAGTTCTTTGCGGTCGGCACAATCTATCCTGCCAGGAGGTCGGTGAGTTTTAAAAAACAAATTCCAATTTTCACACTTTAGGATTCAAGGTAAGAATATTACCCCTATGCAGATCGTAAAAGACAGCTGAATATATAGATGTCAGGCGGTTGGTTCGTTATTGACACTATCCATCACAGGCTTGTCTGGTTGTGATTAACATGCAGCTATGATATTTACCCGTGAAAATCCGGGTAAGAATTGATGTTCAGTAACCCATGCTCGCGGTAAGAGATCGGCTCGCTTACTTGTTTGTATCCCAGTAGCAAAGGTCGATGCTCAGTATAAAGGTCACTGGATTGTTTGGTTTTCACTGGATTGTCTGGTCTAGGCACGGTTATTTACAGACCGTCGCCATACATTGCTCTGTGTCGCGATCAACATAAAGGAAAACAAAACCTACAATTTTGTTGAGTGTGGTTAGAAACAAACACACGCACGCACGCACGCACACACACACACACGCACGCACACACACACACACACGAATAACCAAGCCAACAAAACGAAGTTCCTCTTTTCAGACGGAGCAGTTCATAGTGCAGTCGATGCATGCTGCGATGTCCGTAGACGGTGTGCAGACGTCGCACCCGATGACGAACGACGTCGAGAGTAACGCTGAAGTGGAGGGCTCTTTTGACATAATTACATACACCAAGGTAAGTGCGGGTTAGCAGGATGGGGCGGGTGAAATGGGATTTAACGTCGCATTTAAGAGTATTTAAAAATACAGTAAACTATGGTTATATCGAACACAGAGGCACCACCAATTTTAGTTCGTTATAACCGCCGTTCGTTATACGAATTTTGACTGAAATACACAAGTAGCCAGTTTCTTCACTCCCTGAATGAGCCAGGTTTTAGGTCTTGTGTGGGAAATACAGTATTGATTTCAAGACGGTCATTTCGATCATCCGCTTATAGTCTGACACAAACAGCACTCTGTTTGAGCTGTACTTAATGTCTTAAGGGTAATACGGTCTGATGTACTCCTCTTTGTAGCAGTGTCATCCCTCGCCTACTGCTCGGGTGTAGCAGTGTCACCCGAGCGGTAGGCGAGGGATGACACTGCTACAAAGAGGCGTACATCAGACCGTATTACCCTCGAGAGAAGCATACAACTTATAATGTATAATTATAATTAAATATTCAGTTGCAACAGGGACGGTAGGGTAGCCTAGTGGTTAAAGCTTTCGATTCCCAACATGGGCACAATGGTGTCCCCCGCCGTGATATTGCTGGAATAGTAATAAAATCGGCGTATAACCAAACTCACTCACTCACTCAGTTGCAACACTGGCCTTAGACAAGGGGAAATACTGTCACCACTCATTGAAGATTTAGAATTAGACTTTCACGAAAATGTTTTTGATGGTTTAGACATTGGTGACTTTACTTTATTTTACTTCTATTATCGGCGATATAGTCTGAATGGGTAGAACTGCTGCTGGATTAAGTCATAACTTGATTCTCTTTCTATTTACCGTAACTTCGGTGTAAGACATGGTGATTAACTGTGAAAACTGAAAGAACTAAATTGTAATATTTAGAAAATCTCAGGAAGCAATAAATATACATTTTATGTTTGATTCAGCTTTAGAAATTTTAAAGGGGTTTAATCTTTCAGTGATATGAAATGGTAATCTCAGTCATACAATCAAGGTGTTAGCCGAGAAGGGATTAAAATCTGTGCTGCGTAAGTTTAAGTTAAGAAAAATAAGTTAGATGCTATTGGTGAAGTTAAGGAAAATAAGTCAGACGCTATTAATGAAGTTAAGAAAAATAAGTCAGACGCTATTAATGAAGTTAAGAAAAATAAGTCAGACGCTATTAATGAAGTTAAGAAAAAGTCAGACGCTATTTATGAAGTTAAGAAATATAAGTTAGATGCTATTAATGAAGTTAAGAAAAATAAGTCAGACGCTATTAATGAAGTTAAGAAAAATAAGTCAGACGCTATTAATGAAGTTAAGAAAAATAAGTCAGACGCTATTAATGAAGTTAAGAAAAATAAGTCAGACGCTATTAATGAAGTTAAGAAAAATAAGTCAGACGCTATTAATGAAGTTAAGAAAATAAGTTAGATGCTATTACTGAAGTTAAGAAAAATAAGTGAGATGCTATTAATGAAGTTAAGAAAATAAGTCAGACGCTATTGATGAAGTTAAGAAAAATAAGTCAGACGCTATTGATGAAGTTAAGAAAATAAGTTAGATGCTATTAATGAAGTTAAGAAATATAAGTCAGATGCTTATTAATGAAGTTAAGAAAACAAGTTAGATGCTATTAATGAAGTTAAGAAAAATAAGTCAGACGCTATTAATGAAGTTAAGAAAAATAAGTTAGATGCTATTAATGAAGTTAAGAAAAATAAGTCAGACGCTATTAATGAAGTTAAGAAAAATAAGTTAGATGCTATTAATGAAGTTAAGAAAAATAAGTTAGATGCTATTAATGAAGTTAAGAAAATAAGTCAGATGCTATTAATGAAGTTAAGAAAAATAAGTTAGATGCTATTAATGAAGTTAAGAAAAATAAGTCAGACGCTATTAATGAAGTTAAGAAAAATAAGTTAGATGCTATTAATGAAGTTAAGAAAAATAAGTTAGACGCTATTAATGAAGTTAAGAAAAATAAGTTAGATGCTATTAATGAAGTTAAGAAAATAAGTTAGATGCTATTAATGAAGTTAAGAAAAATAAGTTAGACGCTATTAATGAAGTTAAGAAAAATAAGTTAGATGCTATTGGTGAAGTTAAGAAAAATAAGTCAGACACTATTAATGAAGTTAAGAAAAATAAGTCAGACACTATTAATGAAGTTAAGAAAAATAAGTCAGACGCTATTAATGAAGTTAAGAAAAATAAGTCAGACACTATTAATGAAGTTAAGAAAAATAAGTTAGATGCTATTAATGAAGTTAAGAAAAATAAGTTAGATGCTATTGGTGAAGTTAAGAAAAATAAGTCAGACACTATTAATGAAGTTAAGAAAAATAAGTCAGACACTATCAATGAAGTTAAGGAAAATAAGTCAGACGCTATTAATGAAGTTAAGAAAAATAAGTCAGACACTATAAATGAAGTTAAGAAAAATAAGTTAGATGCTATTAATGAAGTTAAGAAAATAAAGTTAGACGTTATTAATGAAGTTAAGAAAAATAAGTTAGATGCTATTAATGAAGTTAAGAAAAATAAGTTAGATGCTATTAATGAAGTTAAGAAAAATAAGTCAGACGCTATTAATGAAGTTAAGAAAAATAAGTCAGACACTATAAATGAAGTTAAGAAAAATAAGTTAGATGCTATTAATGAAGTTAAGAAAAATAAGTCAGACGCTATTAATGAAGTTAAGAAAAATAAGTTAGATGCTATTAATGAAGTTAAGAAAAATAAGTCAGACGCTATTAATGAAGTTAAGAAAAATAAGTCAGACGCTATAAATGAAGTTAAGAAAAATAAGTCAGACACTATTAATGAAGTTAAGAAAAATAAGTCAGACGCTATAAATGAAGTTAAGAAAAATAAGTCAGACACTATTAATGAAGTTAAGAAAAATAAGTTAGATGCTATTGGTGAAGTTAAGAAAAATAAGTCAGACACTATTAATGAAGTTAAGAAAAATAAGTCAGACACTATTAATGAAGTTAAGGAAAATAAGTCAGACGCTATTAATGAAGTTAAGAAAAATAAGTCAGACACTATAAATGAAGTTAAGAAAAATAAGTTAGATGCTATTAATGAAGTTAAGAAAAATAAGTCAGACGCTATTAATGAAGTTAAGAAAAATAAGTTAGATGCTATTAATGAAGTTAAGAAAAATAAGTTAGATGCTATTAATGAAGTTAAGAAAAATAAGTCAGACACTATTAATGAAGTTAAGAAAAATAAGTCAGACACTATAAATGAAGTTAAGAAAAATAAGTTAGATGCTATTAATGAAGTTAAGAAAAATAAGTTAGATGCTATTAATGAAGTTAAGAAAAATAAGTTAGATGCTATTAATGAAGTTAAGAAAAATAAGTCAGACACTATTAATGAAGTTAAGAAAAATAAGTCAGACGCTATTAATGAAGTTAAGAAAAATAAGTCAGACACTATTAATGAAGTTAAGAAAAATAAGTCAGACACTATAAATGAAGTTAAGAAAAATAAGTTAGACGCTATTAATGAAGTTAAGAAAAATAAGTTAGATGCTATTAATGAAGTTAAGAAAAATAAGTCAGACACTATAAATGAAGTTAAGAAAAATAAGTTAGACGCTATTAATGAAGTTAAGAAAAATAAGTCAGACGCTATAAATGAAGTTAAGAAAAATAAGTTAGATGCTATTAATGAAGTTAAGAAAAATAAGTTAGATGCTATTAATGAAGTTAAGAAAAATAAGTCAGACACTATAAATGAAGTTAAGAAAAATAAGTTAGACGCTATTAATGAAGTTAAGAAAAATAAGTCAGACGCTATAAATGAAGTTAAGAAAAATAAGTCAGACGCTATAAATGAAGTTAAGAAAAATAAGTTAGATGCTATTAATGAAGTTAAGAAAAATAAGTCAGACACTATTAATGAAGTTAAGAAAAATAAGTTAGATGCTATTAATGAAGTTAAGAAAAATAAGTCAGACACTATAAATGAAGTTAAGAAAAATAAGTTAGATGCTATTAATGAAGTTAAGAAAAATAAGTTAGACGCTATTAATGAAGTTAAGAAAAATAAGTTAGATGCTATTAATGAAGTTAAGAAAAATAAGTCAGACACTATAAATGAAGTTAAGAAAAATAAGTTAGATGCTATTAATGAAGTTAAGAAAAATAAGTCAGACGCTATTAATGAAGTTAAGAAAAATAAGTCAGACGCTATTAATGAAGTTAAGAAAAATAAGTTAGATGCTATTAATGAAGTTAAGAAAAATAAGTCAGACGCTATTAATGAAGTTAAGAAAAATAAGTTAGATGCTATTAATGAAGTTAAGAAAAATAAGTCAGACGCTATTAATGAAGTTAAGAAAAATAAGTTAGATGCTATTAATGAAGTTAAGAAAAATAAGTCAGACGCTATTAATGAAGTTAAGAAAAATAAGTTAGATGCTATTAATGAAGTTAAGAAAAATAAGTCAGACGCTATTAATGAAGTTAAGAAAAATAAGTCAGACGCTATTAATGAAGTTAAGAAAAATAAGTCAGACGCTATTAATGAAGTTAAGAAAAATAAGTCAGACGCTATTAATGAAGTTAAGAAAAATAAGTCAGACACTATAAATGAAGTTAAGAAAAATAAGTCAGACACTATTAATGAAGTTAAGAAAAATAAGTTAGACGCTATTAATGAAGTTAAGAAAAATAAGTTAGATGCTATTAATGAAGTTAAGAAAAATAAGTCAGACGCTATTAATGAAGTTAAGAAAAATAAGTTAGATGCTATTAATGAAGTTAAGAAAAATAAGTTAGATGCTATTAATGAAGTTAAGAAAAATAAGTTAGATGCTATTAATGAAGTTAAGAAAAATAAGTTAGATGCTATTGATGAAGTTAAGAAAAATAAGTTAGCTGCTATTAATAAAGTTAAGAAAAATAAGTTAGATGCTAGACTTTCTCTTGAGTTAATTAATCCTTTGATTGAACCAGTGCTACATTATGTGTATGCCATATGGAGGTGGAAATAAGCTGTGCATTGAACGAGTTTGTCGTTAATGTTGTGAATAGCAGCAATAAAACCCTTTACGCATCTAGAAGAAATCTCTGCTAAGAGCAGAGTTGATTGTACAACTGTGACAATATGATTGTTTCAGTAGTGTTACAACAGTACGATGCTGTTTGTATAGACATCGAGTCTTAGACATGTAACACTCAATCCATACAATGTATGGGGACAGTCCTAGTCTCCGGCTGTTGTGTTGGTTGTCTCGGCCGCTTGCTGTATGTTCTGGTCTAAATGCTTGAACTAAAATTACTGATGATGTAAATTGCGAATGTAACGTTTTTCTACAATTTGTAGGGGGCTTGCGTAGTTCGAATGATGCACTTCACCATGGGACACGACCTTTTCATCAGAGGACTCAATGTAAGTACGGTTTGATGTGACAATTTTTCATCATGGGAAATGACATTTTCATCAATGTGAGTACGTTTTGATGACAATATTCATCATTTACAGTCATTTAATGACGGGACCAAGTTTACACATATACACAAGTTAAGTTTATATATACAAAGTTACACTAAAAGCATTTTTCCATACACACATTAAGTATGTCAATAAGGCCAAATGTATCGAAAATGCTGAGTAAGACATTTTTAAGTAAGATAAATTTTTAAAGGAAATCAAGATAAAAAGTAAACTCTGTCAAAAAAAATGAAACGCAACCCCTGTCCTCAGATATGAAAAATTCGTTTGAATGAAGTTATTGCTTCCAAACTAAATTTTATTCGAATGTATTGAAATGATACACGTAATTAATGAAGATTACCATCCAAACAACTGCATTTGTACGCATAAGTGTATTTTATTGCTTATTCCGTCACAACGCATGAAATGACCCTCATGGTGACTGCGCACAAAAAAACCACATGCAAATCATGAAAATGGCAGTTAATGTAGGGGTGTATAAAAGCCCATGTGGTTCCGTATTATATTCATTCATTTGTCGCCGAAAAGCTGTGTTAAAAATGCCACGATTGAGTGCTGCCGACCGAAATATCGCCATTGGTCGTGTTCAAGCCGGAGAAAGTTTTGGAACTGTTGCACGGCACCTAAATGTTCACAAAACAACGATATCCCGACTTTGGAGCCGCTACAACAACTTCAATTTGACCAACGATCGCCCGAGAAGTGGAAGGCCAAGAATCACGACCCCCCTTCAAGATCGGTACATCCGGGTCCATCACCTGCGTAATCGGCATGCCCTACCAACCGTGACTGCCACACAAATACCAGGTTTGAGGAGAGTGTCAGCTCAAACGATTAGGAACCGTCTGAAAGAAGCGGGTTTACGTGCCTGTAGACCAGTTGTTGGACCTGTACTACGCCCCCTACATCGACGCCGACGACTCAGGTGGTGCAACAACGTAAGGATACGGACTTTACACAACTGGAGGCGAATCTGGTTTTCTGATGAATCACGTTTTCTTTTGCAACGTCACGACGGAAGACAGCGTCTGTATAGGAGACGTCATAAACGTTTTGCGCCCATCTGCGTCCGACAGGTGGACAGATTTGGCGGAGAAAGCGTCATGGTTTGGGGAACCATCTCATACAACCAGAAATCAGACTTGGTGATCGTTCCAGGGAACCTGACAGCCCAACGTTACATCAACCACGTGTTAGAGCTTCACCTTCTCCCGATTATTGACCAACAGACACAGATTTTTCAACGGGACAACGCCCGGCCTCATACTGCACGTGCAACAATGAACTTTCTGCAGAATTCCAACGTCAATGTCTTGCCATGACCCTCTAAATCACCAGACCTCAACCCTATTGAACACCTGTGGGATACTCTGGATCGACGCGTACGTCAACGTCAGCCGCCGCCACAGACGCTGCAACAGCTCGCCGTTGCACTGCAGGAGGAGTGGAGAGCCATTCCCCAGGAAAGAATCCAGCGTCTTATCCGTTCTTGTCCAAGGAGCTGCCGTGCAGTGATTGCAGCGCGTGGTGCTCATACGAGATACTGAGAAAGACGCCCCCCCTGGTGACAAACTGGTGTCTGTGAGATGACTTTTGAAATGACAATTTTAAACATGCCCATCTGGGTTATTATTCTGCCAAATTTCAGCCTTCTGTCTTCAATAATAAAAATGCCGTGTCGTCCTAAAACTTCAGATCAAAATCTCTAAAATACAGGGGTTGCGTTTCTTTTTTGACAGAGTTTACTTCTACGTTACAGTAAATGAAATACACTTTTCGCGTTTAGTCACTAACTTGCTCACAGATTGATGATCTTTTGAAGATAAAAAAATCTCCTTTTTTTTGTTCACACATTCTTCAGTACTTCAGGGTCTTCAACATTCAAGAAACGTGAAGGTCCGGGATAGAATATCGGCCTTCAGTAACCCATGCTTGTCGTAAGAGGCGACTAACGGGATGGGGTGGTCAGGCTCGCTGTCTTGGTTGACACATGTCATCGGTTCCCAATTGCGCAGATCGATGCTCATGCTGTTGATCACTGGATTGTCTGGTCTAGACTCGATTATTTACAGACCGCCGCCATATAGCTGGAATATAGCTGAGTGTGGCGTAAAACTAAACTCACTCACTCACTCAACGTTCAAAATAAACAACGTCCAAAATATACACACTGGACGTTAATGGACGTAAACGTGTACGCAAGTCTACGCAGGCATACAAGACTCACATTTCAATGAATAAAAGGTCGTTGCTCCAAGCTTGGAAAACATTAAATTTTGTGGTGGCAATTTGATCCTGGATCCTGTTTGACAAGCGTCCGTAGCCTTGAGTCAGTCGTAGTTCTATGCTGAGGTATGAAGGGGGCGGTGGGGTAGCCTAGTGGTTAAAGCGTTTGCTCGTCACGTCGAAGGCCCAGGTTCGATTCCCCACATGGGTACAATATGTGAAGCCCATTTCTGGTGTCCCCCGCCGTGATATTGCTGGAATATTGCTAAAAACGGCGTAAAAACTCACTCACTTACTCTCTCTTGGCGTTACGATCAGGGTATGTGTTAGACTGGTTTGGCAATGTGATCCACTGTACACTCGAAAATGGTGCATGAAATGATAGAACAAATAATTTCAGATTATACTTTCACAATTTTGGACAATAATTACTGTTTCAGCTGTATTTGAAGAGACATCAGTACGGCGTTGCAGAGCACAAGGACCTATTCAACGCTCTGACAGAGGTACGTCACGGTTCTACACACATCACCCGTGAAGGTCCGGGTTAGAATGAGCCTTCAGTAACCCATGCTTGTCGTAAGAGGCGACTAACGGGATCGGGTGGTCAGGCTCGCTGACTTGGTTGACACATGTGATCGGTTCCAAATTGCGCAGACCAGTGATCATGCTGTTGATCACTGGAAAGTCTGGTCCAGACTCGATTATTTACAGACCGCCGCCATATAGCTGAAATATTGCTGAGTGCGGCGTAAAACTTAACTCGCTCACTCACTTCTACCCACATCGATCACCTGTTCACGGAGATCTCAATATAATCTCGGCTACAAGTTTCATCTCACAACAATGACTGACGATAATAATGACATCTATAAACAAGACATCAGTCCTGTGACAACACAAGACCAGGTTTCTTTCAACACATGCCGTTTTTTTACATGAAAGTGAGAATTATACCTTAACCATATCCTTCAAGGTGTTGTAGCTTAGTGGTTAAAGCGTTCGCTCGTCACGCCGAAAGCCCGGGTTCGATTCCCCACATAGCTAAAATGTGTAAAGCCCATTCCAGGTGTCCCCCGCCGTGATGTTGGTGGAATATTGCTTAAAGCGGCGTAAAGCCATCCTCAGTCACTTACTCCTTCTAGAGGGGCGGTGGGGTAGCCTAATGGTTAAAGCGTTGGCTCGTCACGCCGAAGACCTGGGTTCGAATCCCCACATGGGTACAATGTGTGAAGCCCATTTCTGGTGTCCCCCGCCGTGATATTGCTGGAATATTGCTAAAAGCGGCGTAAAACCAAACTCAGTCAGTCAGTACTCCTAGATGAAACAAAGCGGATAATTATAAAGTATGGGGAAGTACAGTTAAGTATGTGTCGTTCCCAATGATTTTACGAACTCGTGTCAGAATTGAAACATTCTCATCGCTGGAATTATTCAGAGACTAGTTTAAAAAACACAGACATAATTTATAGTTTCTGGTAAATCATGCACCGGAAAATTACACGATCTGAGAGTAACGTTACTATGGTCTTAATTGCCATGCCGTTACACAGACTTGCGCCAGAGTTTGCATTAAGAAAGCTTTGTGATGCCGAGCCCTGTCCTTCACATAGCGATAGCTGTTTGACATAAAATCATCTCGGTACATCCCCAAATAAATTTTCTGCATCACCCATTCCAGCTCCTTAATCCATCATTCCCATACTGTGATACTGACTTGCGCCAGTCTTTGTATTCTCATTGCTTTTTGATACCGAGCCCTGCCATGGGGATTGGTGACGGTATTTATCAGACAACCAAAAATTGACTGCCTGTATTACTCACTCAAGTTCGTTAATCCCTCGTCGCTATATGGACCCGTGAAGATCCGGGTTAGAATGAACCTTCAGTAACCCATGCTTGTCGTAAGAGACTACTAACGGGATCGGGTGGTCAGGCTCGCTGATTTGGTTGACACATGTCATCGGTTCCCAATTGCGCAGATCGATGCTCATGCTGTTGATCACTGGATTGTCTGGTCCAGACTCGATTATTTACAGACCACCGCCATATAGCTGAAATGTTGCTGAGTGCGGCGTAAAACTAAACTCACTCACTCGTCGCTATATGGCTGAAATAATACCGATGCAACGTTAGATTTTAACTCACTCACTTTCTATTTAATCCCCCACTTGCATGTGTAGCATTTACGTTGAGTTTGCAATAACATTAAACGTTTCGCTCCAGAAAAGAATAGTCGCTCTGGCCATATAAGCGGAGTTACCAAAATATGTCATGAAGATATCATATGTTTAAAAATATATGTTAGATTGTTTTGTCTTTGGATAATCCACAGAAATATGAAGCATGAATACCCCACTCAGACTCCCAGCCGACCAGTCTTTGTACCCATTAATGCCGAGCTGGGACAAAAACAAGTACCATATTTTAACCGTTACGTCTGTTGGTATTAATTAATATACGATATTTATATAGCGCACATATCCAGGCAACTAGTGCTTGCTCAAGGCGCTGGCTGGTATGACGCGGCCGGGGATCGAACCCGCACACCACGGAGGCGGTCCACATAAAGTGACTCCCCCCAAATATCATGGCTTATAAAATATATAATGCATTGAGTCTTTTTAATCCACAGCAATCTGAAGCTGAAGGCACCCCTATCAACATGACCGAGATCTTTGAACCCTGGGTCACTCAGATGAACTATCCTCTGGTCACTGTGAAGGTCACAGGTCCTGGAACCATCAACGTCCGCCAGGAACGTTTCCTCAACAACATGAGCTCCAACACTACCGGGGACACCGCACCGTTTGGGTAAATATGGTGGTATTTTCTGTATATTTGTTGGTTTTTCAGTACTGTTTATTCCAAACTACATTGCAACAACCTGGAAAGAGTCTAATCTAATCTAATATAATATATAATCAATATGATGTAAACGTACCTCTTGGGTGTACGAAAACCAGAAAAGAGAGTTATTTTCTTTTTTATAGGATATTTATATAGCGCACATATCCACGCAACTAGTGCATGCTAAAGGCGCTGGTATTGACGTCCAGACCAAACAATCCGGTGATTGTTATTCTGAGCATTGATCCAGGCCATCGGCGTGTAATGTCATACATCAACTATTCACCCTAACGAGGGATTAATATTGTGTGCAGAGATCCGCAGCAGGGACAGCCAATCACACGAGTCATGGAGTCTGAGCGCTTGATCAACGTAGTGTCCACAAAGGAGTGAACGAGTTTCGTTTTACGCCACTTTTAGCAATACTCCAGCAATGTCACGGCGGGGGACACCAGAAATAGGCTTCACACATTTGAGGAATCGAACCCGGGGTATTTGCGTGACGAACGAAAGCTTTAACCATTAGGCTATGCCATCGACAGGTTTTGAATGCTTGAAAAGTTCCATTCGGTTATCCCCCTTTACCTAACTGTGTTGCTTGTTAGAACACCGGTCAAATTGGCAAACTGTGTTGGCCTGAAAAAGAGGTCATTTCAGGAATGGCTCGAGATCGTTGTTAACAAAATGGACCTCCTGAATTTGACCTGGATGAATGGCGCGAGGTTCGTTGTTGATAAAATGATCCTCCTGAATTTGGCCCGAGTTTGGTTACATTCTGCCTCATTGTGGCTGGAACAGTGTTGAATGAGGCGTTATAAGTGTATCAAACGAATACACACCTGCACCTGCACACCTGCACACCTTCACCCCCAACAGCATGCCCACCTACTCGTCCCCGTGCACGCCAAATCAAGACCATTCTCCCGAGCGCCTGTACGTTTTAAAGGTATCTCCCTATTTAAATGCTCTACTTTGCAGTTACAAATGGACAATTCCTATCACAATCGCCTCCAGCAGTAACAACAGCAACCTCAACAAGGTGTACAGCTACAACGACATTGAATGGTTGGCTACGACAGAAGAAGAGAGTAAGTAGTATCTGTACTGAATATATGATGTCATATTATCTTGTCCCTTGTGTCCTTTAACCACTTCCGGTTTAAATGCATTAATTAACTATGCATTTGATTGCGGATATGTTCTCGGGAAACACTTGGGCGGATGGTAGAAATAGAATTAAACAACACACTTCAATTACGTCGATGCAGGTGGTGGAGATGGGCAGGATTAGCAAAAACATCGTTCACGTCGCTCGAGCATGCATTAGTTCAGGCTTTGTCGCGTCACTTCCGGTTTTGCCGCCTCATTTCGGGTTTTGCCGCGTCACTTCCGGTTGCGCTCTTTCGGATAACATGCCGTGAAAGATCAGAACTATTGTTAACCTGCCAGCGTGATCATGATTGTGAGTGAGTGAATGAGTGAGTTTAGTTTTATGCCGCACTCAGCAATGTTCCAGCTATATGGCGGCGATCTGTAGATAATCGAGTGAACCTGACAATTCGGGGATCAAAACCTGGTTGACCGTAGAGGGAGAGGGCGCAACAAAAAGTGACTCCAGGTAATAGGCCGTAACAGAACTTGTAGGCGGTCCGTAGTGGTTTGTAGTGGGTCCGCAGTGGGACGGGTGGCATGTGTATTCCCTGCCATCTCCGGGTCCTTTCAAGTTTTGTCACGCTCGGCCACGTTTGTTTGGCGTTTTGTCACGGTTGTTTCACCCTTGCTGCCCGTTTTGTCCCGGTTCTCAAGGCTAGCTAGGTTGTATGGTAACCGATTTGTCTCGTTCTATCACGACGCATCCAGGCGTGTGACGGTTTATAGGGCAGGCGAGATACACACATTGCGTTCTCTGGCATTCCCTCTCTGCAACTGATGATCGCCTCCTCGCTGACACAAGGACCTCGGGAAACGTGGTCCAAAGCTGGCCGGCGTCCATGTTTCATCCGTAGAAAGTCTTGACAGAACGCGCAAAACGTGTCAAAATCTTGATCAAAACGTGAGAAACGTGAGGGATCCCATCAGAACGCGACAGGCCGGGAGGAAACGTAATGTCATCCGTAGTGGATTGCAGGCCGAACCGTTGTGCGCCTTTGAGCTTCCGGGACTCAGCTCTTCTCATTGTATTTCTCAACAGAAGACATCGGCGACCCAATTATCCCCGACCCTTCACAGGAGAACTCGTGGGTTGTCGTGAATGGACAGCAATCCGGTTACTACAGGGTCAACTACGAGGAGAGAAACTGGATGGCCCTCGTTAAACAGCTGGAGACGGACCACACGGTATGTGATGCAGTCTCTCCTCGCTGTGAACAGGAAGAATGTTGGAGGGTAGAAAAAATGTTTCAGGGCTAGAAGAATAGTTCAGGCAGGGAAGAATATCTCAGGGCTCCAGGAATGTTTCAGGTCAAGAATATACTAACCAACAATATTTTGGGGCTGTAATAATGTTTCTTAACCGGGAAGAATATTTTGGGTCTGTGATGACGTTTCTTGACCGGGAAGAATATTTTTGGGCTGTAATAATGTTTCTTAATCGGGAAGAATATTTTGGGGCTGTAATAATGTTTCTTAACCGTGAAGAATATTTTGGGTCTGTAAAGACGTTTCTTAACCGGGAAGAATATTTTGGGGCTGTGATAATGTTTCTTAACCGGGAAGAAAGGTTCATTGCGAGAACAATGTTCTTTACCGGAAAGCACTTTTTTTTTACCGTAAGTATGTTTCAGTGCCAGAAGGAAGTTCAGTTCTGAAAGAATGTGTCAAGGCTGGAAAGATGTTTTAGACCTGGAATAATGCATAAGGGCTGTATGAAAGTTTCAAAGCAGAAAGAATGTTTCAAAACATGAAAAATGTTCTTAATCCGGAAGTACGTTTCATGGTGGAAAGAATGGTGGGTTTCATTGCGAGAATTTTCATGACTTGAAAGTACGTCTCAGTGCTGAAATCTTTCACTCCTAGAAGAATGTTTCATGGCTGTAAACATGTTTCAGGGCGAAAGGATGTTTCAAATGATCGTTCCAAGGATGTAAGAGTGATTCAGGGCAGGATGTATGTGTTAATCTGGACAAATGTTTCACAACGGGAATCATGTTTCAATGCTGGAAGTTTGTTTCATGACTGTAAAAATGTTTCAGGGTGAAAGAATGTTTCATGGCTGAAGGACTGAACATGCGTAATTTTCATCTTATTTCCAGGTGTTTCCACCAGCGACCCGCGGACAGATCATAAACGATGCATGGTCACTTCAGGAGTAAGTAACATTCTTATTGTCTCAACTGAAGTAGGAGGATACTTACTTAGGGATGTGGTACTCTCTCCTTTACCTGAGAATTGCATGGTCACATTTTAAATTGGGGTTGGATGGTAACTCCTTATCTGGAGGTGGGATGGGCACTCCTTGTCTGTAAATGGTCATTTTGTACCTTGAGATGGAATGGTCAAAGCTTAGTCACTCGTTATCTGTGAATGGCACGACCTCTCCTTGTGTAAGGAAGGGATGAATGTTTCCTGAATGAAAGTATGTTTCAGGTCTGTAAAAATGTGTCGGTGCTGGAAGAGTGTTTCACCGCATATGGTGATGGGATGTTATCTTCATTCATTATCTGGGGAGAGGACGCTCCTTACCTCGGGTAGTTGGTTGGTTGCTTATCGCCTCACTCACCAATATTCCAGAAGTATGGCGGCGATGTGTAAATAATCAAGTCTGGACCAGACAACCAAGTGATCAAAATCATGAGCATCGTTCTAATGAATTGGGATACGATGACATGTGATGATGTGTCAACCAGCCTGACCACCCGATCACGTTAGTCGCCTCTTACGACAAGCATTGGTTACTGAAGACCAATTCTAACCCGCATCTTCACGCGTACTTTAGGGGCGGTGGGGTAGCCTAGTGGTTAAGGCGTTCGCTCGTCACGCCGAAGACCCGGGTTCGATTCCCCACATGGGTACAATGTGCTAAGCCCATTTCTGGTGTTCCCCGCCGTGATATTGCTGGAATATTGCTAAAAGCGGCGTAAAACCAAACTCACTCACTCACTCACGGGTACTTTACCTCGGAATGGGAGGATCATTGCTTCCTGGAGATCAGATCGGATCAGATGGTCACATTGTATCTGGTGATATTATGGTCACTCCTGATCTGGGCATGGGATGGTCATTTTGATGCCCGGGATGGGATAGTCACTACATTGCACCCACACAGGGAATCGAACCCGAGTCATCAGCGTGACGAGTGAACACTTTAACCACAAGGCTACCCACCGCCCCACTTCAAACATGTGTACATTAATATCTCTTCCAACTGGGATATTGTCCTTTCAGCGCCGGCGTCGTGAAGATTGGGATTGCCCTTCGTACTCTGAATTTCCTCAAGAACGACGTCGACTACGTACCTTGGCGTGCGTTTGCACGGCATGACACTCACCTCACCTCTATGTTGGAACGTACTCAATACTATGGTGCCTTCAAGGTACGTGTTTCCAGACTACCGTATAACCTGTATTGTCACGAAAATCCGTCTAATCCGTCGACGGATCTGATCAATAAAATATTATCTGATATAATGACATTTACTTTATGTAGCATCCATTCTATATTGATACATAACCTGGACATATGTGCCACCATGGTTCATTTTGAGTCAGGGCCCCGTTTCACAAAGCTATCTTAGCGCTACGACTGTCGTAAGTCTGTGTTACAGTACAGGATGTACGACAGTCGTAGCGCTACGATAGCTTTGTGAAACGAGGTCCTGATTCGAAACACGCAGCCCTCACAAACGGCCGGAGGGATAATTTAAGTGCAGTCCCTCCCTGAACAAAACTATGGTGACTGAGTTACATTATAACGTCGAATTGGCATCATTTCAGCCTTATAGTGACGAGATACATTTTACACATATGTACAAATCCATTTTGAATGAAAAGTTATATTCAGGAAACATTTTAATAAACACATTTTAAGGCACCAGAAACCAAAGCTTGGATTGTTGATTGATTTCTTGTTTAACGCCGCACTCAACAATATTCCAGCTTTTTGGCGGCGGTCTGTAAATATTCGAGTCTGAACCAGACAATCCAGTGATCAACAGCATGAGCATCGGTCGATGTAATTGGGATACGATGACATGTGTCAACCAAGTCAGGGAGCCTGGTCACCCGATCCCGTTAGTCGCCTCTTACGACAAGCAAGGGTTACTGAAGACGAATTCTAACACGGGTCTTCACGGAAGAAACCAAAACTAGTCCACGAGAATAATGGAGCTATTTAATCTGCAGGATTAATATTTGTACGCGATGTTTACGATATTACGGACTTTTCTAACACAATCATAACTATCTTAACACGCACGTGTGTTTGACTCATCGTTAACGGATATTAAAAATGTATAAATGTTTATATTTTAGGAATTCATGAAGGTCAGCGCTAACAAGACCTACAACCACTACAGGATGAACATACAAGCTGATACTCTTCCAATACACATGTAAGTAGCAGTAGTGTCTGTGGTGGTTAAGTCGGCAGAGCGTTCATCACAACCATTGGATTATTTTCAGGCCGAATGACAGCGATTGACAAAAACCCAACAGAACCACAGTCATTGATAATCTAGTACTGTTATGAAAATAGTAAACGTTTATAATAGAAGCGACAAAACTCTTTCCACATCTGGAAGAAATCTCTGTAAGAGTCGTTTGTACAATTGTGACAATATCTTGAGTATATATTTGTTTCAGCAGTATTACAGCAATACGATGTTGTTTGTAAACAAATCGAGTCTTCGACATGCAACACTCAACCCATACAATGTGTGGGAGACGCGCGTAAACGCATTCGATTGTGTTTATCTTATGATCCTTCCGCGAAGTAAAGTGCGTTTTGGCGATCAGACACCAACGTTTCTGTTCTGGAAACGTTTCAGAAGCGACAAAAACCTTCCACGTCCAGAAGAAATCTCTGCTAAAAGCAGAGTCGATTGTACAATTGTGACAATATCATGAGTATATGTTTGCTTCAGCTGTATTACAGCTGTACCATGTTGTTTGTAAATAACAGATAACAAACACGCTTACAATGAGTCCATGAACTGTTTTGTTCCAATCAATTGCTGTATATTGTAATCGAACATGAGTGTAAGGGTTTCGACGAACAAACAAGAAGCCCCTTCCAGTTCGTTATAACCGTAGTTGACTATGGTAAATAAATATACTGTTAAAATAATCATTTTTATGTTAGAATAGGGGCGGTGGGGTAGGCTAGTGGTTAAAGCGTTGGCTTGTCACGCCGAAGACCCGGGTTCGAATCCCCATATGGGTGCAATGTGTGAAGCCCTTTTCTGGTGTCCCCCGCCGTGATATTGCTGGAATATTGCTAAAAGCGGTGTAAAACTAAACTCACTCACTCACTGATGTTAGAATATCTGTTCATCACTATATATCAACATACAAATGTTTACAGATACCAGATATCTCGTGGTTCCAATTATGCCTGCAAATATGGAGTCCAGGAATGTGCGGACGATGCTCTGAGGCTGTACCGGGAGATGATGACGGACCCGGTCAATAACAGGTAGACGATTATTTCACAAATAAACAAAAAGAATATGAAACGAGTAAAGTTCAATCATAAACGCCATAAATCCAAATGCAAAACAGACAGATGTATCGTACACATACTGGTGGTACAAAGAAACGGGTTACACATGTACAGGACATTTAAATTGCAATTATGAAGAAAGAGAACAGTACATTTGTATTTAGAACACAGTGGCAAGGTTTTAGCTTCAGAGGTTGACAGTATTGATGATTTAAATTAGTGCTGGAGGAATATTTATGCCCTAAATATATATATTGGACACACTGACACAATATGTAACTCGTCTTACATACATTTATTTACAAGAACACACCATGTTTCAAGAAACAAACGAGATCGGCGGTCAGACTTGTCACTTGTCAGGTTGAGTCATCATGCTTGTCCTTTGTGGACGTGGCGGTGGGGTAGCCTTGTGGTTAAAGCGTTTGCTCCTCACGTCGAAGACCCGGGTTCGATTCCCAACGTGGGCACAGTGTGTAAAGCCCATTTCTGGTGTCCCTCGCCGTGACATTGCTCGAGTATTGCTAAAAGTGGCGTAAAACTAAACTCACTCACTCCTTTGTGGACACTACGTTGATCGTAGCGGTCAGACTCCATGACTCGTTGATTGGCTGTCCCTGCTGTGGATCTCTGCTCACAATATTAATCACTCGTAAGGGTGAATAGTTGATGTATGACATTACACGCCGATGGCATGGATCGATGCTCGGACTATCAATCACTGGATTGTCTGGTCCAAACTTGATTATCTGCAGCCCGTCGTCATAGTGCTAGGCGAGGCGCAAAACAAACATACAAACATACAAACAAACAAACAAACAAACAAACACTGAGGAGATACACTATAGACAAACTTTATGGATTACAACTTCTTAATTTCACGAGTGCGACGTTTCGATACGGAATCTAGTACCTTGTAATCAATGATTGACAACGACACAAAAATCTATCTCGAAACGTTGCACTCATTAAATAAAGAAGTTATAATCCATAATGGTTGTCTATACTATTGTACTTCCCGATATCACTCAATGAAACTAAGGAGATATTAATTAATTCACTCTCTCTGTTACAGGATGAACCCCAACCTCATCAGTGTTATCGCCTGTAATGCTATAAGATACGGGGGAATGACAGAATGGAACTATGCTTACAACCAATACTGGAACACGGAGCCATCAACAGTCAGCAGCAGAAACTTCTTAAGCGCTTTATCCTGCACAACACAGCGATGGCTTTTACAAAGGTTAAATTCTTACGCATTCGTCACCAGTCGTCAAAGTCAAAGTCAAAGATCGTTATTATGCATGAAGGCCACCGGCCCATATACATATAACATATATACAATCAAAATATATTGGAAACATGATGTAAAACAATTAAGGGTTTAACAAAGTCTGTCTCTTTTTATAAGCAGTATATATGAATTTGCATAAATTGAATAATGCTTCATTTGAAGAGGAAGTTAACAGGCTTTTGAATATAAATATTTGGAATTCGGTTGTAAACAGGTGAAAAATAACGAAATCTATCTTCAGAATATTAAATTGCATACTAAAAGAAAATGGAATTCATCCTCTATACCGAATTTTCAAACTGGACAAGTGCGTAGAGATACATCAATATTTAACCATCTTCCTTCATTTATTTTTAATTGTAATAGGCTTGCTCGGAATTTTATAAGAATATGACGATATTTGTTTTCATGTTTTACGCTTAAATATTTTTCAGGTTCTAGTAAGCTCTCACATTCTCTATACAAATTGTAACGTGAACTGTTACAGTGCCAAGATTGGTAAAACATATCTTTAAAATGTCTAAGAAAATCAACTTTATTGCCTACACTTTGTGCTAACCATACAAAGCCAAATCCATGTGAAAAAAGTATATTACGAATATGAGAAGCGTAATTATTTTGCCCAATGTTATGTCAATATACTGACATGTCATATGATTTTTGGGGTATTCTACCAGAGTGCATTTCTGTAAGTTCTAACCAATATTTAATAACTCGACATAAGCCATTTACATACAAAGGATATCGTCCACATTCACCATATACTATAACATTAGGCGTTTGTAATCCTACATTTAGAAATCTCTTACATGCAAGCAATTAACTTTTTCAATATTCTCATAGCGGCTAACCCCCCCTATACTTCCGCACCATAAAGTAAAATTGGTTGAATTTGTGAATCAAATATATTTTAAAGAATACCTTAGGATAAATAACATCAATCTTTCTTAAGTTATATAATATTTGTAATAATGCTCTTTTCCCCTCAGTGCTAGATCGTCTCTACATTTATTCATTTTAAACGTGGATGAAAATATAATACCAAGATATCTATATGAATTCACAACATCAATAACAGAGTCTTTATAATACCATTTTCCTTTAGCTGATAATCGCTCACCCCTTCTAAAAACAACAATATTGGTTTTATCGAGGTTGACTTCAAGTCCCCATTTATCAGAATATGATTCTAAAATATTCCATTGTTTTTGTAGTCCTGAAGCAACGTCAGATATTACTTCATCTGCAAAAAGTAATAGCAATATCTCTAAAAAATCAGGAAACAGCTGTACACCAAATTTACCACTTTCTACAATATCAGTACACAGTTCGCCAATAAAAAAGGAAAAAAGAAGTGGACTTAAAATACACCCTTGCCGACTGGGCAATCAGAATAATCTGTGTAAACATTATCGTTGCATCTTACTTATGCTTTAACGGATACATATATACTTCTTATTGCAGCTAACATTTTGCCATTTAATCCAGAGTTTTGAAGATAGTACCAAAGTTCATATCGTGATACGGAATCGAAAGCTTTCCTAAAATCTACGAAGGCGACATACTATATCTTCTTTTTTCTTGATAAGCATTTCTGAATTATTGCATTTAAGGTGAAAATGTGATCATTTGTAGAATACTCATTTCTAAAACCGGCTTGAAATTCAGGTATTTTATCTCTTATCGTAGACCAAGTTGTAAGTTTGGTATGAAGAATCCGTGTATATATTTTACTGAGTACACTTAAAAGAGAAATCCCTCTGTAATTATTGGGATTACCTCGTTCACCCTTTTTATCTATAGGAATTGTAATTGCTTTAGTCCAGTTTTCGGGGAAACCACCTTTTGGAAACAATATATTAAACAGTTTTCTAAGAAATGGCAAAATAATATTTGTATATAAGCATTTCTACAATTATACAGTCATTACCTGCAGATTTACATCTTTGAAAATGATCTAAGGCTGTAATGTTACTGCGTAACAACGCTTAAAGTAAGGCAAATGGTAATGATTTTACGACGCTTCAATATTGTTTTCATTTGTGCTCTTCTGTTCGCAACTGGGGTCATGCCACAGTCTTTTTACCAGTTAAAAACTGTAGAGTTTGTCACAATACCAGCTTCCCCCGGAACTTCGACGTTGTGATATTTCTGCAGAAGGTTTATGCTGAATGTGAGTTCTTTCACCCATTGAACGAGGCATTACAAAGACTTATATGATTTCAGAATCAGTGAAATCGCATTCAAGAATAGTTACATCAATATCATCAACACAATCCTTAACATCTTGACATTCCAAAGTTACTGTATCACTGGGCACAGTTCTATTAAAAACCGTGTTAAAATGATCAAGCCACACATCTTTATTGATCTGAGGTGATGTCTTATTTCCTCCAGAGATGGATCGGAGCTCTTTCCAAAATGATTTTGGGTCCGATATAGTTGCATTTAATCTGTTTCTCCTTTTGAGTTTAAACATGGCTTTGGACTTTCTACATATGTTTTATAATCATCCCTTAGTTTGCAATACATGCTTCTTGTTTCGTTTGATTTATGTTTTCATAATCTTCTCAAAGAACGTCTTGCTTCTCTTTTAGCAGATTTACAGTGATGATTATAGAATGAATTACTGAAGTTATTTTTGTCTCCAAGAGGTTTTTCATACAATCAGCAGCTCAAAGAATGACAGATACAAATTCATCGACTGCATGATTAACATCTTTCTCTGTATGATCTTCGAGTTCCTCGTTCCTGTAAATATACATCAGCCTTTTATCGTCCCACCTATATCTACACTCATCCTGTGATATATTGTTCATGTTTACAGTTAGCATTATTGTCGTAACATTCCGTAACTTGCAAGAAGGCTCATCCCAAAATCACGTTCGTCACAAGTCGTACCTTTCCGTAACTTGCAAGAAGGCTCATCCCAAAATCACGTTCGTCACAAGTCGTACCTTTCCGTAACTTGCAAGAAGGCTCATCCCAAAATCACGTTCGTCACCAGTCGTACCTTTCCGTAACTTGCAAGAAGGCTCATCCCAAATCACGTTCGTCACCAGTCGTACCTTTCCGTAACTTGCAAGAACACTCGTACCCTATCAAGTTCGATTCCACCTGTCTTCTCTGTCACCTGCAAGAACATGCGTCCCCTATCACATTCGTCATCACCCACACCTGCCCATAACTTGCATGAAAACTATTCCAAAAATGGCATTCGACTACATTTGCACCTTTTTGTTCCTTGCAAGAACACACGGCCTCCTATTGTATTCGTCACCACTCACACCTTTCCATAAATTGCATAAAGACTTTTCCAAAAATGACAATCGGCTACACTTGCACCTTTTTGATACCTGCAAGAACACGCGTCCTCCTATTGTATTCGACATCTCTCTCATCTTTTTGGCAAGAAACTAGTGAAGAAAATGTTTGCAGCCTTGTAATATTTCTATGCAGTTTAGAGATATGAGTGTTTTCACTCATTGAGATGCTGTAATGATGAATCATTATGGCTTATCTTGCCGCCAAATCGGAAACATTGCTGTTTCTTCTCGATATCATCAACACTTATGTCGGTCCCTATAATGAACTAATTAAAAATGATTAAAAAATGTTCTATGTGCTGTTTGTTTAAGCGATCGTAGGTGTATTGGGCGAGTGAGTGAGTGAGTGTGTGTGTGTGTGTGTGTGTGTGTGTGTGTGTGTTAACCAGCTTTAGTTATATCATATATGCATACATATTTACAGTTCATGAATCAGACATACTTCTCCCAAATTTGTATATAATATTCCAGCTCACACAGGCTACTGCTTCGAAATGTAAATATTGATAATATGCTTGACGTCGCTATTTTAGTTGTTGTATATTATGATGATGATGATGATGATGATGATGATGATGATGATGATGATGATGATGATGATGATGATGGATGATGATGTTCATCTTAACAAGTCTATGTTTCAGGTTGCTGGACATGACATTGGACAATAGTACTGTTCGCTCTTCTGATGCGCTTGCCAATTTGTACAACGTTGCCGGAAATGCAGCAGACAAAGACATAACATGGAACTTCATCAAGAACAACTTCTTCACACTACATAACAAGTAAGTAACGAACTTTTGCAATTTTCCAGCACAATCAAGCGGCCTGTAAATTGATAAAGTCACCAAAAGAACACGGGAACAGCATCCAACATCAGTTTTGTCAGCAGTGCGTCACATTTGACAATGTCCTTCTTATGTGAGGTATAAATATCTGATATTTATACCTCAAAAGTTATGACCTTTTAACCCCTCTGCCGGTGTCTACTGGAATATTGCTTGACAAAAAGGGAACGCTGACTCCTTGTTTGCACGCTTGTATCAAAATCAATTCTGTCTTGCCAATAATCCATCTTATCAAAGAAAATTCTTTGGTTCCTCTTATCAATGAACCAGGTCATCGAAGTAAATTCAACCTTTCAAGTATGGCGATCTACCTTCACTTGTAGGTACAATGATTGCAACCGCCATGCTCAATCTGGAAGTTTTCTGCCAGTTACCTCATTGTTGTTGACATTCCGATCAGACTGACTGACTGACTGAGTTTGGTTTTACGCCGCTTTTAGCAATATTCCAGCAATATCACGGCGGGGGACACCAGAAATGGGCTTAACACATTGTATCCATGTGGGGATTCGAACCCGGGTCTTCGGCGTGACGAGCCAACGCTGTATCCACTAGGCTACCCCACAGTCCCCCATTCCGATCAGAAGCCATGGGTCCAGGTTATTTAGGATATCACACTGGATATTCGACGACAAAGGAACTTTGGAATGGTTTAGTCATCCCTCGATCTCACCGAGGTCAATTCTTTCGTTACTCTTATCAATGATTCATCTTATCGAAGTAAATTGTACCTTATTGCCACTTTAGTATGGGGGGCGGTGGGGTAGCCTAGTGGTTAAAGCGTTGGCTCGTCACGCCAGACCCGGGTTCGATTCCCCACTTGCATGGATACAATGTGTGAAGCCCATTTCTGGTGTCCCCGGAATATTGCTAAAAGCGGCGTAAAACCATACTCACCCAATGTTGCATAAAGCGGCGGTAAATTGTATTGCCCACAGATAGACATATCGTTTTACGGGTTATGCTGTTTTAAGGTGATAGTCTAGTTCGTTTAGTCTTTAGACCACTAGTATGTATATCGTTTATTGCTGCATGTAATCGACCATATCGTTTATACGTCTTTAGACCACTAGTATGTATATCGTTTACTGTTTTAGACCACTAGTATGTATATCGTTTACTGAGACCACTAGTATGTCGTTTACTGTTCCACTAGTGTATATCGTTTACTGTCTTTAGACCACTAGTATGTATATCGTTTACTGTCTTTAGACCACTTTTATCGTTTAGACCACTAGTATGTATATCGTTTACGGTTTTAGACCACTAGTATGGTGTATATCGTTTACATGCATTACTTTCTCTCTCACTCACTTGATCATATTCCACCCCTCCGTGGTGTAGTGGTTAGAGCGTCCGTCCGGAGAGTGGAAGGTCGCAGGTTCGATCCCCGACCGCGTCATACCAAAAAACGTTAAAATATGGTACTTGTTGGTCCCTGCCTGGCGCTCGGCATTAATGGGTACAACAAGGACTGGTCTGCTCGGAGTCAGTATAATGTGTCTGAGTGGGATATTTCTGCTTCACTGCGGCATGTTATCTCAGTGGGCTAGCACTATAAAACCAGCTTAAGTCTGGGCTAGTACAAGCAGCCACGCATACACATACACACGCATGCACGTCGTCATATGAGCGAAATATTCTGATACTTACAAGCACGAAAGGCACGGATAGCCCTGTCCTCTGTGTGTTGTTTAACGTCACACTCAGCAATATTCCAGCTATATAACAGAGGCCTATAAATCGAGTATGAACCAGACAATCCAGTGAACTGACATCATCAGCATCTATCGTCACAACTGCGATGAGATGACATGTGTCAATCAAGTCTGCGAGTCTGACCACCCGATCCCGTTAGTTGCCTCTTACGACAAGCATGGGTTGCTGAAGATCAATTCTAACCCGCATTGTCTCGGTTCCCAGTCCTCTGAGGGACGTCAGACGCGCTGTGACGAGTTGCCGTTGACTACGGGTCTCTGTTGCGACCTTATTGATCAGCATGCCCCTCCGGTTTCATGTGTACCTGGGCTGTCCACCCTCATTGAGTTAACACTGTATCTAATTGTTCACATGTGTAACTAATATTATATTTCTTTTCCTTGAAGATTCAGTCAAGCCCAACTATCTGGGCTGATAGGATATATGACATCCGGTTATAACACGGGGTACCTTTTGAGCGAGGTAGGTTTGAATTAGTTCGTTTGATGCTACAATGCCTCATGGGTAAATTTGGCTTAAAGTTCAGAAATTGCCCGTAAATTAATGTTTGGAAGTACATTGTTATTTCAAATGCATTGTACAAAAATGTAATTTTAATTAATTCTGAGCAACGTCCAGAGTACAACTTCCCACAGATCTGATTCATTTCCAAATAGATAAATGTCAATAATTTAAGTGCTGTTGTCAAAAAACATGTTTGGTGCTTCTTTCAGCTGCAGTCGTTGGCCAACACCACCATGGCAGAAGGGTATCAGACCACATTTCAACAATCCATTAAGACGACACGAAATAATTTGGATTGGCTGGAGAAAAACGGTGACGACATCAAAGATTGGCTCACCGAACTGGGTTTCGCAGACTACCTGCCGTAATTGACCACTTAGGTGCAAGGTTTCGCTGCCGTTAGTGATCGCAGTGCTACGCACATCGTAACCCCTATACTTTAGCACAGGCTTACGACAGTCGTAGCGCTACGCACATCGTAACCCCTATACTTTAGCACAGGCTTACGACAGTCGTAGCGCTACGAACATCGTCACCCCTATACTTTAGCACAGGTTTACGACAGTCGTAGCGCTACGAACATCGTCCTCCTTATACTTTAGCACAGGCTTACGACAGTCGTAGCCCTATGAACATCGTCACCCCTGTACTTTAGCACAAGCTTACGACAGTCGTAGCGCTAAGAACGTCGTAACCCCTATACTTTAGCACATGAATTAGAGACATCAGTCTACGACCTTTAAGAAGGACTTGACTTCCGTCCCAGTTGTCAGGGACGTGATGGCAGCGGTTGATGTGGTCGACCTGTGGATAAAAATGGTATCGGATCAGTGATGTTGATTCCAGAGTAGGAATCAGTTCCTACAGTTCTGAAATGTGAAATCAGTAAATGACCACACACGATCACATCCAGTTTTTGTTTTCCTAAATACTGAACAAGTCACCGGCTTATTGTAAATACTCCACAGCTAGAGTAATATGTAACTTTTTAGTTAATCCGATAAAATGCATCTTCTGTAATTGCTTTCATAAATATGCAAAATACATATGATGATATTTTCGGAAGGCCTTAGAAATCGACTCTTTCTTTAGCTTGAGGGAGTGTAGTGAGATTCGAAATATTTCCAGCCAGATCTTCAAAACCAAATGCTTCTTAGAATTGGAACCAAAAACCCCAATATTTATATCTTCCGTAAAACACCTTGCAACTATGAATTGTTTTGTGGCATAATTTCAATTCTAAATAGAAAAACCTTGACAAACATTGATAACTGGCACATGTAAGGCAACCAATAATCATTTACCTGGCAGTCTCTCTTCTACTTCCTTCAGCTTAACCATTTTTTACCTCCACAGTCTGTCATTGAGGACAGTGAACTACTTGATAATGAGAACATTTTTTTCCGGCTGGTCCAGTGATGGAGTTTCAATTGATGTTTGATAATAAACTCTATAAATATGTAAATGGTATTGCAGTTGGCTTTGTCAGCGAGGTTATTAACCTGAAGTAGGTTATTATTTCCTTCGGTATAATTTTGGATCAGTAAATCAGCAGTGAAGCAAGTAAGTTAGACCAGACGATGTCCGAACCAGATAATCCAGTGATTAAATATAGGTGCCGTTGTAATCACGTTTTCTTGTGCCAGAACCGGTGCACTCGGTCCATAACGTCGCCTCGTACGAACCGTGGAAGGAATTTGGGAAGAGTTTTAATTTTCTAAGCTGTTGACTCATAAGGAATCAATGACATTTTACTTTTCCAAATTCCAAATTTCCCACGGGTGACTCAATGGATCAAATAGTCAGTGGCTTGTGGAGGTACCCCGTGGAAGTGATGTTAAAGACTGAAATTTCTGTTCTACACTCTGTATTTTGGAACATGGTTTAATGAGTGAGTGAGTGAGCTTTTAGCAATACCCAAGCAATATCACGGCGGGGTACACCAGAAATGGGCTTCACACGTTCTGTCCATGTGGGGAATCGAACCCGGGTCTTCGATGTGACTAGCGGACGCTTTAACCACTAGACTACCTCACCGCTCCTGGTTTAATGCATGTTTTTAAACATGTGGCTTCGTTGGTTGTCTGACGCCCCACCCAGCAATGTTCCGGCTATATGACTGCAGTCTGTTGATAATCGTGTTTGAACAAAACCATTTAGTCATTGCCACCATGAAAATCGGTCTGCGCAATTTGGATACGATGACATGTTTTGAAATTGCATCTGTTGGCTTTTATTGGTCAATATGCTTAACTTTGGTTTAGTTGTTGTTTAACGCCGCATTCAGTGAGTGAGTGAGTGAGTGAGTTTAGTTTTACGCCGCATTCAGCAATATTCCAGCTATATGGCGGCGGTCTGTAAATAATCTAGCCTGTAGGAGACAATCCATAGATCAACAGCTTGAGCATCCATCTACTCAATTGGGATACGATGTTTTAACCTTCACACAGGTGTTAGACGATGAAACGATCACAACTGCAACATGTACCTAGTTCCTGTGCTGTGTCTATTCAACGTGTCAGACAAGTCGGCGAACCTGACCACCCGATCCCGTTAGTCACCTCTTACAACACGCATGGGTTGCTGAAGACCAATTCTAACCCGGATCTTAACGGGTCATATGCTGAACTATCACCTTGGGATGACTATATGTTTTCTCGCATTCCAATGCGGCACGGTATATATTCTTTCTGTTCAATGTGTGTTACATTTCACGCTGCCATCCATTAATATATAAAACATAACCCCTTTCAGCTACGAATCCCCCAATCCTAGGCTATTCTGAAGAATGGCCCACTGGTACACACATTTTGCATTTGTACACAATCCATACGATACACTTTACAAATCTGATTTGGGGGAGGTGGTGTAGCCTAGTGGTTAAAGCGTTCGCTCGTCACTCCGAAGATCTGGGTTCGATGGGTACAATGTGTGAAGCCATTTTTCTCGTGTCCGCCGCCGTGATAATGCTGAAATATTGCTAAAAGCAGCGGAAGACTCACTCACTCACTCACTCTCACTACAAATCTGATTTATACATATGTACGTGCATCATCATATTTCAGTGTAACATTCGTGTTTGTATCCTTGTTCGTGGGAAACAAGTGTTTCAACTGATGATCCACTTCATATGTCCTCCACACGTTTACCAAAAACATTAAAACATTAAAAGCGTATACAGATGCTCATGATGTCAGCCACTGGGTTGTCTGCACCAGACATATATGGGTGGAATACAGGAGTGGGGAGTTAAAAACAGCAACAAATGTTTAGAAAGGTGTTAACGTTGTAACCTGGAAGACACAAGCATTGTTTGGGGTTCTTGGGGGTCCTTTTGAGGAGAACATGCCCAATTGTCTTTAAAAGTTGTGAAGTATACACATCAAAGTTCACTTTAAGTATGTTGGAGTTATCCCTGTTGGGATACAGTCACAGGACAGGAGCCTTTTGGATAACGTCTCGGAGTGAGCGAGGGAGTCTGGTTTTACGCCGCTTTTAGCAATACCCCAGCAATATCACGGTGGGGTACACCAGAAATGGGCTTCACACATTCTACCCATGTGGGGAATCGAACCCGGGTCTTCGGTGTGACTAGCGAACGCTTTAACCACTAGGCTACTCCACCTCCCCACGTCTCGAAGCAGTGGGTGAAGACCCTGTTGATGCCATAATTAATCCCTTAATTATAACAACACCGCGCACAAGCACAGCATGTCCACAATGGTGATACGATTTAGTCCCATTTCTGGTAGTGAGATTATCACACCTTTTAATTGGTTTAGCGCGTTGTCCCATTTCTGGCATTGCGATTTCCGTAATAAGTCCCATTTCTGGCAGTGTGCTGTTTACACCGCTTAATTGATAGGTAATAAATTGCTAATTGAACTTGAGTAGGCTAATTAAATCGGTTGACTCAATCCCTGATTCAGGGAACTGAACCATTTTTGTTTTCCTTCCTGCGTGTATATCTGTAACCATCCAGGATCAAATCCCCACCTACTTTCCTTCCATCTAAAATTTCACCTTTCTCTGCCATCATAATTCTTATATGTGACCAAAACAGTGACTAACACGTAGTCATGCCAGTCATATTTCCTTCTCTCCAAAGAGATGTACCAAAGAAATGCGATTAACATACAAAAACAAAACATTTCCTGACTCCCAGTGTAATGAATTTATAATACAAAACAAAGTGTGTTCACAACCATATACACCATATCCTGTCCAAAGACCAACACACTGTGTTCATAATCATTAGATGAGCAAAGGATTAACCTGCCCAAGTAGCAATTAATCAGGTAGGTAGCAATGGATTAAATAAGGATTAATTAAAACATTTCATTTTCACACAGACCAATTAGTCTTAATTAGTGACGGTAGTTGTCCCAAATCTGGCAGTGCAATTTCCGTATGTCCCATTTCTGGCAGTGGATTAAAACACCTCCCTAATTACGTCATCTGAGACTGCCAGTTTTGGATAACACCGGTAATATAACAGACTTGTTTGATTATATTTTTTTCTGGCGAATTCGGGTTTATTACTCTGAATCAGATATTAATATGTGAAGCAAAAAAACCATGCTGCTTCCAAATTAACGTATTGATGTACGAGATTTGCAGACATCAATACCACAGTGCACCTGTACCGAAATATCACAGCGGTATTTTCTGTATTATCAGGGACGGGATACCAGTTCAAAGTTGACATGTGTCAACCAAGTCAGCGAGCCTGACCACCCGAACCCTGTAGTGGCCTCTTGCGCCAGCATGGGTTGCTGGAGACTAATTTAACCCACGGGTAACGTTTAAACTCTCTTTGTAATGGATGTCAAGCTATTTCTGGTAAAAAGGTTTTCGATTGCTTGTACGAAAAGACGTTGAAACATAGTGTAACCAGAGGTACCCAACTGAAATCACGGAAAACACCAACTAAGAGTACAGAGCAGTGATACGGCTTCTCACAATAGAGGCGGTCAACATTCATGAACGCATGACTAATGTCTATAGGAAGAGTGAGTGAGTGAGTTAATATTTAACGTCACATCGGCAATATTTCAGCCATATCGTGACGAGAACATTTGATATTGAAATGAAATATATGTATATGATAAAAACATGCCGACGAAGGACAGTAAAACAACTAGAATATCACAGATATGTCTGTAAAACTAGTAATTAAATCTAAAACGTTTTAACTATAGGGGAAAAACAATACAGTATAAAAATGGGCTATAAATCGCCAATAACTGAAGGTAGATCACCATACCAGGGACCATGGGGACTTACATTACTTTTGCTACCTGCATGGACCCTAGTTGGATTTACACCATCCCTTCAACCATTGGCGACAGAAGAGAAATCTAGCCATAAATTAAAAGCACACATATTCTACGATTAAAAACGTGGCAAGCCTAAATTTACTCTAAATGTGTTGGGACTATATAGGAGGAAGCCCTCAATATCACACCGTGGCAAGATGGGCTGTTGAGCCTAAGCGCGTACAGTGTAACACAAAGCTTGCTATGAAACCTGGAACAGAATACAGGAATCACCCGCACCATCATGTGTTCCCTTATTTGTGTCCCTCAGTATATACCTGGAATATTGCTCACAGTGGCTAACATGAGTGAGTGAGATTACTTTTACGCCGCACTCAGCAATATTTCAGCTATATGGCGGCTGTCTGTAAATAATCGAGTCTGGACGTGACAATCAAGTGATCAACAGCATGAGCATCGATCTGCACAATTGGGAACCGATGACGTGTGTCAACCAAGTCAGCGAGCCTGACCACCCGATCCTGTTTGTAGTCTGTTTCGGCAGTTGGACGACAGGGTCGCAGTAAGGTTGGTTATCTAGAAAGCTAGAAGAGAAAATTTTAATGCATAGCTTACGATATATTTCGGTTGAGAAGTATTGTCTCTATGTATTTTTATTTTCAGGGGGGCGGTGGTGTAGCCTAGTGGTTAAAAGCGTGCCCTCGTCACGCCAAAGACCAGGGTTCGATTCCCCAATGTGTGAAACCCATTTCTGGTGTCCCCCGCCGTTATATATTGCTGGAATATTGCTAAAGGCGGCGTAAAACTGAACTCACTTACTCACGTGTGTCCGTGTATATATGTTTTCGTATGCGCGTGTATATAGCCTTGCTTGAGCGGATGTATGGGTGCATGTGTTTCCATGCGTGTATTCCAGTTCTTTCAGATACCCTGCACGAAAACACATATACAGTCTTTGAAAAAGGGCATTTTTAATTAATCTGTTTCATGCCTACACATATGGCCATAGAGATGATGTTCCTGCTCATTTGATAATAAGATGCGATGAACTGGAATTTACAACATTCACAGACACGATATGGCTGAAATACTGCGATGTGACAAATTTTACTCACTCACTCAACCAGTATACTCCTGTCTGAAATTTGATAGACGCCTCAGTACGGTGGGGGCAGTGGTGAAGCCCATTACTGGTGTCCCCCCGTCGTGATATTGCTGGAATAGTGCTAAAAGCGGCGTAAAACCTCTCTCACTCACTCAATCACTCACTCACTCACTGAGTACGGCAAGACATTACAAACAAGCCTGGTTGAGGTGATGTTTGTTTTGTAACAAGCCTTTCATGACTATTTCAAAATGTGTAAACTTTATAAAATGATCCGACTGTAGACTCAAACTGGTCTTCTGTATGCCAAGAAACCACTTTACTTACAGGGCTACCCTAGTCGGGCTTTTAGAGGAGCAAGAAGATATGACCCAATTCTGGGCCTGTCAAACAATGCAAATAAACATTTTACAAATAGAAAAGGGAGAGATGCTTAACTTTTTTACAGGTGTATAAGTGATGTGTTGACGTTTCAGCATTTCCGGGTTGACATCTTTGCATCGTTTCCAAGACATCTTGTTTGGCATATATTCACAATACACCTGTATGTTTGTACATATAAGTGATGCCAACAATGGTTGTGCATCCCATCTTGACATCGTTACCCCACACCCTTGTTTGGCACCCTCCGACCCCACACCTCTCCAGATACTCATAACAATTGAAGGGGTGACAACCATTATTGGCATGAGTATATTTACATGTCATTTTGACTGGTTCACATAACATTCTAAAAGATATACATTAACATGGCATCTTGACCGATACATGCTAACATTACATCTCGACTTGTATATATTTACATGACATCTTGACTGGTATTTATTTGCATGACTTCTTCACTGGTATATATTCACAGCGAAACCTGCCAACACCGGCACCAGTCTAATCCGGTATAGAATTCGGTCCCGCCATTTTACAACGATATTAAAACATTGTCTAATCCATTGACTGATGTATATTTACAAGACATCTTGACTGGTATATATTTCCATGACTTCTTGACTGGTATATATTTACATGACATCTTGACTGGTATATATTTACATGACATCTTGACTGGTATATATTTGCATTACATCTTGACTGGTATATATTTACATGGCTTCTTGACTGGTATATATTTGCATTACATCTTGACAGGTATATATTTACATGACATCTTGACAGGTATATATTTACATGACATCTTGCAATTGACTGGTATATATTTGCACAGAATCTTGACTGATGTATATTGACATGACATCTTGACTGTGTATATTTACATGACTTCTTGACTGGTATATATTTGCATGACATCTTGACTGGTATATATTTGCACAGAATCTTGACTGATGTATATTTACATGACATCTTGCCCGATATATATTTACGTGGCTTCGTGAATGGTATATATTTACATGACATCTTGACAGGTATATATTTACATGACATCTTGACTGGTATATATTTGCACAGAATCTTGACTGATGTATATTTACATGACATCTTGACTGTATATTTACATGACTTCTTGCCTGGTATATATGTACATTACATCTTGCCCGATATATATTTACGTGGCTTCGTGAATGGTATATATTTACATGACATCTTGACAGGTATATATTTGCACAGAATCATGACTGATGTATATATTCATGACATCTTGACTGTGTATATTTACATGACTTCTTGACTGGTATATATTTGCACAGAATCTTGACTGATGTATATATTCATGACATCTTGACTGTGTCTATTTACATGACTTCTTGACTGGTATATATTTGCATGACATCTTGACTGGTATATATTTGCACAGAATCTTGACTGATGTATATTGACACGGCATCTTGACTGTGTATATTCACATGACTTCTTGATTGGTATATATTTGCATTACATCTTGACTGGTATATATGTACATTACATCTTGCCAGATATATATTTACGTGTCTTCGTGAATGGTATATATTTACATGACTTCTTGACAGGTATATATTTACATGACATATTGACTGGTATATACGTACATTACATCTTGCCCGATATATATTTGCGTGGCTTCGTGAATGGTATATATTTACATGACTTCTTGACAGGTATATATTTACATGACATCTTGACTGGTATATAGTTACATGGCATCTTGGCTGGTATATATTTACCTGGCTTCGAGATAGAATGGTATATATTTACATGACCTCTTGCCTGGTATATATTTACATGACATCTTGCCCGGGATATATATTTGCATAGAACCGTTGGGTATATATACGCTTAGGGGTTTCTAATGACATGGTAATTACTATCAGCTTATATTTCCGCAAGATGACATCCTTGAATATTGAGAACGCTATGTTCAGCGACCGTTTACTCATTGCGTCCTCCATGTCTATCACTCGTCAGCGATCGTGCGGAAAATAACATTCGGGATCGTTCGAGTTTTTGAAGTAAAGGTTCAAACGGTATGTGCCAAAGTTAACTTTCGCGATTTGGTAAGCCGTGTTCTGATTGATCAGTCCAAAACGTTAGCTGACGCGACCTTTACTATGGTTTGTTAGACTCAGTATAGCAGTGTAACGAATGCGGTCTGTAAATAATGGAGTATGGACCAGACAATACAGTGAACTGACATCATCAGCATCTATCTCCACAACTGCAATGAGATGACATTTGTCAACCAACTCAGCGAGTCTGACACCCGATCTCGTTAGTAGCCTGTTACGGAAGGAAAGGGTTGCTGAAGATCAAAGTTAACCCGGATCCCAGTCATCTGAGGGACGCCAGGCTCAGTGCTGTGTCCTAGTTGCTGTGGATAATGGTTTCGAATTCTATATTCGTCTTTATTGCGACCGTAATATTGATCAGCATGCCCCTCACCTTTCATGTGTACCTGGGCTGTCCACCCTCATTGAGATAACACTGTATCTATATATATATATATATAATATATTTTCTTTTCCTTGAAGATTCAGTCAAGCCCAACTATCTGGGCTGATAGGATATATGACATCCGGTTATAACACAGGATACCTTTTGAGCGAGGTAGGTTTGTATTAGTTCGTTTGATGCTACAATGCCTCTTGGGTAAATTTGTTTTACATTTCAGAAATTGAAATAATGTTTGGAAGTACATAGTTATTTCAAATACATTGTACCAAAATGTATTTTTAATTAATTCTGAGCAACGTCCAGAGAACAACTTCCCACAGATCTGATTCATTTGCAAATAGATAAATGTCCCAGGAATTTAAGTGCTGTTGTCAAACTCATCTTGGGTGCATCTTTCAGCTGCAGTCGTTGGCAAACACCACCATGGCAGAGGAGTTTCAGACCACATTTCAACAAGCCATTAAGACGACACGGAATAATTTGGATTGGTTGGAGAAACACGGTGACGACATCAAAGATTGGCTCACCGAACTGGGTTTCGCAGACTACCTGCCGTAATTGACCACCTAGGTGATAGGTTTCTCTGCCGTTAGGCCGAATACCTGATGCATGTTTCACAAAGCGATCGTAGCGCTACGAACTTCGTAACCCCTAAACTTTAGGACAGGCTTACGCCAGTTGTATCGCTAAGAACATCGTAATCCCTTCACTTACAACTTGCAACAGTCTATACTTTAGCCTTGGCTCAGGACAGTCGTAGTGCTACGAACATCGTAACACCTATACTTTAGCACAGGCTTGCAACAGTCTATACTTTAGCCTTGGCTCAGGGCAGTCGCTTATCCCGATTCGTACTTGCAGAGGTTTACGACAGTCGTATATACTTTTTTAGCATTGGCGTAGGACAGTCGTAGCGCTACGCACATCGTAACATCCTATACTTTAGCACAGGCTTACGACAGTCGTAGTACTACGCACATAGTAACCTCCTATCTTTAGCACAGGGCTTACGACAGTCGTAGCGCTACGAACATCGTAAACTCTATACTTTTGCACAGGCTTACGACAGTCGTAGCGCTACGAGAATCGTGAATCTATACTTTAGCACAGGCTTACGATTGACAGTCGTAGCGCTACGAACATCGTAACCTCTATACTTTAGCACAGGCTTACGACAGTCGTAGCACTACGAACATAGTAACCCTATCTTTAGCTTACGACAGTTTAGACGATAGTAACCCTATACTTTAGCACAGGCTTAGCAGTGGTAGCGCTACGAACATCATAGTTAACCCTATAACTTTTTTAGCACAGGCTTACGACAGTCGTAGCGCTACGAACATCGTAACCCCTATACTTTTTAGCACAGGCTTTTAGCACGACAGTCGTAGCACTACGAACATCGTAACACCTATACCTTAGCACAGGCTTACGGCAGTCGTAGCGCTACTAGTAACCCCTATCTTTAGCACAGGCTTACGACAGTCTATACTTTTGCACAGGCTTACGACAGTGGTAGGCAGCACAGGCTTACGACAGTGGTAGCGCTACGAACATCGTAACCCCTATACTTTTGCACAGGTTTACGACAGTCCTGCTATCGCTGTGACGACATCACTACGAACATAGCTATACTTTAAGCACAGGCTTACATTGACAGTCGTAGCGCTACGAACATCGTAACTCCTATACTTTAGCACAGGCTTACGACAGACGTAGCGCTACGCACATAGTAACCCCTGTCTTTAGAACAGCTTTACGACAGTCGTAGCGCTACGCACATAGTAACCCCTATACTTTAGCACAGGCTTACGACAGTCGTAGCGCTACGCACATCGTAACCCCTATACTTTAGCATAGGCATAAAACATAAATTCCTGATGCATGTTTCACACAGCGATCGTAGCTCTACGAATATCACAAATACTGAAAAGAAACATTCTTATTGTGTCTTCTGTAAAACACCTGAACAATAACCCTTGACAAAATTGATGGCTGTTACATGTAAGGCAATCAATGTTCAATGCGCCAATGATCATTTACCGGACATACAAACAACATCCTCTCTTCTACTTCAAGTAAAGGAGAGTTGTTAACATTCCTTATTTTTATAAATGTCTGATAATACACTTTTTCCATGTATGACTGGTGTTGGAGTGATCTTTGACAGTTGGGTTATTGAACTGAAGTCGTTTTTTCTTGATAATTTGCCGGACATACATAAAAATCTCTCTTCTACTTTCTGCTACTTAACACAAGCCTTGATAATGAGATCAATTTCTTCCGGCAGGTCCAGTGATGGAGTTTTAATTAATGTCTGATAATAAACTCTTTTAATATATGAATGGTGTGCAGGTTGATTTGTCAGCGAGGTTATTTTACTAAAGTAAGTTATTATTTCCTTCCATATAATTTTGGATCAGTAAATCAGCAGAAACGTAAGTAAGTGGAAAGTAGACCAGACAATGTCCGAACCAGACAATCCAATGATTAAGCATGCGTGCTGTTGTAATCACGTTTTCTTGTGCCAGAATGGCTGCACTCAGTCCATCACGTCGCCTCTTCCGGACAGTGGAAGGAATTTGGGAACAGTTCTAAGCCTCAACTCCTACTTGTTGCCTGAAAAGGAATCACAGAACCATTGTGAAAACAGTCAAGGGTCCTTATAATAATGTCCTGCTTGACTTTGATTTTTCAATCACAAGACATAACTGATATTGCTGGAATATTGCTCAAAGCGGCGAAAAACTAAACTCACTCACTCATTCACTCATGTGGTCAAGAATGTTGGTTGCGTTGACTCTTTTGTGAGAAGTCCTATCACTGCTCTGTTTTGGTATTCGCCAGTATTTCAACAGGGTTCCTCTGATCACACTCCCACTATAACAATGCCTCAAGATGCAAGCTGCTTGAACTGTTGCTATAAAACTTACTCACGAATACTCTTAGTGTGAAAAAACACTATCGACACAACTGTTTTGTAACATTGATACAAGAAATGGGCTTCACACATTGTACCCATGTGGGGAATCGAACCCGGGTCTTCGGCGTGACGAGTGAACGCTTTAACCACTAGACTACCCCACCGCCCTCACGAACGCAAGACTAATGTCACTGGGAAAGATGCCCCTCACTATTACATTCTGACAAAATCGGTTGTTGAGCTTAAGCGTGAAACCTGGATACGAGTAAAGGAATCACTCGCACTGTTCCCTTTAGTTTAAACATATTTTATTCATAATGTGAAAAGGATCGGGGGCAAGTTCTTTCAACTTATTAAACCCCTCTCCGAAGATATTTGCAATAACTAATTACATCACAAGCAATTATAAGAAACAGAGACAGAGAAAGACTGAAAGATAACAGGGGGAAATGCTATAATACAAAATGTGTATAGAGAGAAGACTACTGGAATCGTTTAGATTTGCATATATATTTATGTACATTTTTTAATATAATTTCATTTTTATGATTCGTCAGATCTGCAATGCCGTTTAAAATAACAGATAACGTAATCACAGAATTACTACCACATACATCTTGAATAGCTTTAAGCATGATCTTTCTGTGTTGATTGTATAAAGAACATTCTAAGAAGTAGTGATGAGCATTTTCGCATGGGTTTCCACATGCGCAGGATGGATCAGTGATTAGCCCTACTCTGTACAGATCGTAACTTAATCTACTAGCTTCATGACGTAGTTGAGTATGTATTATGTTAAATTTTCTAATACCGTAAGAAAAATACAGTGGAGCTGAGTTAAATGATGTTATTATGCTGGATTTAAACTTTGAGAGTGAAGTACAATTTCTAAAAGTAAAGGAATCACTCGCACTGTTCCCTTATTTGTATCCCTGAGTATATAACTGGAATATTGTTCAATATCCTCCCACGTTTAACGGGTATACCGTGATATATACTCATTCAAACAAACAAGGAAACAATACTTCATCGCAATGGTTCTTATCTCTTCTCAGATTATTTTTCCCACAGTGCAATTCAATGCTTGCTAAGAATCCTGGACACTCTCATGCGTTGCCTTATTTGTTTTACTTAATATAAAACTCAAATATGTTGAAAGTGGCTTTAAAGCAAACACTTTCTGATTTTGGTGTGTCACTTCAGTGCATTGTGTGTCACTTCTATGGGGAACCTAGGTTAGCGAGTGTCTCAATACTAGCCACCTTGAAGAGAGAGAGAGGACTCCTTTATGTGTAGCGTACTGTATCTTCTCAAAGCCTATTTGTTGGGGCTCGGTGGCAGGGTATTTAAATTACGATTACGCCGCATACGAAATAGACGCACGAACGTTGACCCGGATTATTAAAAAGGTGTGAATAGCTAGCAGACCTGATTACAGGAAGGCAACAAATGTACGAATGGGCTGTTGTGCAGCAAGCAGGTGCATTGACCGATATAGATCAAAGGAGTTGCACCACTAAACGATAAGTAGAGCACTTACGTGCTACGTAAACAAGCCCACGTTGAACTCGGAGTGAGATAGGTCTGACAGGCGAATGATGTGGCGAAAAACAGGCAAGTCGTTGATCAACACTGACAGTAAACATTTCAGTAATAATATACAACTAGAGTCTAAATATTGCTGTGTCACACGTGCACGGTAATAACAACTTCAACAACGACATCGGGGTACAGGCATGGTGCGACTTCGTGAGTGAGTGAGTTTAGTTTTACGCAGCACACCATATAGCAATATTCCTTCTATATGGCGGCGGTATGTAAATGATAGAATCTGGGTCAGGCAACCGTGTGGTCAACAGCATGAGCATCGATCACTACGCAGTTTGGATACGGTGATATGTGTCAACCAAGCCAGCGAGCCTGACCCTCCGATCCCGTCAGTCGCCTCTTACGACAAGCATGGGTTACTGAAGATCAATTCTAAACCGGATCTCCACGGATGTACAGAGTCACGAAGCACCGCCACGACTTCACTTTGTGTCACGACGCACCATTGTTACTTATCATGCGAGCAATTACGTTTCGCTGTGATGAGACTGGCAAGTTCGACACATTGAATGCTGAATTCGATTTCTTTGCGTTGCCTTTCCACTGTAGGGATGGCTAACGTTTATAATTGCTTGTCCTCAGATCTTTTCTTTGACGACAGAGCATTTCGCCATTCACTGGGGAAAGTCAGTCGGTTTAAACCTCACCAAGGGTACACAGTATATAGTTAGCGAGTGAGTGAGTAAGTTTAGTTTTACACTGCTTTTAGCAATATTCCAGCAATATCACGGCGGGGGACACCAGAAATGGGCTTCACATTTTACAGCCATGTGGGGAATCGAACCCGGGTATTCGGCGTGACGAGAGAACTGTGCTTTATTCTGATGAAAGCCGATATTGTGTTTCGACAGCCGATCGCAGAGACGTGGGGAACGTTTTTCCAATGAGTGCATTGTTGAGAGAGACTCGTGGGGTGGTCCAAGCATAGTGGTGTTGGGTGCAGTCTGTCTGAACCAGAGAGTTGGCCCCGTGGTGTTCCAGAATCTCGGTCCACGACGAGGAAATGGCGTGACAGCCCACTCATAAGTCATAAGACCCCACTTTGTATCACATTTTGGGCGTCACAGAGTTCACATCTTCCAGTAAGTCAAAACTCGTGGTCACACTTCCAAAGACAACACGGCATCCAAACCTTACAATGACCTGCACTCAGTCCGGATTTAAGTCCAATAGAACACCTTTGGGACGAGATTCAAAGAAGACTGAATGGCCTCCAAGCAAGGCCGACAACTGTGGCTGTACTCGATCAGGCATTTCGCAGAGTATGGACCCAAGTGCCTATAGCCTTCATCGACCGGCTAATTCATTCCATATACAGACGATGCAACGCCGTCATCGAAGCCCAATGAGCTCACACACAATACTGACTTTTAGGCATCTCAATGATACCATTTTTGGTGATTTTGTTTGTGTGAACTCTAAATGTGATTCCCGAAAATGTGTTGACCATAATTGTCAAGTTTTATCTCAATCCTCCGTTTTGATTGTTAATTAGAGCGAATAAAAGTGTGTGCTTTAAGGAACCTCTCTCGGTGTGACGTTTCTTTTGCGGTTCATTATAGTTACACTGAATGTTGTTTACCTGGAGCAGACCACGAGACTGTGCTTCACACAAGACACAGAATGAATACTACCGAGACGACGTTCCTCATACCGACAGCCTCAATACCCGTTAAACCACCCCATATGCGCATATATTGGTCGCAATGAACACGCTTTATAAAGGAGATATTCCCCCGATGCCCACGGTTTGATCACGTGAGTTGTATAGGGAGGCATGAAGATTGATCGTGGTGTGCTTGGGCAGTTGGACGACAGAATCGCAGTAAGGTTGGTTGTCTAGAGAGCTAGAAGAGAATATTTTAATGCATAGCTTACGATGTATTTTGGTTGAGAAGTATAGTGTCTCTATGTATTTTTGTTCTGAGGGGTGGTGGGGTAGCCTTGTGGTTAAGTCTTTCGCTCGTCACGCCGAAGACCCGGGAGAGAGAGAGAGAGAGAGAGAGAGAGAGAGAGAGAGAGAGAGAGAGAGAGAGAGAGAGAGAGAGAGAGAGAGAGAGAGAGAGAGAGAGAGAGAGATGCCATTGTGAATGATTCGTATTACATGACATCTTGACTGGTATATAATTACATGACATCTTGACTGGTATATATGTACATGACATCTTTACTGGTATACATTTACATGACTTCCTGACTGGTGTATATTTACATGACTTCCTGACTGGTGTATGTTTACATGACTTCTTGACTGGTATGTATTTACATGACTTCTTGACTGGTATATATTTACATTACATCTTGACTGGTGTATATTTACATGACATCTTGACTGGTATATATTTACATGACATCTTGACTGGTATATATTTACATGACATCTTGACTGGTGTATATTTACATGACATCTTGACAGGTGTATATTTACATGATATCGTGAATGGTATATATTGACAACGATATTAAAACATTGTCTAATCCATTGACTGATGTATATTTACAAGACATCGTGACTGGTATATATTGACATTACGTCTGGACTGGTGTATATTTACATGACATCTTGACTGGTATATATTTACATGACATCTTGACTGGTATATATTTACATGACATCTTGAATGGTATATATTTACATAACATCTTGACTAATGTATATTTACATAACATCTTGACTGGTATATATTTACATGACATCTTGACTGGTATATATTTACATGACATCTTGAATGGTATATATTTACATAACATCTTGACTAATGTATATTTACATAACATCTTGACTGGTGTATATTTACATGACATCTTGACTGGTATATATTTACATGACATCTTGACTGGTGTATATTTACATGACATCTTGACTGGTGTATATTTACATGACATCTTGACTGGTATATATTTACATGACATCTTGACTGGTGTATATTTACATAACATCTTGACTGGTGTATATTTACATGACATCTTGACTGGTATATATTTACATGACATCTTGACTGGTGTATATTTACATAACATCTTGACTGGTATATATTTACATGACATCTTGACTAATGTATATTTACATAACATCTTGACTGGTGTATATTTACATGACATCTTGACTGGTGTATATTTACATAACATCTTGACTGGTGTATATTTACATGACATCTTGACTAATGTATATTTACATAACATCTTGACTGGTGTATATTTACATGACATCTTGACTGGTATATATTTACATGACATCTTGACTGGTGTATATTTACATGACATCTTGACTGGTGTATATTTACATGACATCTTGACTGGTATATATTTACATGACATCTTGACTGGTGTATATTTACATAACATCTTGACTGGTATATATTTACATGACATCTTGACTAATGTATATTTACATAACATCTTGACTGGTGTATATTTACATGACATCTTGACTGGTATATATTTACATGACATCTTGACTGGTGTATATTTACATGACATCTTGACTGGTGTATATTTACATGACATCTTGACTGGTATATATTTACATGACATCTTGACTGGTGTATATTTACATAACATCTTGACTGGTATATATTTACATGACATCTTGACAGGTATATATTTACATGACATCTTGACTGGTGTATATTTACATGACATCTTGACTGGTGTATATTGTATCGATGTATGGTATGCTGATGATGAATGACTATGGCTGGTGACGTGTGGTTTAGGGGATGACAACTAATACCTACATGCAACGGTAGTGTGGAGGATGCTAGCCATACTATAATATAACATACTTTTTTTCGCAGTCAGTGTCAATTCTGAAACATAGAACCAGAAAGATGCCGACAAAGTAAAGTTACACATATTTATAGATCTCCTTACTACTGGATCACAGGGCAAACAATCACATTACAAATTATCCCGACTTTAAAAAAATATTGACGGACAATATATATTTCTGTTATTTCTTTACTCGTCAGCTTCAGTTGCGTTAATATCGCTCATAAATGGATTGTATTAAAATATTCTTATTTCTGCAGTTCATTTCTTCTCATGTATAAATGTCTCACATGCAAGATGCAATATGTATTTCTGCAAAATAATATAAACTTGGTTTTGTGTTTCCACGCAAATAGTGAGTGAGTGAGTTAATATTTAACGTCACATGCACGCAAATAGAACAAGAGATGCTTGAAATAGTTAAGTCTACACACTCCTTCTCACATTGATATCAGAGAGATCAAAAGAGAGGGTTCGTGGAAAAGGTGAAAGTAGTAGTAAAATCCTTCGTAATTTACAAACATTTACAAACTTTGTGAAGATGAGTAAATATGAACTTTACAGGATTGTAAATTTTATCATCAATTTAAAAAAAAAAATTCAAGTAATCTGAAGTGTATATTCTAACAAGAGTTCCACATAGCCGTAAGTGTAGGATCAAATATCCGAGATGGTTTTGTTTACAAAAGTTCAATTTATCCTGTTATCCCGTTTGTGATATATTTGTAGTTTGTATCATCTTACTGTACTTCAGCATATCTAATACAATTTACACACATTGAAGTTTAGCACAGGTCCTCTGGCGTTCGAGTGTTCGAGCCAGTGTTCGACATTTACTATTTTTAATCAGGCTTTGTTGTTTGTCCCCAGCTAAAACCCTGCGGCCATGGGGGAATATAAACTGTCCGATCTCAACGGTACCGCTGCAATGCCAGAGGAGAAGCGTAGCGGCGGAGTTCACATTAGCCATGGGGCGGCGTTCGTCTTGGTCCTTCTTGCTGTCTGTCTTGCCGTGTTGGTAGGGCTCGTTGTGCACCTGGTATCACCAGTAATCTTAGGCTAAGAATATGAGATTATCTAATAACAGAATGTGTACTTTTAACAAAATGGGAATATTTGTTGAAAATGAATTTTGCAAATGTTACTGATTACTCAGTAATTTTGTGTGTAGTGTTTTCTTCTTCTTCTGAAAACTGGAAACATGAAGAAATATGAAGTTAATTGCCATATTGGAGGTATTAATATCTGCATGATTTCAATCAGGTGGTGCATGCTCAAAGAAAACAACAGCAGCAACAGCCACTACAACAGCAACGATGACAACTACAGCAACCACAACAATTACAACACCAGCCCCCGTCATCAACTACCGCCTCCCTACAGCTGTCAAACCTTTCCACTACGTCCTTGAACTCCAACCTGATATATTCACCTTGTACAGTTTCTATCGTCATCATATATATATTGCAAATATTCTTGAAAATGTCATAATTTGTGATCTCATGTTGTGGTGATCTCAATTGTACTTCCTGAGATTTGGATTGATAATATTTCTTTATCTCACAGTTACTTAGCATCCACCCAGTTCTCGCCATCTCATGCGAGGAAAGCGTTCCCCTGCTTTGATGAACCGGCTCTGAAGGCGACCTTTGACATTACTCTGGTCAGGAAGACGACCACTGGACGGAACTACCGGACACTGTCTAATACCGAAGTCTTGTCCAATGAGATCAGGTGAGGGGGTGTAGCGAGGTGGTATAGGTGCATACTCTATGTATAGTCCAGTCAAAATCGCGTAACGAGGTCGACATCCATTTCAACAGCAGCGTGGCGACTGTTATGGCGATTTCAGTCGATTGCAGGATCTGCAGTGGAAACTGGACCTTAACAGTCAGTTAGCTCTCCTGCCATGGGTACATAATTCGTCGTGACGTCATCGTTTTGAACGTTTGCATGAACATTTGCATGTTGTCCATTACAGGGGCAACTATACAGCTGATACCTTTGCAACGACGCCGGTAATGTCCACATACCTCCTCGCCTTCATCATTTGTGACTTCGACCAGCTGGAAAACAAAACCTCAAACATAACGGTACAGTCAGAGTTTTGTCTATTTATAATTACACAAACGTCAATGGGATTTTCAACAGGCATCTTGAAGTTTTAACACTTACTTAGTGTAATGTGTGATGAGGAGAGTTCTACTGTAACCTGTTAAGGATCCGGTGTCCAGCCTTTGACTATCCGTCGTAGCACCCCTTTAAGAGTCAAGACGTAGTTTACATCTACACTGCCATTACGACAACCTTGATATATCTTGGCAGACACGGTAACACAAAACAGTTTGTACCGTATGTTATGAACACACATAAAGGGCGAGTGATTCCTGTATTCTTTTCAAGGTTTCATAGCAAGCTTTGTGTTGCACTGTACACGCTTAAGCTCAACAGCCCATTTTGCCACAGTGTGATACTGAGGGCTACTTCCTAAGATAGTTAAAATGCGACCGTGAAGATCTGGGTTAGAATCGGTCTTCAACAGCCCAAGGGGGGTGAGGATGGGGGCAAGGGACGAAACGTAAGTCCTTAGCATGGTGCGTTAGTAATGGTTCTCTGTGATTATCTCAACGTGAAGATCCGGGTACAATTTGTCTTCAGCAACCCATGCTTTTCGTTAGATGCGAGTAACGGGATCGGGTGATTAGGCTCACTGACGTGGTTCACACACTAGTACCAATCCTAGTGAAGAGTATGCCGTATATGTATTAAAACTGATCGCACGGTGTGTTAACATATACTTATGTGTAACATCTCAGTTGATAGTTAGGTAGTTTGTAAGCTTAATGGTCGTTTATCTCGGTTTTGTGAGTTGACGCAAAGTTAAATGCTTGAAATAATTAAGTCTGTACATTCCTCCTGACATCGGAGAGATTAAATCGGGGTACATGGGAAAAGAAGAAACTGGAATAACTTGTAAATCCTTCTAAATTTACAAATATTTACCAGGTATGTTGTACTAGCAAATAACAACAGCAACAATCGTGATGACAACGACGATGACGTCGTCAGTGATGATGATGTGATTGTTGTTGTTGTTGTTGATGTTAATGATGATGATGATGATGATGATGATGATGATGATGATGATGATGATGATGAGGGTGATGATAATGCTGACGACGACAATGATGTTAATGATAATGCTGATGATGATGCTGTATTCTATGTCGTTGCAGTACCGGACGCTGGCACGTCCTAATGCTATACAACACGCCGGTCGGGCCCAGAAGTATGGCATGGATTTGTTCGACTGGTTCGAGAAGACCTTCGACCCTGACTATCCCATCACCAAACTTGGTATGTAGACGAGTTCACTCAGGCCATGTATTCCTTAAAGAAACAATAAGCAAGTCCTTAATGTGGATTTACGTGAGGCGCTGATAACGTTGCATTTGGGTACGGTATCGATAGTATTTTGGTAAGTCAAGATCAAAACTCTTTAGTATTAGTCGTTGTTTTTGGAAAAGGATCTCGATACACCAGGCATGTTATTGTTCTCGTAGTCAGTTTAACGTTTTTGAATATCGTAGAGTTTATTTTGAGGCAGTCATTCATCTTCTTGCGTTGAAAAACTGGCATTCTGATATTGACAAATAGAAATCGCTTTTGAAGTGACATTTTGTATTTTAACCCAGTTTTTCTAATTTTAAATATTTAAAGTCTTTTGATTTAAGAATATTACATATATTTTTATATATTTGTGTCAGGTGTTTTACCTATACAAGTTGCTATTCCCCAATATGTAACATTACAAAATTCACAATACATATATGTATTTAAGCGTCTATAAAAGTAACAGCGTCTGTGCAGACAACATCGCCATCCCCAATCTCGTGTTCGGCGCCATGGAAAACTGGGGCCTCATCACCTACAGGGAACGCCTTCTTTACGAAGAGGGCGTGTCAACAGCGTCTCAAGACAGCTGGGTTGCCGAAGTGATCTCGCACGAGATATCTCACCAGGTAACAAATTCCTCGAAAGTATTACAATTCTTTTTTAAAACTTATTTTAATGGTTTTCTTTGTGAATTTGTTTAGATGCATATGCTTTGGAAAATGTAAAAGAACAGGTCTGTCAAAAGTGAATAATAACGATACTTTAAAGCCCAATTAACATTTGCGATGATGTGTCGTTTTGAATTTTTGAACCGAGCAATCAAGAATTGATAAAAAGGCTAATAACGTAATACAATGTGGTACACAATTATATTTTCTCAGCAATGATGTGGGAACGGTGGGGTAGCCTAGAGGTTAAAGCGTTTGCTAGTCAAACCGAAGACCAGGGTTCGATTCCCCAAAGGGGTATAATGTGTGAAGCCCATTTGTGGTGTCCCCCGCCCTGATATTGTTGGAATATTGCTAAAAGCGGCGTAAAACTGATCTCACTCTAACGAAAAATGATCTGCCCTAACGACGGCAAGCTCATCCACTCGTGGAAAAATGTAGATGCACGTGCTGCTCTCGGTTGGCGTCGATGGCAGTTGGTATCGGGAGTCTTCCGGAGAGGACAATCGTGTTAAACCATATCCATGATGAGTGAAAAGTCTATTGAGCGGCTTCGTCATCAGGGATTGAATTTTAAAAAATATTCTGAGCAGGTGCAACTCTGGGCATCATCTATCAATCAGCGAATAAGATAGAAATATCCTTGGGCCCCAAATCCCAATCCACAAAAACACCCCAGCAAATAAAAATAAAACTGCTAGAATAAACACACTGGTTGAGGTTCAATGTTTGTTTAACAAGTATACAAGAACAATGATGTCTGAATGTTGCAATAACTGACTGTTGACTGGTAAGGTAGAGTGTACCGTGTTTATTCATGGAGTATACAAGAACATTGCTGTCTGAATGTTGCAATAACTGACTGTTGACTGGTAAGGTATAGTGTACCGTGTTTATTCATGGAGTATACAAGAACATTGCTGTCTGAATGTTGCAATAACTGACTGTTGACTGGTAAGGTATAGTGTATCGTGTTTATTCATGGAGTATACTTGAACAATGATGTCCGAATATTGCAATAACTGACTGTTGACTGGTAAGGTGTAGTGTATCGTGTTTGTTCATGGAGTATACTTGAACAATGATGTCCGAATGTTGCAATAACTGACTGTTGACTGGTAAGGTATAGTGTATTGTGTTTATTCATGGACTATACTTGAACAATGATGTCCGAATGTTGCAATAACTGACTGTTGACTGGTAAGGTATAGTGTATCGTGTTTGTTCATGGAGTATACAAGAACAATGATGTCTGAATGTTGCAATAACTGACTGTTGACTGGTAAGGTATCGTGCATCGTGTTTATTCATGTGGTATACTTGAACAATGATGTCTGAATGTTGCAATAACTGACTGTTGACTGGTAAGGTATAGTGTATCGTGTTTATTCATGGAGTATACTAGAACAATGATGTCTGAATGTTGCAATAACTCACTGTTGACAGGTAAGGTGTAGTGTAAGGTGTGTCACGGTGTGACATACTAGCATTAAAGTGTCTGTGTGTTGCAGTGGTTCGGCAATATTGTGTCACCCAAGTGGTGGTCCTGGCTCTGGCTAAAAGAGGCCTTTGCCTCTTTCTGGGGCTCCTTTGTGGTGGGCACAATCTATCCAGCTAGAAGGTCGGTGAGTATCTAAATAATCACATTGGTCCTTTCAGTTAAAACACTTTCTGATTCAAGGTAAGAATATTACCCCTATGCAGATCGTAAAAGAAAGCTGAACATATAGAAGTCAGGTGGTCGGCTCGTTTTTGACACTCTCCATCACACGCTTGTCTGGTCGAGACGTGATTATGTACAATCCATTGTCATACAACTACAATATAACCCGTAAAGATCTGGGTTAGAACTGATCTTCAGTAACCAATGGTTGTCGTAAGAGTCGACTAACGGGATCGGGTGGCCAGACTCGCTGACATAATTGACACATGTCATCGTACCCCAATTGTGTAGATCTATGCTCATGCTGTTTTAATTAGACTGGATTAATTACAGACCGCCGTCATATAGCTGGAATAATGCTGAGTGCGGCGTAAAACAACTAACAAATAATAAATGAGTGTTGTGAAAACAAAAACAAAAGAATCAACAAGGTTGCAACATCTTCTTCCTCTCTTCAGATGGAGCTGTTCATAGTGCAGTCGATGTATATTGCGATGTACAGAGACGGTATGCAGACGTCGCACCCAATGACGAACGACGTCGAGAGTAACGCTGAAGTGGAGCGCTCTTTCGACACAATTACATACAGCAAGGTATGAGTTAGTAATGAGTGAGCAGGGTGAGAAGGTTGAAGTGGGGTTTAACGTCGCGTTCAAGATCACATCAAGTTAAAGTAAACTACGGTTATCTCGAACTCAAAGGGATCACTAAAGATAGTTCGTTATACGAGTTTCGACTAAAATACACAGCAAGTTGCCAGGGGCTCGATCCACAAAGCGTCCGTAGAACTACGTTATTCTTAAGCCTATACAATAGAATAGAGTTACGTTATAGAGATAGGTGGTAACGTGACTAACGCTTTGTGGATCGGAATCCTGGGCCTAGTTTACTGGATATATCGACGCGTGCGTGTGTGTTTGCGTGCGTGTGCGGTTTGGTTTGACTAACCCCAAGTGTCATTTTGTTTCATCTGCCTTTGTTACAAACAGTTAAGATGTCGTATACTAACCGATATTATTACATAAAGCTGACAATGCTAATTTTCATTCAATTATATCAAAGTGAAAGCATGCCAAGAAACTTAACGCTGAAGATATGAAACAAAAGTCATGACAATTGTTAATTATGCTCGCCAAGTAGTTGTCTCTGAACTTTATCTTCAATGGCCATAACAAATCGCTAGAAATATAACCATTGACTCTCTGCTACAGCCAGAGGTCAATTATGGCTTAAGTGAATGAGTGAGTGAGTGAGTTTGGTTTTACGCCGCTTTTAACAATATTCCATCAATATCTCGGCGGGGGCCAACAGAAATGGACTTCACACATTATACCCTTGTAGGGAATCGAACCTTGGTCTTTGGTGTGATGAGCGGACGCTTTAACCACAAGGCAACCCCACCGCCCCTAATTATGGTTTGAACTAATAAAGCCTGTCAGTCTGTCTGATTTGACGAATGTGTATGTTTTAGTCTAAATACATACGTTTCCTTCAACTTTTAGGGGGCTTGCGTGGTTCGAATGATGCACTTCGTCATGGGACACGACCTTTTCATCAGAGGGCTCAATGTAAGTATGACTTAAATGGAGTGAGTGAGTTAAAATGTAACGACGTCATCTACGCCATTTCAGTCATACAGCGACGAGACCAAGTTTACAGTGAGTGAGTAAGTGACTATGGTTTTACGTCGCTGCTAGCAACATTCCAACAATATCACGGGAGGGGACACCAGAACCATGTGGGGAATCGGGCGAACACTTTAACCACTAGGCTACCCCACCGACCCCACAGGCCCTTGTGACCTTGCGAGCATTAAAGATTTAAAAAATATATATAAGAAATTTAGATTACCCCCGACTCGAAACGCTTCACAGTACATATACATTATCATGATGTATAAGTACTGTGAAGCATTTCGAGTTGGGGGGGCGGTGGGGTAGCCTAGTGGTTAAAGCGTTGGCTCGTCACGCCGAAGGCCCGGGTTCGATTCCCCACATGGGCACAATGTGTTAAGCCCATTTCTGGTGTCCCCCGCCGTGATATTGCTGGAATATTGCTAAAAGCGGCGTAAAACTAAACTCAGTCAGTCAGTCAGTCATTTCGAGTTGGGGGTCATCTCAAAAACAATATCTTTTAAATCTTTAATCCTCGCAAGGACACGAGGGCCTGTGACAGCCCCATCAAGATTACCCATATACACAGGTTAGATATACATACAAAGGTACATAAACAACATTTTTTTCCATATGCACAGTAAGTATGTCAATAAGGGTAAATGTATCGAAAATGCTGACTTAGACCTGTTTGGGAGTTTGACCAGCTGATTTTGTTAATATAAAACACATTTACACTACATTAAATGAGATGCAATATTCACGTTTGGTCACTAACTTGCTCACAGAAGGATGATCTCTTTAAAATGAAAAAGATCCCTTGTTCACACATTCTTCAGTTCACACAAACACACTTAAAGAACAACACGTAAATGGACGTAAACTTGCACGTAAGTCTATGTAGGCATACGCAAGACCTGTAGTTCCGAGAAGAAAGGTCGTCAATCTCAGTTCGGAACACATTTAATGTTTTGGTGACACAATCGTTCGTAACTTTACGTCAGTCGTAGTTCACTAGGAGTTACGATCATCTTACGATTAGGGCTAGATGTGTTAGTTTGGATTGGCTATATGATACACCGTACAATCAAATATGGTGCAAGAAATGATAGAACAAATTTTACATTTTTCTTTCACAACAAAATGACTAATTTCTGTTTCAGCGATATTTGAAGAGACATCAGTACGGCGTTGCAGAGCAAAAGGACCTGTTCGACGCTCTGACAGAGGTACGTCAGATAATTATGAAGATCCGGGTTAGAATTGGTCTTCAACAACCCATGCTTGTCGTGAGGGGCGACTAACGGGATCGGGTGGACAGACTTACTGACTTGGTTGACATGTCACCGTAGCCCAATTGCGTAGATTGATGCCCATTATGTTGATCACTGGATTGTCTGGCGCAGATAGATGCTCACCAGCCACATATCCGAACAGTGACAATCAAACATGGACACGTTGATTAGATTTCTTGACATGAAAGGTTCAATATGAAACAAGGCAGATAATAAGGTTTGATGACGTGGGGTATGTGTGGTTTCCAATGATTTTACGACCACGTGTCAAAATGGAAGCATTCTCATCGCTGTACACATGAAGAGGCTAGTTTAGTGAGTGAGTGAGTTTAGTTTTACTCTGCACTCACAAATATTCCAGCTATATGGCGGCGGTCTGTAAATAATCGGATCTGGACCAAACAATCCAGGGATCCACAGCATGAACATCGATCTGCGCAATAGGGATACGATGACATGTGTCAAGCAAGTCATCGAGACCGATCACCCGATCCCGTTAGTCGCCTCTTATGAAAAGCGTGGGTAACGGAAGAGCAATTCTAACCCGGATCTTCACGGGTGCTAGTTTAGCAGAACTACACACTTAGAAACAGTTTCCACTACAGCAAACACCACGAAATGACGTGATCTGAAAGTAGCACTACTACATCCTAAGTCCTGTCACACTGACTTGCGGCAGATTTTGCGTTAAGTTCCACATAGCTGTTTCAAATCTATCTGTACATCCCCAAGTTGATTTTCTGTATCACTCAGGCAAGCTCGTAAATCCACCATTTCCATTCTGTAATACTGACTTGGTGTTAGTATCTTTCTGACAACCGAAAATTGACTACCTATATTATCCACTCCACAATCCTTCACTCGCATGTCCAAGGTGAGGTGAGGTGAGGTGAGGTGAGGTAAGTTGAGTTGAGTTGAGTTGAGTTGAGTTGAGTTGAGTTGAGTTGAGTTGAGTTGAGTTGAGTTGAGTTGAGTTGAGGTGAGGTGAGGTGAGGTGAGGTGAGGTGAATTTGGGTTTAACGTCGCACGTACGTATATTTCACTCATATGACGACATGCATGCGTGTGTATGTGTGGCTGCTTGTACTAGCCCAGTCTGAAGCTGGTTTTATAGTGCTAGCCCACTGAGATACCATGCCGCAGTGAAGCATGAATACCCCAGTCAGACACATTATACTGACTCAACATTATACAACCAGTCCTTGTTGTACCCATTTATGCCGTGTGCCAGACAGGGGCCAACAAGTACCATATTTTAATGTCTTTTGGTATGACGCGGCCGGGCATCGAACCCGCACACCACGGAGGCGGGCCACATAAAGTGAATCGCCAAAATATCATGACTTATCAAATATATAATGCATTGGATCTTTTTAATCCACAGCAATCTGTAGCTGAAGGCACCCCTATCAACATGACAGAGATCTTTGAACCCTGGGTCACTCAGATGAACTATCCTCTGGTCACTGTCAAGGTCACAGGTCCTGGAACCATCAACGTCCGCCAGGAACGTTTCCTCAACAATATGAGCTCCAACACTACCGGGGACACCGCTCCCTTTGGGTAAATATGGTGGTATTTTCTGTTAACTGTTTATTGTTCAATGTTGTTTATTCCAAACTCCATTACATCAACAAGTAAACCGTCTAATCTGGGCAAGTCAAACTGCATATGATGTAGACGTACCTCTGGGTGTAAGAAAACCAGAAAAGAGAGTTGTCGGTCCGAGCATAGTGACTGAGATTTATACTGCGTTTAGCAACATTTAAACATTGTACCTATTTTGAGGAATCGAACCTGGGCTATCTGCGTGGGATCGCTTTAACCACATGGGTACCCCAGCGGCTCGTCCGAACATAGGTTTTGGGATGTTTGAAAAGTTCCATTCCGCTGTCTCACAGATTGTAACAGTGCTGCTTGTCAGAACTCCGGTCACTCACTCACTCATAGGATTTATATGTCCGCCCACCTGCACACCTTCACGCCCACTATCATGCCCACGTACACGCCAAACGTCATCATCCTCCTGACCGCCTGCCTGGGGGGCACGTTTCAGGATCCATCAAGTGAAGACTAATATGTTTCCCTCACGTGAATGCTCTACTTTACAGCTACAAATGGACAATCCCTATCACAATCGCCTCCAGCAAGAACAACAGCAACCTCAACAATGTGTACAGCTACAACGACATTGCATGGTTGGCTACGACAGAAGAAGAGAGTAAGTAGAATCCATACTGAATATATGATGTCATATTATCTGGTCATGAGTTGTGTCCCTTAACCGTTTCCGGTTTGAGTAGTAAAATATTCCTGGATATATTCTCTCGAAGCGTAGAAAGCGTAGAAAGCGTTAGTGGTAGAAATAAAATATAACTTCATAGTTGTGGCGATGCAGGTATGCCGGGAAAGGCAGGCTTTACGAAAGCATCGTTCACATCAGTTCGGGCTTTGTCGCGTCATTTCGGTTTTAGCATCCTCATTTTAGCTTTTGCAACGTCACTTCCGGTTAGGCTGCCACTTTCGGATGAAATGACGTGAAAGTTTAGAAATATAGTTGTCAGATCCGTAACCATGTTCGTGGTATTCTTCAAACTGGAAAACATGTAACTCTAATTGAAGCTGGCATGTTGTGGTGTCGTTTGGTCAATACTTACTGGGAATGGTCACGAGGTCCGGTCCGGTCCGGTCCGGTCCGGGCTGGGCTGGGCTGGGCTGGGCTTTCAATTGGGTGTGATGCTCCATTAGGCGACAACAATGTAGGCATTCGATTCAACTCGCATTGAAACACCAGCACATTGGCAGGAAGGTGAAACAGAGTACATTTCAAATAATCCGGAACGTTGGTCATCGTATCTGTACAGAGAGGGGGAAAATAACTCTTCCGTTGTATTTCTCAACAGAAGACATCAGCGACCCAATTATCCCCGACCCTTCACAGGAGAACGCGTGGGTCGTCGTGAATGGACAGCAGTCCGGTTTCTACAGGGTTAATTACGAGGAGAGAAACTGGATGGCCCTAATTAAACAACTAGAGACAGACCACACGGTATGTGCTGCAGTCTTTCCTCGCTGTGAACATGAGGACTGTTTGAGAACAGCAAGAAAGTTTGAGGCCTGGAAGAATAGTTCCAGAGATGGAAGAGTAATTAGGTCTGGAAGAATATTTCAAGGCAGTAAGAATGTCAGAGGGCGATAAGAATGTTGTAGACGGGAAGCATGTTTCAGGACAGGATATATATCTAAAGGCTGTAAAAATGTTTTAGGACAGGAAGTTTGTTTCGGCGCTGGAAGAATGTTTCATGGCTGTAAACATGTTTCAGGGCCGTAAGAATGCTCCAGACCCTGAAGAATGTTTCAGGGAGGAGGGGAATGTATTCTACTCTTCTGCATATGCTCCGACCTTTCTATCGTTCATGCTGCATTCGTTATCAGCTTTTTTTCCAACTAATTCATTTCTACTATAATTTATCTTATTCCCAGGTGTTTCCACCAGCGACCCGCGCACAGATCATAAACGATGCATGGACACTTCAAGAGTAAGTAACTATCATTTGACGGAACTGGAGGGACGGTAAATCTGTACTTAGGGATTTGATGCTCCTTAAATGGTGGTAGGATGGTCACTCCTTACCTTTGGATGGGATGGTGACTCCTTACCTGTTGACAGCGGGTTAGAATTAATCACCCCCCATGCTTGTCATAAGAGGCGACTAACGGGATCGGGTGGTCAGGCTCGCTGGCTTGGGTGACACATGTCATCGTTGACTTGGTTGACACATGCGTAGATCGATGCTCATGCTGTTGATGGCTGGATTGTCTAGTACAGACCGCTGCAATATTGCTGCGTTATTGCTGTTTCCCATTGAAGTGGCATACCTTTGGATTTTGGTGGCTTAAAATGTGTTTATGAAGAAATTCCTATGCTATGCAGTCGATCACTGGATTGTCTGGTCCAGACTCGATTATTTACAGACCGCCGCCATAATGGTGGAATATGGCTCAGTGTGGCCTTTAAACAACAAACCAACCAGTATGTTCAATCCTCATACCTGGGTATGGCCACTTGTTACGGGGCGATTGGATGGTCACACCTTACCTGGGTATGGGTCATTGTTTACCTGGCAATGGGTCATTGTTTACCTGGGTATGGGTCATTGTTTACCTGGGAATGGGTCATTGTTTACCTGGGAATGGGTCATTGTTTACCTGGGAATGGGTCATTGTTTATCTGGGAATGGGTCATTGTTTACCTGGGAATGGGTCATTGTTTACCTGGGTATGGGTCATTGTTTACCTGGGTAATGGGTCATTGTTTACCTGAGAATGGGTCATTGTTTACCTGTGAATGGGTCATTGTTTACCTGTGAATGGGTCATTGTTAACTGGGAATGGGTCATTGTTTACCTGGGAATGGGTCATTGTTTACCTGGGAATGGGTCATTGTTTACCTGGGAATGGGTCATTGTTTACCTGGGAATGGGTTATTGTTTACCTGGATATGGGTCATTGTTTACTTGTGAATGGGTCATTGTTTACCTTGGTATGGGTCATTGTTTACCTGGGAATGGGTCATTGTTTACCTGGGAATGGGTCATTGTTTACCTGGGTATTGGTCATTGTTTACCTGAGAATGGGTCATTGTATACCTGGGAATGGGTCATTGTTTACCTGGCAATGGGTCATTGTTTACCTGTGAATGGGTCATTGTTAACTGGGAATGGGTCATTGTTTACCTGGGAATGGGTCATTGTTTACCTGGGAATGGGTCATTGTTTACCTGGGAATGGGTTATTGTTTACCTGGATATGGGTCATTGTTTACTTGTGAATGGGTCATTGTTTACCTTGGTATGGGTCATTGTTTACCTGGGAATGGGTCATTGTTTACCTGGGAATGGGTCATTATTTACCTGGGAATGGGTCATTGTTTACCTGGGTATGGGTCATTGTTTACCTGAGAATGGGTCATTGTATACCTAGGAATGGGTCATTGTTTACCTGTGAATGGGTCATTGTTTACCTGTGAATGGGTCATTGTTAACTGGGAATGGGTCATTGTTTACCTGGGAATGGGTCATTGTTTACCTGGGAATGGGTCATTGTTTACCTGGGAATGGGTCATTGTTTACCTGGGAATGGGTTATTGTTTACCTAGGGAATGGGTTATTGTTTTAACCTGGGAATGGGTCATTGTTTACCTGGGAATGGGTCATTGTTTACCTGGGAATGGGTCATTGTTTACCTGGGAATGGGGTGGTTACTTCTGACATGATGATTTGATGACCACTCGTTAGGTGCTGATAGGATGGTCACTCCTTACCTGGGTATGTGGTGGTCATTGGGTGGTCAATACATGAATGTGTTCACTCTTGTTCTAGAGCATCGTGTATATACTACCATATGGTCGCGGCATACATGTAAGTATAGGTCCTGTAAGTCTCGCGAGGCGCTACTTCCGGTACTAAGTTGGTTCCTGGCTCCCTTTGCGTGCACCAACTTGTGATATGTGAGACGGGGCCCAGCTTACTTCCGGTGCCAGATTTCAGATGACGAGCGTATATTCAAGAACCACTTCTGGTTCCAAATTGCGCGACCGCTAAATATGACCCTACTAGACCGGACCAAGTGTACAGCCATGCTTGGCTGTCACAGCTGTTGACAGTCGTAATAGTTTGCTCATTTGGGAATGGTTAGACAAAGCATGTGTTATTCCTGCAAGGATTCTCCGTTCCTTACAGTCAACTGACAACCATGAGAGCATTCCAAAAGGTATGAAACGTTGTTTGTCACCGGAAGTACTAAGGTCTCGCGAAGTGCCGTGACCTACTTACGGGCCCTGTATCATGACCGACCACCGCCTAACAATCTGCACGTGTACATAAATATCTCTTCAAACTTTCAGAGCCGGTGTCGTGAAGCTGAGGATTGCCATTCGTACTTTGAATTTCCTCAAAAACGACGTCGACTATGTCTCTTGGCATGCGTTGTCACAACATTCCAACATCCTCGCCAGTGCTTTGCAAGGTAGTGAATACTACGGCGCCTATATGGTAAGTTCTAAAATACCGTATAATTCTCGTATGACGAGAAGTCAAAGGTGTTCCCCTACCCGTCCACTGATCTGAGTACTAATATGTTGACTGATATAATTACATTTAATTAACGTAGCATCTATTCAGGATATTCCGTGTTAATTTTATAGTGAACCATAAACTGGACCACCATAGTAGCTTCTGTTTGAGTCTACCCAGGCTTACTCTAAAAATTGTCGTGCAATAGAACTACACACACGAGCGAGAGTGAATCTGTTCAACGTTTCTCATAGGAGGGATAAGAATGGTGACGTCAGTCCCCGAACAAACTATGGTGAGTGAGTGATAATATAACGTGAAATCGGCATTACTTCAGCCCTATAGTGACGACGCCAAGTCAACACAAACATACAAGTCCATGTTACACTATTAAACAAATGAAACGCATGTGCTATCCCAGAAGAATTGATTGCGTTAGCTAAAGAGCAATTATTACATGTAATTTCAATGGTAAAGAGGTGAAAATTCACACGTCTACAGACAAAGAGTTCCCCAACACATTAGTACCTCGTATGACCAGCATTGGCAGCAATTACTGTTCGGCACCGTCTCGAAGAAGTCTCTCCTATGGAGTTTTCCCCCACGCTTCCTGCAATGCGATGGCCAGTTTTGGGGGTTTGTTTGTTTGTTGTTGTTGTTGTTGTTTTGTTTGTTTTTTTTTGGGGGGGAGAGGAGGAGGAGGGATTGGGATACCATGGCATGTGTCAACCAAGTCAGCGAGCCTGACCACCCGATCCCGTTAGTCGCCCCTCACGACAAGCATGGGTTGTTGAAGACCAATTCTAACCCGGATCTTCATAATTATCGAAGAGCTTGTTACGTTGACATACCTCGATCACGTCAGTCGCCTCTTACGACAAGCATGGGTTACTGAAGATTAGTTCTACCCGGATCTTCACGGATCGTAGCTTTATTAAGCGTAATAGTACAGTTGTGTTCACTCATTGTTGATAGATAATAATGTAAAACTGTTTATATTTCAGGAATTCATGAAGGTCAGCGCCAACAAGACCTACAACCACTACAGGATGAACATACAAGCTGATACTCTTCCAATAGACGTGTAAGTAGCAGCTGTGTCTCCGTGGTCAGAAATATGTATTGAATTAACCCCTTTATAGGAGCATATTGTTTCTTGAATTTAAAGGGCTCGGTGGGGTGGCTTAGTGGTTAAAGCGTTCTCTAGTACAGCCGAAGACCCGGGTTCGATTCCCAACATAGGTACAATGTGTGAAGACCATTTCTAGTGTCCCCCGCCGTGACATTGATGAAATATTGCTAAAAGCGGCGTAAAACGATATTCACTCACTTGAATTTTAGGTGTTGTAGTGCAGTTGAAACCCAGTTGACAATACTTACAATATTTTCCATCAGCCAGGAATTACAGTTATATGAACAGGCCAAAGGTCACCATTCGCTCACCTTCAGTACATGCGATGTCAACAACCTGATATTTGTCCCAGAATTGTAATGAGTATAATTGCCCCTCTCCTCCGCCAGCTGACCAAGCAAACTCGTTAATCCATACAGTATCAGAAGTATCGTTATTTAATCTTGTAGTTTTATTGTAGGTCAAGGTCAAGGGAACATTAGTTAACATTATCTGTCCAAAATGTTTGCCTCACATAATTGGAACATAATGGTAACCACAAATGGAATGGTAGCCTGTTTATGTACACATCGTCAGCATAGAGCTCAGGTCACAAATTACTTGAAGTTAAGCAACGTTGGGCGGTTTTCCGGTTTGAATTGGTCGAAGAGTGAGTGAGTAACGTTTTACGCCGGTCTTCACACATTGTACCCATTCCAGCACTGACAGAAATGGAAAGGAACTATTTTGTCCTGGTCGATTGATGTATATTTTAGTTGAAATGGTTGTAATGGCTTCGACAAAGAAAACATATAGAGGTCCATTTATGTTTATAATAACTGCAGTCGACTGTATTCGCTATTCCGCAATGATTAATCGATATGCAGTTTAATTGAGAAGTGAGTTCAAAATTGACAATTCCGAGTATTTTCATGTTACAATATCTCTTCATCACTATATATCAACATACACACGTGTACAGATTCCAGATAACTCGCGGTGTCAACTATGCCTGCGAATATGGACTCCAGGAATGCGCGGACGATGCTCTGAGGCTGTATCGGGAGATGATGACGGACCCAGTCAATAACAGGTAGTCTGAACAATTTTACAGAAATAAATTAAACGTCTATGAGAAGAGTAAAGAGTTCAGCTATAAAGGCCACAGGCCCAAAGAGGTACATACACATGTATCAGGTATTGGGGGTGCAGATTTAAGAGGTGGACAGTGCAGTTAAATTGGATTTAGAATTATGATAGATTTAACAGTGTGCGAAATCGTTTCTACATTTTGCTACCCAGTCGGGCCAGTTATGCCTGAAAGTTACCAACCCACAAAATATTTCACTTGCCCGAAATTTGAATGTAGAACTAAGCAAAAGATTACAAAAATAGATGAGAATAAAATAATGTCGGCATGACACGGGCTTCGTCATTAAGCTACTAATATGATGAACATTTTTATCAGGCCATAATCTTGCATGATTTAAAAGTGTATTATAACTTAACAAGTCGGAGAGAGTGATATATGTACAAAATGACCCCATGAAAATTCACTAGCCAGTCAGGCCAGTGACTGTGGAGATTTACTGGTCCGACTGGATTTTTACTAGCCACAGGCAATCGAGCCAGTGGAATGATTTACGATGCGAGAAGAACAATTCCAGCAAAGGCCTCTGAGTGAGTGGGCATCGAACTGGGTGCTTTCCGCACAACGTGTACGCTGAAGTCGCTAAACTACCACAATCGGTGATACTTAGATTGCATTTCATATTTCACTCTCTCCGACTTGTTAAGTTATAATATACTTTTGAATAATGCACGATTATGGCTTGATAAACATGTTCATCATATCAGCAGCTTAATGATGAAATCCGTGTCAACATTTGAATTTCGGACAAGTGAATTATTCTGTGGGCTAGTAACTTTCAGGCATGGCTATCCCGACTGGCTTGAAAAATTTGGAAACTATTTCGCACACTGATGATCAGATTCTGTGACATATGTGATTTGTCTGTTCCTGCAGTGGGGATCTGCTCACAATATCAGTCATTCGTTAGGGTGAATAACAGCATCGAGCGGTGACGTAGTTGACGTGTGCCATCATACACCGATAGCGTGGATTGATGCTCAGACTGTCAATCACTGGATTGTCTGGTCCAGACTCTACTATTTGCAGACCGCCGCCATATGGCTGGAATATTGCTGAGTGCGGCGTAAAACTAAACTCACTCACTCACTGATAAACAGACAAACAAACAATAAGGAGATATTCACTAATTCACTCTCTCTGTTTTAGGATCAACCCCGACCTCATGAGATTTGTGCCCTGTAACGCTATACGATACGGGGGAATGGCAGAATGGAACTATGCTTACAACCGATACAAGGCCGAGGATACTGCAGGAGATGACAGCTTCGAATGGTTCAACGCTCTCTCCTGCACGACACAGCCGTGGCTTTTACAAAGGTGATGGCCGTACGCATTCTTCACCACTCGCACCTTGCCGTAACCCGCAAAGAGATTTGTCGCCTTATCGCATTTGTCTACAATCGCACGTCTGTAATCTGCAAGCAGATTCGTCCCCTATCGCATTCTTCACCACTCGCACCTTTCCGTAACCTGCAAAGAGATTTGCTCCCTTTTCGCATTTGTCTCCAATCGCCTTTGCCGTAACTTGCAAGAAGACGCATCACACACACGCACTCACGCGGGCACGCACACATACACACACACACTACTCTCTGCCTTTCCGTAACCTGGAAGAAGATAGATGATGCGTCCTTTATCAAATTCGTAAGCAATCGCACTTGCGTAACTTGCATGCAGATGCGTTCCCCTATAACATTCGTCACCACTCCGCACCTGTCCCGTAACCTGCAAAAAAACTCGTGCAAACGGTCTACTCCCAGTTGTGATAACTCCCAGTTGTGAGACTCCCAGTTATGAGACAGTGGAGAAGGTAATTAACAACGAAAACACACCATACTCCCCTGTCTGATAGAATGGATTCACCCTAGCTAATTACTGATTTGCTATGTAACTGAATCTTGTGGAGGTTACTTCATGAAACTTTATAAGATAAATTGATTAACATACTCATGTAAATGTCTTTAATAATTAAACACTTTGTGTAGGTAACTTCGTGATCAAAGAGAAATTAATTTACCTACTCAGATTTACTCCGTCTCCGAAACTACAAGCTATAGTAAAGAAATAACTCTGAAATACAAGAATTTTTTCCAGTCGAACTGCCTCTCATGCCAACCCTTTCTACCCGACACAATAAATTTATAGAATGCCCCGCCAAATTCCAAAGAGTCATGCAGTCTCAAAGAATTTTAAAACCTAATTACAAAAACCGAAAAAAGATTTATATTGATCTTAATTATGGCTCTTGTTTTTGTCAAATCGTTCACTGCCGCCTCAGGCTCGCATCTAGCGACCCAGTCGCCGATAAGTATAACAGACATTTAATAAACAGTGTGCGTTGCTCTTGTGGATATCAACTACCCGTTATAACCTGGATGATATTTTGAACGGAAACAAAGAATTTACTCCTTGTGTAAACCAGAATATATTTGAATCCGTCCACGATTATATCATCAAGATACAGCGCCTCAAATTTTCTCAGGGAAATGCTTAAATTTACTCAACAACTTTCTCGTGATTGATTTATATTCCTAAAATAGCTTGTTAGACACACACAACTGTAAGTCTCTAATTATGACTACTTAGAGAATAGTTGCATTTGATGTAATCTGTATATATTTATATGTATTTAAAAATATATTTATCAATATCGATGACGTCACATCCTCCATTTCGCTTTATATTTTATGATGCATGGGAGCGGTGTTAACATGAGCAGTAATACTTCACCAATCCCAATTCATTTTCATAAATAATAATAAAATATGTTCAAACTAAAATTACTTTCAAATTTCATAATAGTCAATAAATATGTGTTTTTCTCCTGAATCAATAAAGTATTTATTGAACTATTTCTTCTGTGTAAATATAACCTTATATAAATATAACCTTATAACTGTTATCCCAGATGCTGCTAATTGAGTACAGTAAACTCAAAAAGAAGCTAGACGGGATGCAGGTCATATAATTTAAACCATGAGTTATAACAATATCATTTACAATTTAAGCAAAAGCCATATTTTAAAAACAACTAAATAGTAGTATACAAACATATTTACAGTTTATGAATCAGACCAATGTCTTTCAAGTTTCTTGACTCACTTGTTGGCGATCTATAGCCTTTTTTATATCACGTATTATCTGAATAGTGCTATTAGTTTTAACATTACATAGTTTCAATTCGAACTGTGACACTCTAGTTGTTTTAATGTCCTTTTTTTTAGTTTACACGCATTCCTTATCAATGACAAATTGGTTTTCGTCACGATATAGCTGAAATATTACCGCATCAACTTACTAACTAAAGTTTGTTGATTACGAGATTTCAACTCAATCGGGTTTCTGGTTGATGATGCGAACCTCTTGCAAGTCCACACAGTCAAGCATAACATATTTAACTTTGCTGTTGTTGTTGATGATGACGATGATGATGTTTGTGTTCTTGTTGATGATGATGATGATGATGATGATGGTGGTGGTGGTGTTGGCGCTGATGATGATGACGACGGCGATGATTTTGTTGTTGTTGTTGATGATGATGATGATTATGATGATGATAATGGCGTTGATGATGATGTTGACTACAACGATGGTTTTGTTGTTGATGATGTCGTTGATGATGATGACGACTGCGAACATTTTGTTGTCGATGATGATGATAATGATAGCGACGACGACGACGTTGATGATAACGATGACAACGGCGATGATGGTTTGTCCATCTTTACAAGTTTCTTTTCAGGTTGCTAGACATGTCATTGGACAATACTACCTTCCGCTCTCTGGATGCGTTTTTCATCATATACATCGTTTCCGGCAATGCGGCAGCCAGGGATATAACCTGGAACTTCCTTAAGAACAACTTCCTGACTCTACATGACAAGTAAGTACCACACTGAGTAAACCTTCTGTGGCATCCGGCACATCCCAGCTCATGTATATATTGATATAGTCACTTGCCCAACTAATAATCATGGGAACATAGGAAAAAGAATCACGGTGGTAATAATGAGTGAGTGAGCTGGGTTTTATGCTGCGTTTAGCAATATTCCAGCAATATCACGACGGAGGACACCAGAAATGGGCTTCACACATTGTACCCATGTGGGAATCGAACCAGGGCCTTCGGTGTAACGAGCGAATGCTTTAACCTTCTAGTCTACCTCACCGCCCCATAAAAGGTAATAACATCGAACGTAAGTTTTGTCAGTGATGCGTCAAATTTGAAAATGTTGTTGTTGTTATTTGTTGCTTATCGTCGCATCATTGTAAATAATCCGAGTCTCGACCAGACAATCCACTGATCAACAGCATGAGCATCGATCTACGCAATTGGGATACGATGACATGTATCAACCATGTCAGCAAGCCTGACCACACGATGCCTTTAGTTCAGGTTGCTGAAGATCAACTGTAACCCGGATCCTTCACCTCTGACGAATTCCCGTCACTGTGACGAATTCCCGAGTTGATCGCGGGTTCGAATCCCAGATAAGTCTTTATTGTGACCGTATTAATGATCAGTATGTCCCACCTGTTTTTTGTGTACCTCGACTCTCAATCATCTTTGAGCTGACACTGTATCTATATGTCTACATGTGTGTCACAAAACTGTGTATTACAGTAAACTAATATTATATTTCTTTTCATTGAAGACACGGCCGTTTCCGACTAGGTTCACTGATAAGGAGTATAGCATCTGCTTATAACATGGGATACCTTTTGAACGAGGTAGGTGTGTACTAGTACGTTTGATGCTCAAAGCTTCATAGGTACATGGGGCTAATCTTTAATGTTTGGAAGTACATATATATTTCTAAATAATTCTGAGCATCGTTCAGTGGTCAACTTTCCACAAATCTGATTCAGATTCATTTTTATTCAGTATTTCGGGACTAAAGGCCTATAGTACAAATACACTTGCTATGATTAAATGCACGTGGTGGTGGTGACATTTCTTGCATTCAAATAATATTATAGATTTGATAATATCAATATTTTTAGAATTTAACAGACTGGACAATATTTGTTTATCTCTTACAGATGCTGATATAAATGATAAATACTTACTTCGTAAATCTGAATACTTGGTACACACAAATAATACGTGAACAATTCACTTTCAATATAACCTGTACAATTTTTACAGATAGATTCATTTGTATCACTGAAAGCTCTATTGGGTTTGCGTAAATAGTGAATTCTAAAATCATGAAAGCCAATTCTAAATTGACACAACGCCCGTATTAACGTTTTGTCTTGTAGATTCATAATATAAAACTCCGGTTCTAGCAAAGATTTTTGAGAAGAATAGTCTTCTAAAAAACTTCAATTATTTATAGACATAGACCATTCTTGGAAGAAAATGTCCTGAAGATGTTGCTTAAAAACATATAAAAAATTACATTCATTTCCAACCGTTTGTGAAATCCACACATGAGAAACTCCAGTCGAAAAAAGTAACTGTCTAACCTCTGATGCCCAATTAAGCTTGCCAATATCATCTTGTAGCTTTAGGGGAAAATAGCTTTGCCTAGGGTACCTATAAGAATCCATTTTTAATAATTTCATCCACAATTTTATTACTCTTAATCTGGTGAGTACAAATATATTGCAACGCCCAGTTTCCCCTGATACAGCCCTATTTGAAGCATACTTTCCCAAATTTAGGAAGCATTTAAAATATGATGCATGAACCTTTTCTATAGAGTGAAAATATTTAGTTCCCCAAATTTCGGACCCACATAAAGGAATCGGTAAAATCTTACAATCAAAGATGGTACAAGCAGTTTTTTTCAATAACTGGATACAGATTGCATAGCCTTTGATGCTTGAACAGAAAAACTTTTACAGGCTGTTGACAAATTTTAGTCTGGATGAATCTGATTCATTTGTAAGTCTATAAATGTCCCATGACCTAATTTAAGTGCTGTTGTAAACAGTATCTATGTTTCTTATTTCAGCTACAGTCATTTGCCAACACCACCATAGCAGAGGAGTATCAGACTACATTTCAGGAGGCCATTAAGGCAACGCAGGCTAATTTGGATTGGCTGGAGACCAATGGTGACGACATCAAAGAGTGGCTCACAGAACAGGGTTTCGCAGAATACCTGCCGTAATTGATCACTTAGGCGATAGGTTTCGCTGCCGTTAGTGATCGCAGTGCTACGCAAATCGTAACCCCTATACTTTAGCGCAGGTTTACGACAGTCGTAGCGCTAAGAACATCGTAACCCTATACTTTAGCACAGGCTTACGACAGTTGTAGCGCTACGCACATAGTAACCGCTTTACTTTAGCACACTGTCAGGCTTATGACAGTCGTAGCGCTACGAACATCGTAACCCCTATACTTTAGCACAGGCTTACGACAGTCGTAGCGCTACGAACATCGTAACCCTATATTTTAGCACAGGCTTACGACAGTCGTAGCGCTACGTGCATCGTAACCCCATATTCTAGCGCAGGCTTACGACAGTCGTAGCCCTACGAACATCGTAACCCCTATGCTTTTGCACAGGTTTACGACAGTCGTTGCACTACGAACATCGTAACCCCTATACCTTAGCACAGGCTTACGACAGTCGTAGCTCTACGAACATCGTAACTCCTTTACTTTAGCGCAGGCTTACGACAGAAGTAGCGCTACGATCATTATAATCGCTTTGTGAAGTTGGGCCGAGATTCACGTGAATTAGAGACATCAGTCAGATATTGACTTGACTTCTTCACAGTTGGCAGCGGTTGATGTGGCTGAACTGTGGAAAATGGTATCGGATCAGTGATGTTGATTTCAGAATAGGAATCAGCTCCTACAGATCTGAATTGTGAAATCTCTAAATGACCACACAAGATACAGAAAAGTCACCGGCTTATTGTACATATTCCACAGCTGGAGAAATGTGCAACTTGTTAGTTAATCCGTTAAAATGCATCTTCTGAAATTGCTTTCATATATACGTGAAATACATTTGATGTCACACTTTATTGAACATGCTGATATATTCGGAAGGCATTAGGGATCAATTCTGTGTTGAGTTGTAGAGAGTGTAGTGAGAATGGATGTATTTTCAGCTAGACTCGAAACCAAAAGCCTAAACCATTGTATCTTCTGTGAAAATCATTGTTACTATGAACTGTTTTGTGGCAATAACCTTGACAAATGACTGGTATATGTAGGGTGATCAATGTTCAATGCGCCAATGATCATTTGCCAGACATACAAACAAATCTTCTCATCTTCCTGCTACATAAAGAACCACTTTGTTTTTTGTTACTCTTTTAACCATTACATATGAAAGATTTGTGGTTAGTCTTATGCGGAACACCAAATTTATTCTTTAAAAAACTTGTGGTTAATTAATACCGAGCGATTAAAAGTGGCCAAAAAGTCGCCTGCTTCCCTCTCGCCCGCCAACGAAACCACAGACAGGCTACGTAACTCTGTCGCCAGAGCACTGCAGTGACGTCATATGAGGAACGATTTTCAGTTAGTTGTATAGAAAATGTGTAGCACGCTCATCATTTTGATGATTTCTCGACATCAAGGACGACATGCCGAATCGTTGCTTTGTCGTCAATTGCTTCTAGAGGTCGGGCGATGGTGTCCCCATGCACAGATTTCCACAGGACCCCGCAGTTCGTGCTAAATGGGTTATGTTTGTGAGTGCGAAGCGAGCGTTGTGGAAGCCTGAAACGATATCTTACTTGTGTTCAGATCGCTTCACGGAAGTTAAAGAATCAAAACTACTTACTAGTTGTAGTAAAATATGCATATGATTGATGACCATAAAGATTTTCTATGACACAACTTGTAACATAACGATTTCTTCCTCGGAAGTGAGGTTGTGGTCGAAGTAACAATAATATTGTAAGTAGTATTATATTGACACCCACCTCGCTGCCACGAGAGAAATTGTTATGATATACGCTATGTCATGCAAAATCCTATTGGCCATCAATAAAATACATATTTACTACCAGTAAAAAAGTAGTTTTTGATTTTAATAACTCGGTGAAAACAAACCTAAATACCATTTATCCTCAGACTGGCGGATGTTCCCGACAGAGTCGCCGCCATTTTAAAAATAAAAAAATCTGTTAGAATTAATGAGATTATAGGTTTTTTTCATCAAGTTAGAAAATCAAGACTACTTTCTACTCGTTGTTAAATATGTATTGGAATCATAACCAAACGGATTTTGCATGACACAACTTATAACATAACGATTTCTTCCACGGAAGCGAGGTGGGGGTCGAAGTCACAATACTGCGCGATAAATTTCTTGCTACATTCCCATGTTTAATGTCCACTCACCAGTATGTAGATACTAGTCAATGTGCGTCTTTATATTTGGTCTTATAATCCTAATTAGTTTATTATCACACTTGTATGCATTTTGAAACTAAATAAAAAGCTGACGATCTGCTGATACGTATAGTGAATTTATAACAGAACTGTAATATCTAGACATTTTATAGTTTGCCAATGTGAATCATAATTCGCACACACACCCTAGTGCATGTTGTCTGTCTCATTACACGTCACGGCGAAAACAATGATTCTGTTGAATGCTACGACAAATGAATAAAAACAAAATGCAAATATTAAAATTAAAACTGATTAAAGTTATAGGAACAATATCAGGCCATTACCTTGTTCGAGGAATGTATCCATCAATATCCACAAAACTGTTCCAAATGATGTGTCTTTTAACAGTTTAATATACGAAAAAGTGATAAATCTTTTCAGGTATTGGTGTATAGTCTCATTGGTCACCCAAGATAGCACACCTGGCAACTAATTGCATAATGTCCGCCTTTCTTTAAAAACAGTAATTTAGTTAGCCAATAATGGGCAATCAATCAATGTACGTGTATTGCCGGTTAATCCTATGAAAGAAGGACGTTGTTTTTTACGCAGACACCGACACGACAGAGTGTATTCAGTATAGATTAGTAAATCTACATACATAAACACTACCTTTTGACAATTCCCCTGTGTAAGATAAAAGTAATTAATCAATCAGCGTGTTATCGGTTAATCCTTTGATCGATGTTTATAATGTTGAATATTTACTCCAGACACAAGAAATGCCAAATGGGAACCTTTGTCGGGTAATCTAAGTGTGTTACCACTAATTATACCTGTTATAAATTCATTAACTGACCATCAAGTGAATGATGACAAATAACATGTGTAGGTTTATACCACCTAACACGGGTTACAACGAGGGAGTATTAATTGCTGTATTGCATGTGAAAACTTATGGGCCGACACTGTTTTGAGAATACAAACAGATTTTTACATGACATGATTAAATATCGAGGTAAAACAACACAGAAATGGGATCAATTTGGATCAGTCATTATACAAATAGGGCCTAACGACACCAATCGATTTTGACAGAATCGTCTATGAAAACAAGTTGTAACTCGGAAACTAGGCAAAGCAGGAGACAAAATTAAATGACAGTAGATTGTGAGAACATATAGCTTTCATTTTCCACAACAATTGTCACGATTTCAGGTTTATACAAGCCTGTAAACACGATAATTTACCCCCTAAAATGTAGATGAATTCTGCATCGGCTCTCAAAGCTATTCCTCATATGACGTCACAGAGGCGCGCCGCTCTGATTGGTTGAAATTTCGTTCGCGGGTGAGAATTGTGCACTGTTGTCAAAAAGGTCGATTTAAGTCAATTAAAGGTCGAAATGAGTAGTTTTAATGACGGGGTTTCATTTATAACGATGCCAGTTGGTGATTTATGTATATGTACCCCCTAGGGTTTATGTGACCTATAACCTCTGTTAAACTCCTCGTCCACCTTTGACAACAGTGACTTAATAATGAGAAAAATGTTTGCCAGCAGCTCCTGGAAAGGAGTTGTAATTTATGTAAGTAATAAACTCTTTTTTATATATGATTGTTGTTGGAGTGACCTTTGTCAGTAAATGAGGTGTAAAGAAGAGGTAATAAGACCAGACAGTGTCCAGACCAGACAATCCAATGATTAAGCATACGTGCTGTTGTAATCACGTGTTCTTGTGCCAGAACGGCTGCACTCGGTCCATCACGTCGCCTCTGTATTTTGGAACATGGTTTAATGCACGTGGTTAAACATGCGCCTTTGGTTGTTGTTCAACGCCTCTCTCAACAATGTTCCAGCTGCAGGGACAGTCTGTCGATAACTGGGTCTTGACAATCTAGTCATTGGCACCATCAGCATCCAATTTGGATAATACGATGACATTGTGACATATGCATTTGTATTGATATTATCTATATTAAAATATAATATTAACTAAGAGAAGCAGTCACAATACCGCAGTCGATTGAATGGTGTTTCAGTTTCAAAATTAATTTGATGGAAGCAAGTCGACGAAATGTTCTAGATGATGTTGACAGACTTCAAGTGGGCGCGCATGCGTGAGAGGAGGATAATAATTCATACATGCTTTGTTTGGTCAATATGCTTAACCAAGGAATAACAATATGTTCTCACACATTCCTATGAGGCACTGTATATATTCTTTCTGTTTAATATATGTTACATTCCACGCTGCCATCCATACATATCACGAGACATAAACCTCTTTCAGCTACGAACCCCAATCCTAGACACTGGGACACAAACTTATTTTACATTTGGTCAAAACCCATATGATACACCGTAGAGATCCGATTTGGGGCGCCTGGTGGTTGAAGCTTTCGCTCGTCACGCTTCAGATCCGGGTTCGATTCCCCATATGGGTACAAAGTGTGAAGCCCATTTCTGGTGTCCCTGCCGTGATATTGCTGGAATATATGTATTGCTAAACGATATTGCCTAAACTACAAACACCTCACTTACTCATAGACCTTTCCCCTTTGTGGAAGTAGCAGTAGATGTATTTCTGGAAGTGTATCATCACAATACGTCATTGTGAAAACAGTCAAGGGTCCTTACAATAATGTCCTGCTTGACCATCACAAGGCATAACTGACATTGCTGGAATATTGCTAAAAAAACTAAACTCACTCACTCATTCACTCATGTGGTCAAGAATGTTGGTTGCGTTGACTCTTTTGTGAGAAGTCCTATCACTGCTCTGTTTTGGTGTTCGCAAGTATTTCA